CCCCCCCCCCCCCCCCCCCCCCCCCCCCCCCCCCCCCCGGAAGGCGCTCTGCTTACCTTTGAGACTGATGCCGTAAAGACCACTACTTCATAAAGCTCTCCAACTCTCTTCATAAACTCGTCTACACCAGGTCGCTTAATGACATACACGTTATGATAATTGCCTTCAATTTCAACCGGTATTGTGAAGTCGGCTTGATGAAGAATCTAGCACTTTGGTTAGCCTTCTAATTCTTTTTTTCCCTTTTCTTCCAGTATTGACTAGCTCGAAATAGGAGGACAAACCTTGAATGAGCTGTGGACCAAGGTTTCATCGAGGTCCAAAACTAGGCATTTTCTTCCTTTGAGTTCAGGGGTAATGGGAGGTAATAGCCATTTTTGAGGTTCGGGTGCTGAAGGGCCCTCATCTGTGAGAGGAAGCGCCGTAGTCACTAGGGGGGCTGGGCCAGGGCCAGGCGGAGGAGGAGGGATCGAGACTTCGTGAGCCTCTTGTCGCACTACCTCAGGCTGCACCTCATGGGCCTCTTCCACCGCTGGCACATCCCGCATCTCCACGTCGTCAACCACCTCTTCGATTTCTCGAACCTCTTCGTTAGGTTCAGGCAGAGGGCTCGGGGGGTCGACTGTAACCGCCGGGGCGACGTGCTTCGCTTCCTGGGTCGTTTGTTCCTCCAACTTGGTCTGGTCTTGAGCGCTGCTCGACGAGATACCATGGTCCTTGCCCTGAGGTGTGGTAACTGCTGGAACGGGGGGCTTTTCGCTGCTCTGCTTCGCCGACGTCTGGTCTTGAGGCGTGTGTGTTCTTGACTTGGCTGTTGTCGGCCGAGGGGGTAATTTATCCAGTTTATGAATCCCCTGAGGTGAGTCAACGGGATTTGCCGAGTCGGGCACGACGCAGCATCCTAACAGTGCCAGGAATCCACTGCTCTTCTTCCTCTTTCGTTTCTGCTCGCTTGCGGACGGAGAGCTGGGCTGGGAAATGTCGGCTGTGCGAACAGGTTCGGCATCGCCACTGGAGCTACCGTTTCGCTGTCTGTCCAAAAAGCTGCCCTTGGATTCTCTGGACCTGCTGCCGATGCTGCTCCGAGGGTCGGTGATGGTGGCCCCGCTCAAGCCAGTCGTAGTCGGCGAAGACTGGTTCCGCTGTTGAGATGACGATCGCGACGGCACCTTGAGGAGCCCTCGACCCTTACTGGAGCTCTCTCCGTCCTCCGGCAACAGCATATCCTTCTCTTTGCCGGACCCGGAACTAAGCGGGATATTGTCCTGCTTAAAGTCGACGACCGCGGTCGTTGCCACGGCTGTTTCGGACATTGTGAATTGTCGCTATGTTGAGCCAGTCAGCTTTTGTTCCCCCCATTCAACAAAGAGTCAAGACGCGACGTCACAGTGCGCCTGAAGATATAAGCTTAGTCGGAAGCTTCCAAGCTCGGTTGGGCTGCAACAAAATGCGAGGTTAAGTCGGTATGGCCGGGCGACAGGATTAGAAAGGCATCGCGGATGGACAAGACCAAAGCACTCGCTCTCCCCGTCATCAAAAGCACATGCCTCCCAACCGGGCAACAAAGAGGCTCCCCGTGGAACAAATTGTGGACAAGAGGAAGTAAAATTGCGCGCGGCTTTAGCGCAGCTGCTAAACGCATCTTGCACGTACCTCAAAAACACTCAGACAGCTGAGCTGGCTTGAATTTCCAAGCTTCCAACGCAATCAAAAAGGAAAAAAGGGAAGGAAAAAGAAAAGAAGAAGACTGAAAATAAAAGAGAGAAAAAGAATGTCAGCCCACAAGGGGCGTTTGGCAGCGACCGTGCCGTTCGTCGCTCCGGATGCCCTTTTGCAGCCAAAAAGTACCGGGGGTTGGCGAGGAGCTGAGACGCGCCCGACAGACAGAACTGGAGATTTAGGGAGTTCGAGGATGGGCGCCCGTGCTTTTTGGTCGCAAGTTTCGGGCAGAGAGAAAGAGAGAGAGAGAGAGAGAGAGAGAGAGAGGACGAAGGCGAGGAGCGGCCGTGACGCCAATAGTCGTGGCAGCGATGCGTGGCAGCAAACAGCCGGTGTCAGCGCCGAGGCAGTTGGTGAGGGCGATTGTGTCGCGATCAGGAGGATGATGCAGAGGCGAGGCGACGACGGCAACGACGTACCGGCCGAAGAAGGTGAGGGCTCAAGCGAGATGATTGCCTTTAAACGTGATGGTTTGGCTGAGCCAGGTCGGGGATGGTCCGGCGTGCAGGGACGGCTGGGGGAGTTTTTTTGGGGGGGGGTTAAGGTGTGGGTGGAGTGCTTGTCGAGATTAGCCAACGGCTCTAGCGACCTGCTGGGCGTTAGTGGGGGAACAAGCAAGGACGGTGCGCTGACGGCTGCTGGCACTGTCGCATTTGCCGCGATAGCACGACTCAGTGGGCTGCCACTGCCTGCCAGGTACTGTAGGGACTGTGTCTGATTGTTTGTTTAGCGTCGTCCCATGCCCGCGCACAGTGACGATACGGCGTCACCCACCGTGGCCGCTGTTAGGCCAGTAAATCGCGAGCGCATGGCGCCCTGTCCCAATCTCCGCTAATGGCGGCCGCCAAGTTCTCATCTTACCGTCCAACGCTGCAATTGTGGGCTTCTCAGTCTTCCTCTTTAGGAGAAGCGTGGCTACGGCCGGCGCTCTGCACGGCGGCCCGCTCACACGCTGCGACAGGGCAAATTGTTCGCTGGGCTGGCACTGGCTCGAGGTCTTTTGGGCTTGGGCTGTGCTTCCCTGTCCTGCCCTGCCCACTGCCTGTCCAGTCGAGGCCATTTGATCCTCTACGAGCCTCGACGACGGTACAGGCCATGGAGCCTCAATGTACACCGACAGCCCATCCATCCATACTACGGTACGAGTACAGACAGGTACCGGATCAAATGCTAACCTGAGGTATTGACAATACGAAGGTACGAGGCACGGGGTGTAGGATGCCCACCTACGAGTACGGCGCGGGTACCGAATACGTTACGAGTGCTCGTAGAGGAGCTGAGAGCTTCACGGCATGTTCGCAGGCGCCAAATCCATCCATGGCCGCTCGTTAGGCTGCCCCATGGCGTGGTCCGTCGTGTGGGTCAAGATCTCTCTGCTGCTGGGCCCCCGAGCTCCTACTGGCCACTGCCGTCAAGCAAATCAAATCACGGCTCTGGAGCTGGAGCAGACAAAAGGGAACCCGACATGGAAGGGGAAGGGGAGGGGAGGGGGCAAAAGGGAACGAGCCTCTCCCCCAGAAACCTGGGCGCGCCATCCCCCCTCTCGCTGTGTGCCGAGTGAAAGAGCCCCGACATGGGCGTCGTGATTGGCCGTGTTGGCGCCCAGGCTTCGAATCGTTCACATTGTACCCAGTCGCAGCACTAGCCTACCCGCTGTGCGAGTCGTCGTTGGAGCAAAATGGCGTCGAGGCCCTCGGTGAATGAGCGTGCGTCGCTTCGTATTGGCGGCGTATGCATGCTCCCAGCCCAGCCCAGGACAAGACAGGACATGGAAGCATCAGGCCTGGTCCCCCGGACGCTGGCTCTGATTACGGAGCAGCCCACGCATAATGTACGGACATGTACGGCATCGGATGGAGTCTGTTTGATTGGCATGCCCGGCAAGTCGTCACACATGCTGCGGCCGTGCATGTGGCCAGCTGTTCGCGCAAAATGCCTGGCCCGCCTTGTATCCCCGGGCGCATTGTTTCCCGGCTCGTGCTACTACTGGGTACGACTCCTACTGACCACGGTACAGCACAGGCAGGCATTCGCGGCATCAGCTCTCTGGTGGCTGCAGATTTGCCGTTGCACACAGGAATCAACCTGATCCAATGCATGATCCTGCCCTCATCTACCTGGTACCGTACCTAGTCTACCTAGTCTAGTGCCCTTAGGATCACCTCCGTCACATCTGCTAGTCGTAGCGGTATCCAGTGTCCAGTAGCATTATGGATCTTTTCCAGGGCTTGCAAATTTGGCTATCGATGGCTCTCGCAGATTAGGTGCCTGAGCCTCCTGGACAAGCTTTGTGCTAATTTTAGGCCCCTCGAGTCTGTCGGTCTGTCTGCAGGGTAGGTGGTTGTTGACAAGGGAAGAAAGAAACAATGAAAACAAAATCAGTCGTGCATGTTGCTTGCTGGGTCCCTGGTATATGCGGCTCGATGGGGTATTGTTATTCGGGTTCTATTTCATTTACAAATACGGAGTATATTTCTATATATCTTCCCAGAGATCTTGTAACCAGTTTGGGCACGTGGGGGTGGTTGCATCTTAAAGAGATGAAGGCGGTAGATTTGGCAATTTCCACGCCACATGTGCCCATTCACGGCAGCGCTTCGCCTTGTCGAGATAAATACACGGCGCCACAGCCAAATAAAATTAAGCAATATGAACAAGGCGTAAAAACTGGATTCATACTCGTATACTACAAGACACACGTGCCGCGGCGGAGTGGCTTCAGCAGTACTTGTGCTGTATCTGCAAAGTATCAGCATCTGGCACAATTCTCCGGAGACCGGATCTGGATGAAGATTAGGATTGTGGGGCCGCTTGTGGCTATCCAGTACAAGCGCATTCGGGGCTTCTCACAAGTAAAATTTGGATTTTTGCGCAACAATCGACCAGGCAGCAAAGCCTACGGAGTAGTAGCCTCAACCTTGAGAGCCACAGATACGCAAAAGCCAAAACAAAAGATGGTAAAAAAACTTTAGTGTTTGATTTGGAAAGATTGGAAAAGAGGTCCAGATACGATGGGCTGACGCCCTGTTCGTCCCATATACATATACCTACCGTCCCGGCTGTCACCCACTTTACCATGTAATCGTCACCTCGGCGCTGAAAGTTCATCCCATCATCACCTCACCCACCCGACTACCACCAGCCAAAATTTCTATACAAGAACCTGATAGTACTTGATTTCACGTCACAATGTCGAGGTGGAGCCGTCTTCCGGAGGAGATGAGACTCCAGGTGCTGGAGACGCTGGCGCAGGCTCCTCGTCACAACGTCGTCGACGGCACATACGGCCTGACCAACTACGCCCTTGTCTGCAGGGCGTGGCAGAGCATCTTTGAAAAGGCCAATTTCCGGCGCCTCGTTCTCTGCCAAACCGACCTGTGTGCCTTGGATAAGATCCCCAAGCGGTGCAGACCCTATGTTAGACACATATGTCTTCGTATCGAGATTAACGAATACCGCCCTTGGGGTAATAATTCGGAGCCGGTGATAAGGCCGGAAAGGATGGAAGATATCGCAGCAAACAACGACATCATTGAATTGGCCGTGGGAAAGCTTTTCGGCGTGCTCAAGTCTTGGGAAAAGGAGCTGCAAAAGGTTCGACCGAGCTACCGAGGCATGGCTCTGGAGATGAGTATCCATTCACCGAGCGACCCCAAGTACGCCTATAGAGGAGTCACTGCAGCAGGGCTGGAGAAAGGACTGTCCTGGACACAAGATGCCGGCCTCGAAGGGGCTATTTCCAGGATATTTGGTGGATCTGTTCACATCCGATTCTACCAGAACCTTCCCCAGCTGAATCTGGTAACAAGATTCATCATGAAAAGACACACACGCCGGCGGATTTCTTCGTTTACGATGCACCAGATACTTTCCAAGTTTCCTCATCTGGAGGACCTGGTCTACGAGCCGTGGCAGCAGTCCCTGGATACGGTGCAAGACCTTGTTGATGCAGGTACGTCGATGCTTCGTTCGTATATCCAGGTGAGCTGATGGGCTAACCATGATCCCTAAAACCATAGGCTACGTAAATCTCATAAAAGGCTCCCTGCCAAAAGGACTGAAGCGCGTCACGCTTTTGGAAGATCGCCAAAATGGACGGGCGGGGCTTTTGGCGGCATTGGATCCGGCGCAAAGTGCATCGGCACGAACAGCAAACCCCTTCGTCGGTGCTGCCTTGGCAAAGAGAAGCGTCGGCTTTGAGAGTCTCTCGGCGTCATTTCTCGTCGAAGCGAACGACTTCTTCCGAGCGTATAAGCGAGAGTGGACTTGGAAAGCCTTGCGATCCCTGACACTGACATCGATGTATCTGGATTCTAAGCGAAGCACTGAGGAGATCAATGGCATGCTCAAGGCCGCTGGCGAGGCGGCACTTGCGATGCCCATGCTCGAAAACATGGAACTATGGAACGGTGGTCCGGGACACGCAGCCATTTTTGAGTATCACGGGAAGCGTGGTGAAGCCTACATTGCATGGCACAGCACCTGGAACTTGGCCGTTGACTCGCACGCCGTCAAGGCCTGGGAAGCCGTGGCCTACAAGAATCATGGTTGCCGGCTTGGTGTACATGACGAACGCACTCTTATAGGGGCTGGCGATGAATTCCGGCACTACCAAGATGCTATCCGGCGGCTCCGGACGAGGAAGAACGTCATCAGTGGGCAAAGCCTGAGCGAGCTGCGATTAGAACTCGAAGATGGATGCATGTGCTGTCCGTAGAGGTGGGATTGGTGGGTGTGTGAAGGCACAAGATGAGAAGGGAGAAGTAGGTGTGTGTATGCATCCGCGGGTGAATCTATTTCTTGTACGGTGCGGTGTTTGATAATAGGCACCCTAGACGTTATGCTACTCGTAAGAGACTCGAAATGTAATGGAATTCACGATACAGGCAATATGACAACATGCACATATTTCTTTTTCGTCTTCTTGGCGACAATCGTCAAGCTTCCCCAGAGTCTGGCCCCACAGTGTGGAGTCACGTGTGGCTGCTCTGGGGCGGTTCCGTCATTGCTCCATTTCGGGATTGAGCATTGAGGCTGGGCCTCGGGACAGCTGGGCGCGGCTTCACATGTCCCGTCCGAGTTCGTCGCTTTTCATTTTCATCCTCTCCCCAACACCGCCCGCCAACGATAGACGGCACGATTACTGCCCTGTACAGGCGTCTACTGATGGCTTGTACTCATCGGCTGCTCTGTTAGAAATACGGTTGATGCGCTGCTGCTTTTGCTGCTACACGAACATCTTCTTCCCACGCGCGCATACGATCGACTTGATGAACCCCGACTCCGTCTAGAACGGACTTGCGACGCCTGGGGTGTCCGAGAAGCACGTCCAGCGTCCGCACCGGCTTACTGCAAACAATGGCGGCGCAGTCGAACCTGCGCAGGACGGCGGCGGAGGATGCGCTGGCCGAATTCCTGGAGAAGTGGACAAACATCCTGGGCAAGAGGCTGCGGTCCACGTCGCGAACCACCCGCACCCTCGCCACGCTCTCGCTCGCCATGTCCATCATCCTCGGCGCAGAGGGCGGGAGGCGGTGGTGGAAGAAGCGTCGGCACGAGCACGAGCAGGGCCGCAAGCTGGTTCGCACCAATTCGTGGCTGCACAACAAGGATGGCTCGCGAACCATCTACGTCCCCTACAAGGACGGCACCTCCAAGGTGGTCATCAACACTACGAAGCCTCTTACTTTCGAGGCCCATAGACGGCTGTTCCTCAACCCGCCGAGAGTATCTGGCCTTGGCGATGGCACGGTGCCTTCTGCCCAGACCAAGCCTGGCTTGAACCTGGCCTTCCTGCACCAGTTTCTCAGCCTGATGAGCATCATGATTCCGCGGTGGTCCAGCAAAGAGGCTGGTCTGCTCATTAGCCATGGCGTCTTTTTGATGTTGCGGACATATCTGTCACTAGTGGTGGCTCGTCTGGACGGTGAGCTTGTCCGAGATCTCGTCGCTGGCCATGGAAAGGCCTTCTTATGGGGTATTGTAAAGGTAAGGTTTTCCGCGATTCCCTTGCTGGAGATTTCCATCAACTATATATTACCTGCACTCTAACCGAAATCCCCTCTGTAGTGGTGTGGGCTGGGCACGTTTGCCTCTTATACGAATGCCATGATCAAGTTTCTCGAGTCAAAGGTATCGATTGCGTTCCGAACTCGGCTTACTCGGTATATCCACGACATATACTTGAACGAAAATTTGAATTACTATAAATTGTCTAATCTAGACGGCGGCGTGGGACAAGGAGCCGATCAGTTCATCACCCAGGACCTGACGTTGTTTTGTGCCTCGGCGGCCAATCTCTATTCATCGTTGGGCAAGCCCTTTGTGGACATTTGCGTCTTTAGCTTCCAGCTTTATCGATCCCTGGGCCCTCTGGCTTGGATAGGTCTGATGAGCAACTACTTCCTAACCGCGAGCATTCTGCGGAAGCTATCACCGCCGTTTGGCAAGCTGAAAGCGGTCGAGGGCCGGAAAGAAGGAGACTTCCGCAGCCTGCACGCTCGTCTGATTGCCAATGCGGAAGAAGTGGCCTTTTACGGCGGTGCGGATATGGAGAAGACGTTCTTGAACAAGGAGTACAAGTCGCTCAAGAGCTGGATGGAGGGCATCTACATGCTCAAGATTCGTTACAACATCTTGGAAGACTTTATACTCAAATACAGCTGGAGCGCGTACGGCTATCTGCTTGCTTCATTGCCCGTCTTCCTGCCGGCCTGGGGCGGCGTTGGCGGTGCCGCTGAGATGACTGAGGGCAGCGAGAAGGGCAGCGAGAAGGGCAGCGAGAAGGGCAGCGAGAAGGGCCGCAGAGAGCGGAACCGCATGAAGAGCTTCATCACAAACAAGCGATTGATGCTTTCGCTTGCCGACGCAGGCGGCCGAATGATGTACTCCATCAAGGACCTTGCCGAGCTGGCTGGGTACACTAGTCGCGTGTATACGCTCATCTCAACTCTTCACCGGGTCCATGCCAACGCCTACTACCTCCGAAGCGGACAGAGCGAGCTCTACTCTCTGTCTGACGTCCAGGGAACGATTCAGAAGGGATTTGACGGTGTTCGTTTTGAGCAGGTGCCGGTTGTTGCCCCTGGCCTTTGGCCCCAGGGCGGAGAGGAGCTGCTGGAGTCTCTGTCGATGATTGTTCGAAGAGGCGAGCACCTTTTGGTATGTACAAGCTGTGACTTGTCCTCGTTGTTACTTGAGAATTGACCCCCTTTCTAGATATCTGGCCCGAACGGCGTTGGCAAGACTGCCATTTCCAGGGTCCTGGCTGGCCTGTGGCCCGTTTACCGGGGGCTGGTTAGTCGACCGAAGAGCATGGGTCAAGACGGCATCATGTTCTTGCCCCAGCGGCCGTACCTGAGCCCCGGTACTCTTCGAGATCAGGTCATCTATCCCGATGGCCACGTGGATATGTGGGAGAAGCGCAAGTCTGAGCAGGATCTGCAGAAAATCCTCGAAGCGGCCCGCCTTGGCTACTTGCCAGATCGGGAGGGAGGCTGGGACACGCGCAAGGAGTGGAAGGACGTGCTCAGCGGGGGCGAGAAGCAGAGGATGCAGTTTGCGCGCCTTTTGTATCATGAGCCGCAGTATGCCATCATCGACGAGGGCACCAGTGCTGTCTCGAGCGACGTTGAGGGCTTGCTGTACGAAACGTGCAAGGAGAGGGGCATCAGTGAGTAGTAATCCTGCGTTTTATCCCATGGAGATGGAACCTTTTTTAACCAACGATTCCCAACCTACAGCTCTCATTACCATTTCGACGCGGGCTTCTCTCAAGAAGTACCACACTTACAACCTTCAGCTGGGCGTCGGCGATCAGGGTGACAGCTGGGAGTTTGAGCGCATCGGGACGGAGCGCGAGAAGATGCAGGTCGAGAAGGAGGTGCAAGAACTGCGCGAACGCCTGGCGCAAGTCGACGAGCTGAAGAAGCGGCGAGACGAGATTGAGAGGGAGCTCGCGGCGGTGTGGACGGACAAGGGCGATTTGCTTGACGCACCGTCGTATATCGGCGTTGACGACGAGATGCAAGCTGAGGTCGAGGCCTGAAAGGAGCCCGGCTGACTTGTTCTTTTTTTTTTCTTTTTCTGTAGGGGGGCGAGATGGAGGATGGATGGGGGGACTTGCATGAGAGACATGAGGAATGCATGGATGTGAAATTCTAGGCTTGTTTTTTCATATGTGTTTGGCGGAGATTGGTTTTTGATTTTTTTATACGTGATGCCCAGTTTTATACAATGTATTATTTTATCCTATCTAGAGCGGGAGATGGGAAGCGTGCAAACACGGAGCAGTTTTTTTTTGATTAAAAATAGGCAATTGTTCAGCTTCTCATGCTGTTTGTCTCATTCGGAGCGGCGCTATTGTGAGACATTGGATGCGTCGTTTGGGGGCACGAGGCGTTATGAGGTCCGATCTAGACTGTGGTCCATGATGTTTTGTTCCGTCTGTCTAGATCTTGGGCGATGATGCCATCTGGATGATTTGTTGTGACGAGTTTATTTGTTTTATACCACAAGAGGATTTGAATCGTGAGAAGGGATGTAATGATGCTGTCAGTGAATAGGAGAACTGCCCATCACCACAGAGCAAATTACACCCAACATGAGATGAACCGGGCAAAGCATATCCAAGACAAAAAAGGTCAATCCCCATTTCCCGCGTCGGAAGCCGTCTTGAACTAGCGGCACGAATCCCACGAATTGAGCCGAACGGCGTGGTGAGCTGAGAGGCGTCGGGCTTCTTTTTTTTCTCTCCCTGCATGTGCTATACTATACTCGTCTGTTCACCCCGATGGCCGCCCTGCATGCGGGATGGAGGCCGGACTGGGTTTCTAGACCTTTATCGGTTTAAACTATAAAAATTGCAATTGATAGAGGAAATTTGAAAAAGAAAAAAGAAAAGAAAAGCTGCCTTGCGTGGCTGTTGTTCTGGATTGGGGGTGTCTTAGACGAGAGTCACATTGCACTTGTTTGCGATAAGAGGATATAGAATAGGGGCAGTAGTAGCGAGCATTATATTCTTCCCGTGTGTGATTTCGTCGTGATTCTCCTTCTTTCATTACTCTTCGTTTCTTCTTGTTACCATTTTGTCTGCTTGTAATGTTGTGATTGTTTATGGGATATCGGCTAATTGGACAACATCTTCCTTGACTTATTCCATCTACATCCAGGTATACGCACCATGTCACAACCACCCAAGTTTCATACGCGAGCCGGATCGAGGGCTTCGCTCGCTTCAGTCGGGCAGATGCCCGTTATCAACGAAGACAACAATGCCATCCCCATGTCAACATCACCGACAACACCGCCGCCAGCGATGCTACGTGTACCGACCAAGAACCCTCGACGAAGCATGGGACCTCCTGCTGAAGGAGCAACTATACCGTTTGTGATTGGGTTTCAGGGCATGCCCCCAGGGGTTCTGACGCCAGTCGAGTGCAAGGATGAAGGTGATGATGGGGATGAAGACACTGTTGTTGGACAGATGACGCCGACGCCGCCGGTGCGTCCAGGAAATGGCCAGTGGGATGCTGAGAATTGGAAGCCGAATAACACACAGAGGAGATGCCACTTGGCCCTCATCGTGGCTATGATCCTGGTGGTCCTCGTAGGGCTTGCTGTTGGGCTATCCCTTGGTCTTACAAAGGCGTGAGTCCTACATAGTCTTTCTGGTATATTGAATGATATACAGATACACGTACAGGGAAAAAGCAGTACTCATAGTTTAAAAAAGCTGACATTGGGTGCTACAGATCGGTCAACTATAGACGAGGCGGTAGTCAAATTGCTTTCGCCTCAGACGTGCCAACCGGCGCATTCACAATCGACACGCTGCTTCAAGACTCATCCACAGCATGTACCTCCAATCCAAGCACCTGGAGCTGCCTTTCCTCTCAGGGCGGCCACGTGGTGCGTTTTTACTGGAACATTACGCAGTCTGGCTCGGGCTACCTGATTTCTTCCTCCAACGACCCCATCGTTTCGTCCTTTTCGAATACCCCGTTACTTCTTCTCGACGGCGGCGGCGAAGACGAGAGATTGTCGTTTTCTTTCTTGCTAGACGTTGCTTTTGAGCCGCCCCTTACGGCGACTAATCGTGCTGCAAAGTGCACTTACACTGACACCACCTTTGAGGCGACGCTCTGGACGAAGCGCGGAACACAGCAGCCTTATGGCTCGGTCCAGAAGCGAACGGGGTATGGGAACTGGACGGGGCTGGTGGAGATTGCACAGAAGAAGAATGCTACGCTGGGAGTGCCGCAGTGTGTGGATTCGCAGGGAACTGTGATTGCGGATGTACAGGCTGAGATGGGGACTTGTGAGTGTGCGTACAGGACAAAGGGGTGGCAATAAGGGGTTCAAATGCTAGAGAAGGACAGAGTTATCTGAATATTAATGTATAGAAATGTGTAATGTATATATGTAAGTATGTAGGGATGGCGTGCGTATTTGGCTCGAGAGTGGTTCTTTTGACCTTTAGCAGAGAAATGACTTTTATTAAAATGACAACAGTTGAGGGATTAACATTCTATCGAACAAATGGAAAATTGTCTATATGGTTACTCAAACGACACTGAATTGCAACTTACCGTGCATTCACCAGGTACTCACCAGGAATCCTCACCCATAAGCTCATCCTCTTCATCCTCATCCATAGCTTCACCTTCACCCTCATCCCCATCCAAATCCATCATACTTGCCACGCTCACGCTTTCTGGGTCATCTCCCATAGAGATATCCATGGCATTACCTCCAGACGTCATAGTAGTTTGAGCTGATCTGCCAAACTGGACTCGTTTCTGCTTCTTCGCGTCCCGCCGATCACTGCTCGTACTCTTCGAGCTGCGTCTCTGCTGATTAGTTTCTCTTACAGGCGTCCCTAAAGCAGAAAGCGGGGGATTAGCTGCTGGGCCAGCTCCCGTTTGGCCAAACATAGATGGTCTTTGGTGGCTGAAAAGTATAGATGAGCCCGTGGAGGACATGCTGAGCGGCGATCGATGGCTTTTGCGTCGTAGAGAGGGCACCCGCGTCATGACTGCTGGATTAGTTCTCGCTGCCCGTGTGGCGTGAGTAAGAGCCGGTTGTGGGTGAAGACCTGTAGGCGAATCCGTCGAAGAGTCGCTGAGTGGTGAACGGTGGCTTTTGCGTCGTAGAGCGGCCACTGCTGGACAAGTTCCCTCTGCCTGTGAGCGGTGACCAAAGGCAGTCTGTGGGCGAGGATATGGAGCTGAATACGTCGAAGAGTCACTTAGTGGTGATCGGTGGCTTTTCGGTCGCAGAGCGGCCACAGTCTGTGTATAAGATGACGGCGGCATATTGTGGTTCGTCGCCTGAGCAGCGAGTAAATCATTATTACCTGGGCCTGGAATCTCAACTATCGGACCCTGTGAGAGAGGAACCGGGGTCGTCTTTGTAAGTGCCCAAAAGCTGTCCCAGAAGCCGCGCGTCTCATGATCCAATTCCTGGAAACCACGATGCTTGCGATCGCAAATCTTTCTTAGTAGATAGGACAGCTTGGGGCGGTTCGCTGGTTTCTCGAACTGACACTGCATAATGAGATCGAGGAGCTCTGCTTCGATGTAGGCGTGGGACTGTCTGCATATGCGCCAGCCGTATGAGTTGCCTGTGCATCTTCGGTCCTGAGCCGTGTAACTCATCGTGGTCATCGGGTGGCCTACCCAATTCCTTGTGATGACGGCCTCCATCTTGATGAAATAGTCTGGTTAGCGTGACCCCCCACGATATGAGAATGCTGAAAAGGAAAGGGGGATACTGACAATTTTAGCAATAGTAAAGATGTTTGTCCAAGTACCATATCGTCCGGCAACTTCATTATGCTGAGCATCAAAGACTTCGCCGGTGAATCTCGATACTGGGCCCGGATTACTCAGATCGATTTTGTCCCATTCTTTTGAAATCGTTTCCTAGTAGTCATATGAGCACCCATTCTCATCAGAACATGCGCGGATGATGATACTTACCGGGGGAATGCGGTTGGACTTGGGACATCTCCTCACTTTCCAGTAATCGCCCTCTTCCCAATGCTGCCAACACTCCTGCATTCTATGGCTGAAGTCGCCAAAATCGTGAAGCTAGTCGAATATACGTGTCAGTGCATATAAAACAATATTTGCGCCGTCTCTCATGCTCACCTTGAAAATCGGATGGTGAGAGTGCTGAGCATCTTCAGAAATGAGAACTATTCATACTTCGTTAGCTGGGTCAAACATAACGGGATATCAAGCGAGTACATACTGTTTTGCTCTTCCAGATCGAAATGCACGTCGTGGCTGTCGATTAACGTGCAGATCCTAAGGAGCTCATTCATATTTCGAACATCGTCCAGCGAGTCCAATACTTTATCGAGACCATCAGGACCCCATCGCCGTGCTGCATCTGGCTGAAATGCCGTCGATACAACACCTTTCACCACTGTAAATAGATCATCAGTTAAACACCCCCCCCCTCTCCCTTTAAGAAAAAGGATACGGTGAGACTTACAGCACTCCCAAATCTCCCACAGCACCTTGTCCGAGAATCTAATCCCAAAGTACGACGTCTTAGCCATCATATCGTAAAGGCTCCCGCGCTCTGCATACTCCAGCACAAGCACATCCATGTTAGTCTGCACAAATCGCGCCCCTCGATTTATCATATGCCCCCTGTTGATCCTGCGCCTAACGCTGTCAGCCATTGCCTGAATGTCCAGAGCCTGAGTAACGTGAGAAGCCCCCCCGTATCTCAGATGCCAGTCCAGCTCGCTATCAAAGTCAGCGTTTGCACGGACGGGTATCTTGATGACAACCTTGATGCTGCTCTGGTCTTCAAAGATGACGTGCCACAGCGTAGCCATTCCGAAGCCGCCTTGGCCGAGCACTCTGATCCATTCGAGCCTGAAGCCATCCCATTCAAGGAGCTCAATGAATTCGCCGACTTGTTGTGGCTGAGCTGAGTGACTGCTACGAGAATCTTGATACTGGTCGCCAAAGGGCCATTCGAATAGTTGGTCATGCTGCATGTGCCTGGGATGGTAGGGGACTCTGATGTTCCTGGCGTGCTCCCGAAGGATTCTGCTGGTGTTGTGAAGAGTGACGACTCTGTCGCCGCGGAGCAAGGCTGATCGAATGGCGGCTATGTTTCGCGTTGGTGTGAGAGGAGTCTGTCTTGCCGCTGTGCGGCGCACGATGAGATGAGGCAACGGCGAGGGCATCTTGACCGTGAGAACGATGACGAGAAGTCAGTGGTAGAATATGCGGGTAAAATTGACGATTCCATTTCTTCTTCTTCTTCTTCTTCTGCTATCCAAGTCGATTGCTACGATATATGTGTGAGCGTGATGCCAAAAATAACAACTCTTCAAACAAAGAGGAAAATCCAACACAATGCATCTTCATCTTGAACGCTCTCGTCGTTTCATACACTGAATGACGCCTTGAACCATGTTCAGTCTTTGATGACGATAATCAGCTCGTTGTCCCAATTGACAAGGAGACAAGAGACAATGAACAAGGGCAAATCGTCAATCCAACAAGGGGTCTCTTTCATCTCCTTGTCCTGGATGAAGCCGTCCCGGCTCAAAGAAATCAACCCCGCTGTCGAACAGCCCCTCAAAGGAGAATGGATACAAGCCACCGCAAATAGATTCCTGGCCCGTCTCCACCGAACGAATAGCTTCAAAAAAAAAAAGGCGTCGTCACCATAAGCAAGCCCCGGTGAGGAGTTGCTCGTACTCGTAAGAAGTTTTCCAGGAAGGAGAATCGACAAGAGATTGCAAATACCCGCGGTATCAATAGCCCGATGTCATCAATCTTATCCCTCAGTCAAGCCTGAATCAAGTCAACCAGTCGTCCTTATTAGTACCGTCTTCCTCCTCCTAGTGGATAATAAGCTCCATCGAAGGCGTCGGGAGCCACAGAGCGGCAACCAACCGGACAATTAGCCGCATCCTGGTCCGGCGGAGCTTGGCGATTTAGGCTAAATACACGTAGCCATTGCGGTTCCCTCAGGCTGATCATCCGGAATAGTATCGAAGAACGGTTTCGAGAACCCAAAGGTGAGTGAATGCAGCCGTTGCCGCAGCATTCCATGGTCATCTCCTGGCCCCTCCTATGCAGATCCACAATGACATGTTTCTCTCGGTGATGTACCAAGTAAAAGAAAAAAGAGGGCTTGTTGCTGCAAGGCAAGGCAAAGCAAAGCGCCATATTCCCGAAATGCAGGTGGCATCATGCCTACGTAGGTTAGTTGAAGCCACATCGGTTCATGCTGGTACAGATGAGTTAGACGCACTAATAAGAGACGAGAGAGCGAGTGACAAGTTAAACGCACCATTAGGAGAGCAGAGTGACGAGCCACCAAGGACCCTGAGCTCTCCGTGTTAGACAGGATAGATGACAGCTTGCGGCCACACTCTCCCCCACCTCCTGGGTGAGAAAAGCCATACATACGGCCCGGTTAGATCTGCTAGTTTCTACCCGCCCTCATGCATATAGGCGGCAAGCAAGAACTGGGCGTTGGGGCCGTTGCCTCCTCATATCTAGACTCACCCATCCATCCATCCCAGGCCCCAGCTGACCCTTTACTTGGCAGGCTAGAGTGGGATTCCCACTGCGTCAAATACTAAGAAGAAAAAAAAAGGGACTCCGCAAAGAGGCGATAGCAAGGCTGCGGCTGCGAATAAGAAAAGGAACCCCCAAGCCATGAGGCACCGAGCGAGCATCCTCTCGAGTGGAGTTCGAGCGTTGTCCATAAATAAGCCCCGACAACCTTCCTTCTTCCTGTCTCGTTTGTCTATCCCATCTGACGCTCAACCGGTTCACCCTCACAAGACCTACCGTTGTTTCTCGACTCAAGGAAGACTAGCAAGCAAGATGGCGTCCCCCACGATCAAGCTCAACAGCGGTTATGAGATGCCCCAGGTGGGCTTTGGCCTCTGGAAGGTCGACAACGCCGTGTGCGCGGATACCGTTTACAACGCCATCAAGGCCGGTTACCGTCTGTTCGACGGTGCTTGTGGTAAGTTTCAATAATCGGTTTCAAGCTCAAACAAAGAGAGAGAGTGTGAAAAATGAAGCTCGCTCTCTTCCCCGCATTTTGCTTCCATCTGAAAGTTGGGGTTGCGTCGCTAGAAAAAAAACAAGCATCAGCGCTAACGTTGTATCTCCCACTTACAACAGACTATGGCAACGAAAAGGAGTGTGGTGAGGGTGTTGCCCGCGCCATCAAGGAGGGCATCGTGAAGCGTGAGGAGCTCTTCATCGTCTCCAAGCTGTGGCAGACCTTCCACGACGAGGACAAGGTCGAGCCCATCACCCGCAAGCAGCTTGCCGACTGGCAGATTGACTACTTTGACCTCTTCCTCATCCACTTCCCCGCTGCCCTCGAGTACGTTGACCCCAGCGTCCGCTATCCTCCCGGATGGTTCTACGACGGCGAGAGCGAGGTCCGATGGAGCAAGACCACCCTCCAGCAGACCTGGGGAGCCATGGAGAAGCTGGTCGATGCCGGCCTTGCCCGAAGCATCGGCATCTCCAACTACCAGGCCCAGTCCGTGTATGACGCCCTCATCTACGCCAGGATTCGCCCGGCCACGCTCCAGATCGAGCACCACCCCTACCTCCAGCAGCCCGACCTCGTCAACCTCGCTCAGAAGGAGGGCATCACCGTCACAGCATACTCCTCCTTCGGCCCCACCGGGTTCATGGAGCTCGATATGCCTCGCGCCAAGAGCGCCGCTCCTCTGATGGAGAGCTCCACCATCAAGGAGATTGCCACCAAGCACAAAAAGACCCCTGCCCAAGTCCTCCTCCGATGGGCTACTCAGCGCGGCCTGGCCGTCATCCCCAAGACCAGCCGATCGGAAGTCATGGCCCAGAACCTGGATTCAGTCAACTTCAACTTGGACGACGGCGACTTGACCAAGATTGCCGACATGGACTTGAACATCCGATTCAACAAGCCCACAAACGTGAGTTGCATCTTGTCATCACCTGTATCAGACCGTTCATTGCTAACCTTTGAGCGCAGTACTTCACCGCTGACAAGCTGTTCCTCTTTGGCTGAATCGGGAGATGGTTGAGTAAAGAAAAAAAAAGAAATCCCTTTGTGCTAGTAAAATTCTCTTGTTGGTGTTAGGATCACGTCTTCATTGTTCCTCTTTCAAAGAATAGCTGGGCGGTCAGTCTGGATAGAATACAAATATCAGAATAATCTGAACCATTGGAACTGGCAAACTCTTTGTTTCACCTTTCACCACTTTGAACACGATGAGTGTCAAATCAAGTCAAATCAATGAAACGGGACACAAATGCCTTCATTGTTGTAGTAAAAGAAGCCATCATGTAATAATTCGATTGACGCCATAGTATTTCCTCCAAAAGACAAACCATTCTGTCACTCTAAGACTCCAATCCGCATTGTGAAACTCACATTATACTCTCACGAAGGCTGACAAAGGTTAGAGGATGATCAAGCTGCGAAATATCAGGGTAAGACAAGACTTACTAGCATCAATCTGCTTCACCTGTGGCAGTGCCAGCCGGACTTTGTTCCTGTACAGAGCAGGGCCACGGAGTTGAAGGGGGTTGCCCTCAAAATAGACGGTTGTCAAGTCCTCCTTGTCCTTCAACTCCTTCTCCACCTCGGCAAAGTCTCCCAGTTGATTGTAGCTGGCCCACAATTCTTCGAGGTTTTCCAAGGGACCAACACCTTTGAGGCTGCTTATCTGATTGTTGGAAATTTCGAGTATCTTGAGGTTGGTGTTGTTCTCAATGCCTTCCAAGGTTTCGAGAGCGTTGTGGGCAATGTATAGCTCCTCTAGCTGGGGAACCTCCTTGAGGGGAGACAAATCCCGTATGCGGTTGGACTGGATACTCAGCAGACGCAGCTTGGGGAGCCCTCCGAGCCCTGTCAGCTCTGTAATCTTGTTCTTCGCCAGCCAGAGCTCCTCTAGATTGTGTAAGCTATCGAGGTTTTGGATCTCTCGGATACGGTTCGAGCCGAGTTCTAGCGACTTGAGCTTGTCAAGCCCTTCTAGCCCCTCGATTTTGCTAATCTTGTTAGCGACCAGGAATATCTCCTTGAGGTCCTTGAGATGATTAATGTGTTTAATGTGTTTGATCTTGTTGAAACTTAGATCCAGGCTTGTAAGCTTGGTTAGGTTGTCCAAGCCACGGATGTGTGCGATCAGGTTGTCGTATAGATCAAGCTCTTCCAGCGTATTGGCAAGGCTTTCGAGGCTTTCGATATCTTGGATGACATTTTGTCGGAGACAAATACGAGTAACGTTCTTGAAGCGCTCTAGCCGTAGGGCAGGCAATGACGAGATGCGAGAGTGGGAGCACATGATTTCTTCGGTGCCGGAATCCTCGCTATCGAGTAGATCTGTCATGCAAAACACACGTCAGCCCGGGATACGTACAATCTCGGCTCGGCTGGTGGTTTCTTACTCTCATCTGCCCGGATCTCCTCGCCATGCAGGACATTGCTGTCGTCTGAGTACTCGGGATCTGACAGGGCCTCGGGGTTGGTCATGAGCGCAGTCTTGGGAATCCGCAGCTTGCCATCCCATCCCTTGCTGTCTCTGAGAGACGGGCTCGGCTCGCCATCGACGCGAGGAGACGGCCGGTCGTCCACGATGTCGATGTGAGCAGTGCCCTCGGTTTCTTTATCTTTTTCGTGCGGGACGTCCATGACGCACTGCCGATTCTAGTGTAAGCTCGGGGCAAGACCGTCGCAGGAGAGATCTGCGTTGTCGGAGTTCTAATGTTCAGTTCGGCCAGAAGACGTTGTAGTTGTCGGAGGATGCTCTGGTCACTGGATAGTTTGGTTTGTCCAAGAGCAGAAGAGGCACGCGAAACGGCACCAGTGCTGCCTATTACTTAATAGCATGGACTTGTATTTTCTGGAGCTTTCTAACTATTTAAGCTCCGGCTTTGAGCCTTGCGACTGATGAGAGCCCGAGTGGCGTATTTTCAGCGATGGGTGACGCCCAAGCCCACTAAACGCACGGCTCTCAAGGCTAACGCGGGGTGGCAGCGGCTGCATCATTACAAAAAGGCCTGTAATTGATTGACCTTGACGGCTGCATGTGGCCATTTTTATGGCTGCCACATACCGTCTTTCAAACGGCTCAACCTCTTGGAAAGGAGCAAACAATACTGCCGGGATCGAGCATGTTGTGAAATACTGAACAAGGCTTTTTCTCATAGTCACTCCATACCCGATAGCGGGGTCCGGGGCCTTGGGCTTTCAGTAATGCGCATCCCATCATCGTCGGTTGCGCATCTCAGAGTGCCGGTGATACTTGTGACGACAAGGGGCTACCGAACAGCTGCCCCATGGGCATGGCAAGCAAGAAAAGCCACCGTTCAGCATGGATATAAGCAGGGGCGTGGAGTTGTCAAGAGACAAATCCACTTCGGCCAAGTCTTGATGCCGCCTCTCATCTTCACCGGCCTCTTTCTTGCCCTTTGGTGCTACAAATGCATCATGCTTATCTTGTTCCAGAATGCCATCATATACAACCCCTTTCTCCCACCGAATGCACGAAGTATGACGATCTCCGAGTTTTCTCGCCAGTGTGGGGGCATCGAATGGAAGGAGGACAGAATCAAGTCCTTGGATGGCACGGAAATTGCGCTTTGTATGAGTGAGATATCTTGTGGCAACGAGCGTGGTGGCTCATCCAAAGGACCAAAAACGCCAGTCTACATTCTCTATTTCCAAGGTATGCTACTCGATTTCCATTAGAAAAACTATTGCAATTGGCTGAGTGGAGGTATAGGGAACGCTTCATCTCTCCCCCCTCGATTGCCAGATCTCTCAGGCATCCTGCGCCAGCTGAAAGCAGAGACTAAGGGACAAGTTCACTACACCATGATTTGTCTCAGCTACAGGGGATATTGGACATCTCACGATCGTCCTTCTGAGAAAGGTATCGACTTGGATTCAGAGGCGGCTCTTCGATGGGTCTCAAAGCTTCATCGTGAGAAACATAAAGAGACACAGGTGGCACCAGTCACTATCCTTTGGGGGCAGAGCATCGGATGTGGCTTCGTAACAAACCTAGCAGCCAAGACCCAAGATGCTGCCTATCTGCCAATCAATGCCTTGGTGCTGGAGACGCCGTTCACAAACACCCGAGCAATGCTCACGGCGCTGTATCCGCAAAAGTGGCTGCCGTATCGACATCTATGGCCGTTCTTGCGCAACCACCTCGACAGCTGGGCAAACTTGGAGCTGATAGCGGCAAAAGCCCAGAAACCAGGGGTCTACATAGTAGAGGCCGGCAAAGACGAACTGGTGCCCTCTGATCATGGCGACATCCTGTATCGGCGGTGCCAGGACGTCCAATTATATGCGGAATTGCACACCGTTCGCGGAGCACTCCATAACGATGCGATGGTAAGGAGACAAGGCAAACACACCATTACACAGTCTATCGCCTCGGCGGTCTCGCGGGCGCAGGAACTCTCTGCCGATCAGGCGCAATGTCTGCCCGGGCTGGCAAAAAGCAAACCCTGAGCGTGAACGCCGGACCCGAATCTTATACTTGAGAGTTTGGTCAGATCAGCTGTGCTACGGCTCCTACTTCCAGTCATGGCCAAGTCTGCGTCCAACACACACACACACACACACACACGGAATCCTCGTACCGGCCTTAGCTGGTGCAGTAGCCTACCAGAAACAGATGCAACAAAGCCTGTACCTTGCAATGCAATCTATCCATGATCCACTGGCGAAAAGCACGGCCCAAGCGTGAGGCTTGTTTGCAGGCCGTGGGTTGTGAGACACTTACTGTCGTGAGAATTAGATAGAGAGTCCAAGGCGTCAGGACTGCTTCAACCACGGCCGGTGACAAAGCCTTGATGTAATTGGCTTCAATTGACTCCGAGATTCGCACATTCCTCTCGTCTGAAGTTTCCACCAGCTCGAATCCCAAAACTTTTGGTTCCGCGTGCCCCATCGCCTTGATGCACTATCGCACAATCCTGCAGGCTGGTGTATGGATGCCTTGCACGGCTCCAGGCACCGCACGGCTCAGAACAGGCTGTCCCACTGCAGCCACCATCCAACTTGTTGAAACGCCCGTGGTCAAGCCCCCCCTTTTATCAGCCCTTCTTTGCTCTGACTCGACGGACTCAGCAAGGATCCTTGGTCATCGGGCTGCGAATCCGCCTCGGCCTCTCAGAATGGGCGATACAAGTGCCGCCTGGCATCACGTGCTTTCGCAATCTTTTGGCGTTTACAGTATCACACTGTGGCTATTACTGTGCAGCACTAGACGCGAAATTAACCGAGTGGGACGCGTTGTGTCATCTCATTATCACCAACCCTGCCTAGGCCGCCTCACTAACGGATCCGGGGGGTGTCCATAGGCAGGCAGCGCCTCCTGTGGGCTTGGGTCCGATGTCGTATAAAACCATGGCGTCCACCTCGCTTTACGCAAAACACTCAGCATCGTCCGGCTCGGTGCCTTAGGTAAGTGAATCGATTTTACGGTGTGGTCGATTCATTCCGGACTTTCCTCTCCTTCGTACTTTGTGGTTATGGGCAGATTGCACGGTTGATTGCATCTGCCGTTAATGACAGTTGTGTGTTTCTTTAATTGCCTATTCTTTCTAATCACACCGTCTCCGACCGGATTCACAATGTACTCCAGCAGGCGCTTCGAAACCTCCAGCCGGAGCTTTTCCAAGGGCCACAAAGTGTCCAAATCCACCTCTTCCTTTAGCAAGGATAGTGGCATTACTAAGAAGCGCCATGAATCTCGCCATCGGAGACCGGCTACGGCTTCGTCCGCAACAGCCAGTGAGGACACCATCATGACGAGGTAAGTGATATTCTATTGTGTAATGTAAAGATTGTAAATTAACGCGGGCTGCTAGCAACCTGAGCTCTTCTGTTGTGACCCTCGTTGTCGGTGCCGAACAGAGACTTTTCGCCGCTCACGAAAACATCCTCTCTTCGAGCCCCTTTTTTGACAACGCCCTGCGGAACCTCTACACCGACCCCTCTGCCAAGAGAATCTCTCTTCCGGACGAAGAGCCCGAGATTTTCAGCTCGGTGCTGGAGTACATGTATAAAGGAGACTACTATCCCTGCTTGGTGCACAATAAGCGGCGGGATTCCTGGGAGCTAGAGGCCCTCGGCAGTGACGATGACAAAAGGACCGCAGAGAGCACAGTCTACCATCGCGGCGTCGACGGTGACCTGCTCAAGGACACTGTCATTTACTGTGCTGCCGAGCGGTATGGCCTGGATGAGTTGAAGAAATTGGCTCTGCGCAAGCAAGGCCTCCGTAAGTCTTTTGGAACCATGCTCATCCCGCCCTATTCCTGACACAAAGCAGAATCGGGAATCCAGTGCAGCACTATCTTGGCCTCTGCAAGATATGCATATGCCAACACCCCTGACAGCGACTCAAAGCTGCGAGCTCATTACTTGGCTCTCATCATTCGGTCTCGTAGCACCTTCAAGCGAAGCGGCACGATGCAGCTCGAAATGTTCAATGGAGGCACTCCGCTCTTCTTTGATCTCTTTGTAGCCCTCTGCAACCACGTCGATGATATTTCATCTACACAGTAGGTCTTTCTTATCTGTTATTTCTCTTGATTGCTTCGTGATTAACAATCAAGAAGAAATACTCCACGATCTACCCGCCACATGTAATGTCTTGAGCTCATTTCAATAAGAGCTAATCTCTTTTCCCCTATGTCATCCACCAAAAAGACGACGTCAGCCCAATAACAAAAAACAAAGAATCGTGGCGCTTTTATGGAATTGCTTGTTCAATTATGCGGTTAAATTTTTCCGGTTATTCCCCCACGTCATCTTTTGTATCATTATGTCTTTGCTTTTTTTTTTTAGCCGCAACACCCTGCGGCTTGTTTGTTTCCTCTCCTTTGTCTACACTTGAAGATTCATGGCACTCTGGAATTACGATGATTCGGTATTTATGAATGGGGGATCACGTATTGAACGAGCTGAGATTGAATGATAAGGCTAGCTCGTATCTATAAAAGGGATTGAGGCTCACAAGAGTCGCTGTATCCGTTGTGTTAGAGCTATACACTGACTGAGCTTGCATGGAAATAAGTCACTTCTTTTGTTTAGCAAAATTTACACTCAAAGTCACTCAATTGTCAAGTTAAAGCTATTATCACAGGACTTGGCAAAGAACTTTGAAGTGATAAAATAATACATCGCATCATGTGTCATGGCCTTATTCGTTTTCACCCCCCAGAGGAGCCGCGCACCATCCAGACATCCTAGTCAGATCCCTAAACTTTCCGAGTAATGAGTCATTGGCTTAATGCAAAACTAATCAGGCAAACAACGGGTGTGGTAGCAGTGGAGGTGTACATGTGCGCGCAAGAGTCTCAGAGAGCCAACCAAGCGGCGAGGCTGTTGGAAGAAGCAGCCACTAGGACAAGGCCGTATTCACGGATATCTTGGCTATCTAATATGCTATGCGTGCAGTAACAATTCAGGTGTAGGTATGGCTGGTGGGCAGCAAAACATGTGCGCGCACTCAAACCTTCTTCTCAGAACTATAGGCTGCGGGATGCCTCTCGCCCATGAAGCTACAAGACTAGATGATTCTGAGTTTCATTAAACGACCATGATCATCTGATGCCACTTCGTCTCGTTTAGATGCCTGTCCCCGGGAAGGCGCCTTTCTTGGATAAGACTACGATGCCTCGTTCGCGGGCAATATAGCCTTTCATCAGATCCTAGTTATCGACGTCAGCAACAAGGCTCCCATGAAACCATTCTCAGATGATGTATACAATCAAGGAGTCTGAACCATACCTTGTAGATCATGTTTGCTATCAAGCATTCGACTTCATCAGTGTCAACCAACTCTCCACCGCTCCCCATACAAATGGCTGCGCGGAATTCTGCTACAGGCACTCGTGTGCGGCGCACTGGAGTGGTTTCTCCCTCTTTGAGCTCATCAAACCCTCCCGCGATGAAGACTTTGCGCAACAAGTTGCGCAAGGCAATGTCACGACCACGTTCAAGCGTCAGGTAAATGCGCCTCTTGACAAATTCATCTTCACCTTCTTGTAGTGCGAGGTCGAAGGCGCGGAGATTACCGCTTCTGATGCATTGGGCTAAGGGAAGGAAGAGCTTTTGTAGGCGCGGAAATGGCTCCAGAAGTGCCTTTGTGGGCAATACGTGAGTAGTGAGGAGGCGACATGGGATGAGATACGTAAGTATACGCCTATAATTGTTAGTACAGAATCAGTTGGGTATTGGAATATTTAAACATACTCCAAATTTTGTAGTGCATCCTTGTTGCAGAGCTCCCATGCTTCGACAAGATGTTTCTCGGCCTTGAATAGTGCCGTTAGCTATGCGAAATGGCATATGATGGAGGATTTTTTCTCACCTCGACATAGTTTTCCTCGAGGAAAAATAAAACGCCCTCATAGAACTTGAAGGTGACTCTTTGGGACTTTGGAAACGCCGACAATGGTGGCATATCTCCTCTGTATGCGCTCAATGTTTTTAAAATGGTTCGTGAAAGTGAGGCCGAGTTCAGCTTAAAGTATGTTTTGAACAGTAGGTTGATGATGAAATAGATGCCCCATTTCCTGGATTCTTCTAATGGCGCTCTAAACCCGAGTGTTAGAATCACACAAAACAGGGTTGAAGCAGACCACAAACCTGTCATTGAGACAAAGTGTGAATATTCTTTTCAGGTGCTGCTCGCAGTCTCTCAGTTGACCTTGTTTTTCGGTCTCTGGATCAAAGTCGTCCTGCATAAGGGAGGCTCCTCCAGAGTTGTCACCGAGGTTGCGGCTACGCTCCGCATCAGATTTGATGGCGAATAATCTCAAGTATTTGCCAATCATATACAGACACGGAATCGTCCACGCTTCAAACCCAAAGGTATTATATCCCCGAATCAATATGGATGTTAACTCCTTCCACGATTCATAGACTTTGGTCCACGTTGACTGTTCCAACGTTAGCAGTCGGGCACTCATGGTCCTCGGTATACCGCGTCACGTTATGTACCTTGCCATCCTCTCCTGCAACAATGTCGCCAACAGCATTCCAATATGCAGCATAGACTTCCACCCAGCCTTTGATCTCCTCATGATCCAGACCTCGCTGGTGAGATGAGTTTGATTTGATCAAGTGCTTGATGTCACCTTTGATCCTGGACGAATTACTGCTTTTCACAATCGACCTCAGCCGCTGGGGATTCTCTGGTGGGGATATCGGTGAGAGCGTTGCCGCGAGCAGGTATCCATTCTGCTCTGCATGGGCTCTCGCAAAGCCCTTGAATAGCTCGTCCATATCGCAATGGAGATGAAAGCCTGGAATGGGCTCGGTTGGTCAAATGCCGATTTGCTCTCAGTTCCCGTCGATTCAGAGAGCAAGCTGAATTTGTCTGAGGCAAGACAGTTCTAGTCTGATGGAGATGGTGCACTCTATAAGAAGTGATTGATATAGCTAAAAACGTCTATCCATAACAGAGGAAGCTCCAACGCCTTACCACCCATCACAGGCAAAGGCATCAAGGTACGTACCTCTTAGCTCCAATGGCAGCTGAGGTAAACAAAGTCGACGTGTGACTTTTCACGTGATGTGCCACCGAACTCTTCTGGGGCTGTGGATCTGCTCTCAGCCAATCGCTGTGGAGGTTAAAGCCCTGCGACAAATTTGGTGCTCAACCCTCCCCACTCACCCGCACACAAAAATTATCGCTGCATCACCTCTAACTTGACAATCTTCAAATTTCGCGATTTGTCGAGGACACAGTCACAGTGAGTCGGAAGGATATTTTGTAAGATATTGTACATGCTAACGATCTTCCAGATGGGTAAGAACACTCCTTTAACAGCTCACCCTTTCGAGAATGCGCGTTGTCGGGAGGACATGGTGCCGTCGAATTTCGCCGTAAAAATCAACAAAATCGCCATATGCCGAACTGGGATCTCGATTCAACCAATCGATTGAAAATTGATGATGTGGTGCCTGGAAGAGGAGGGAACTGGGCCTGACAGCTATCGTGTTACATTTACGAAGAGCAAGGTGTTCTGTCATGGAAGATTTCTTCGAATCGAGACTCGACGACCCTGAGGGGAAAAAACGGCAAATTTGGCACGAGACTACCGGCAGCGCGCATTCGACGGGATTCGCTTCTCACAAATCTCTGTTCCCTTGGATACTAACAACATGCAATCAGGTCGCCTTCAGGAGTACGAGGTCATTGGCCGCCACTTGCCCACCGAGGCCAACCCTACCCCGGCCATGTACCGGATGACCATCTTCGCCCCTAACGAGACGGTCGCCAAGTCCCGTTACTGGTACTTCTTGCGTGGTCTCAAGAAGGTCAAGAAGGCCACCGGTGAGATCGTCAGCATCAAGGCGGTATGTGGTTTTCCCAGTACGAAAAAGTCCACAGACGGAACAGCGACTGACGGCGAGGAAATTCTAGATCCACGAGAAGCACCCCGAGAAGGTCAAGAACTTCGGTATCTGGCTGCGATACGACTCTCGCTCTGGCACTCACAACATGTACAAGGAGTACAGAGAGCTGACCAGAACCGATGCCGTCGAGTCCCTGTACTCTGACATGGCCGCCCGCCACCGTGCTCGTTTCAGGTCCATCCACGTATGTCAAACACAGCTCTGGTATAGACGCCGCCACTCGAGTACTGACAATTTACCCAGATCCTCCGTGTTGTTGAGGTCGAGAAGATTGCCGACATCAAGCGCCCCTACATCAAGCAGCTGGTTACCAAGAACCTGAAGTTCCCTCTCCCCCACCGCATCACCAAGACCAGCACCCAGAAGCTGTTCAGCGCGAAGCGACCTTCCACTTTCGCTTAGAAATGTTACTGGTTTTGAGGACGGTTGGGCTAGGTTCTGCGGGTGTTTACAACGGATCATGGAAATATCACTGCATTTGCTCGTTAAAAGAAGAGCATTGAATGAACCAAAAAATTCTGAACACGGAGTAGATTTTATGACGCAAGAAATGTGAATGTCTCTATGTTTTTTGTACGGCGTCCCGTGTTCATGGCTGGGGAGAGGCGACCACCGATTCAATCGAGACGTGAATCGGCGTCGAGGTGATAATTTCGACGGGGGAACAAAAGCAGGTGGGAACTCGGCAATTTGAATTGTCGAGTTCAGGCTGCACAATACAAAAACAATTGAGCTTTTCAACGAATCGTCCCGAGTTTTTTTTCTTCTTCTTGTTGCCAGTGCATGGACCAGCAGTACCACATTTTTGTGTTGAGCCTAAGTTACATCTTTCTGTGTTGAGTTTCAGTAGCATCTCAACTCTGCTCATACAAACGACAGCCAGCTTTCCTTTGTAAACTTCTCCTGCTTCGTTTTCTGTCGTTTTCTGGATTCAGACAACTTCAAAAAAAGTTGACCTGAATCATTCCTAATCGGGCTCGCCGTGCTGGCGCGGATCCGGCCATACCAAGTTTCGGCCGACCAACCTATTCGAGACGACAGCTGCTAAAACACTAATCAAAAAGTCCGCCTACAAACGGTCCAAAACCACTGGTGAAAAAAATAGTATTAAAAAGTTATATGCCACACGATGGAGAATGATACCGCTCTCAGCTAGCAATCCGGTATCAACCCGGTATGACTCACGCTAAAAACGAGGCTGTTGCCGTCTAAGTATGTCTTGATTCTTTGAATACTAAAACTGGACCTGAACCTTCTCCTATTTTATTTCTTAAATTTACTACTCATACGATCTGTCTTATTCAGTTCAAGCTCAAGCCTTCTTGAAGTCTTTTAGTTGGCGTTTGTCGAACCTGCAACATTTACACCACATCACAACTCCGTCGATACCACAGAAACTTCTACACAATGGCACAGAGCAATGGCGCTACCTCCCTAGAATGGGTGACAGTCAAAACAACTCTACCAAAACCCTATCCTCCCATGTCGGAGCGGGAGCCCATCCGAACTGAGCGCCTCATCCTCAGGCCATACGCCGCCACAGACCTCAATGACTTTCACCTCCTCCGCATACAGCCCGAAGTAATGAAGTGGACAACACAGGGCAAGCCCGACACAGACCTAGCACAAACCGAAAAGGTCCTCGCAGACAGGCTACCGGGCACTGATGGTGAATCAGCCTACGAGTTCGCCATCTGCTGGGCAGAGACCGGCGAGATGATTGGCACAGGAGGCTCTCACATGCGGGAGGGAGAGCTCGGCTGGCCCGTCGTCGGCTACATGTTTCGATCCGAGTTCTGGGGCAAGGGCATCGCGACGGAGGTCATGAGCGCCGTTCTCAAGGCGTACTGGGCACTTCCCCGAGAAGAGGTCGAGATCAAGGTGGAGAAGAGCACCGTCGAGGGCGAGGGCGAGCGACAGCCAGAGCACATCACTGCGGTGACGGTGGATAGCAACGGGCCCAGTCAGAATGTGTTGGGCAAACTTGGCTTTAAGCTAGCCAAGAAATGGGAAGAAGAGGAACCTAATACGAAAGTGATGGAGCTCCTCTATGGATATGCCGTGCAAACGCCGAACGCCTAAAGGAACATGGGGACGGTGTTGGAGAGAACCATATTTGCATATTGCACTTTGGAAGCCAGGCGTCTGCATAGTTTATGATTTAGCGATATAGATATGACGGATAAAGTAATATACTACTAGATGGCAACCAGATGACAATACATGATGTCTCTTTACATTGTGACATGCGAATGAAGTCGACGAAAAGGAAAAGGGCGGGGGAGCTGCTTGCAAGTAGACAGACGTGACATTTGTGTGCTTGGCCGATCTTCCCCATCCTGGCACACTTGTTTATACATGTACATCGGAAAACAGACCAGCAGAATATGCACGAGTAGGTAATTAGCAGACTCCGTTGAACACAATGCTGTCAAACACACCCCGAGCCAGGGATACATGTCCACAAGCCAGCCCGACTTGAGAAGCGAAAACAAGCATGAGCATTCACTCATTCGGCCTCCTCGGTAGGCTTGCCGAGCTAAGAGTGCACCAACGCCGGCCTACATAAACGAGGGGCATTCAATAGGTCTGGGGATGAGGCGTTGGATGGAATGCATGCAACTACAGACTGAAGAGAGATGTGTGCCAGGCTCGGGCGGTTTGTGCAGCAGTGTACACGATGAGTAGAAACGAAAATAAAATGTACCATCACTGTTTAGTATCTTGAAGGAAATGTGGTCGTAATTTAAAAAAATAAGACGAAGAAATCAGTGAGTCAATGTTTGTTGCGATATAGCCCTTGCAAACGTTGCCGACTTCGGGGTTACGAGTCATTCTTACCAAAAGGTCTTCCTTTCTTTGCTATTCCTGGGAAGTAGTCATACACTGTTACCAAGCAGAAACACTAACAGTGATATGCTTTTTTTAGAATCCCTAGTAATCGGCTAATTCTTTACTGGTTCTGTATTCAATTGGTTTGCTGCAAGGCCTCAACTTCAGTACTCAAGTCAACCGACTAACAGCCCCTCCGTGTTATATACACATGAACACCAAATTACCTAACACACAAAACAGACAAAAAGAAAAAAAGGTAGAGACATGGTAGAGGAGCAGCAGATTTGCTTAAACAGAAAGATAAATTCCCAAAAATCCAAAAAATAAATGCCATGCGACCTGTGTGGATCGAACACACGACCTTCAGATGTCAATTGAGTTTGACTGGAGTTGGCAACTTCAGTCTGACGCTCTCCCAGCTGAGCTAAGGTCGCAAGCTAATTGGTTGAAAGAACGCGTTGCTAATTCGGCTTGTGAATGGAGTTTGCCCAAGCGATGGGGAAAGAAAAAGTAAACAAACAGATCCGTGCAATCTACGGTCCATTCATTCATTCACACCCGTTCTAATAGTCATGGGTTGCTTTGCTTGTTTGATGCTGCGGCATTGAATTTCCATTATGTAAAGTCGAAATATCGATGCTCTCTAGTCTGCGAGCATTGAATTATTGCTGATAAAGTGAAAAATACGACTTCTAGCCATCCCTAGGAAAAGACGATTGAATCTCATGTCCTCATCCATACCCATATGGTATCTCTTGCCCTAAAGGGAGAAAAGACACCAAACATAGGAAAACTACTATATACGTTCGCTCAGAGGCATTGCCACCTCTTGACGCTCCCTATTAGGGAGAAAAAAACCCAACTTGCACGCGCTCGTCATTTCTTCCCTGCTTTCTTCTCATAGGCTTCAACTAGATCTTTGCAATTGGCCAGATTCTTCTTTGGCTCCCACGTGTTGTCCTTGTCGCTGAAGCCCTTCCACTTGACCCTGAAGTAGTGCTCAAAGGTTTCCTCTTCAATTCTGGAGTCGACAATCTTCTCAACCTCCCACTCTTGCCCCTTCCCTTTAGCTTTACCGGTGGCCTTGGAATCCGTAGCTTTTCCGGCAGGAGGCCTTCCCCTGCGCTTTGCTGGTTGTGCCTTGGCCGACTTTGCCTTGGTTGGTTGTGCTTTGGCTGGCTGTGCCCTGGCTGGTCGTCCAGACTTTCGGATCGCGGTTTTCACGGCAACGGTTCTCTTTGCACGCGTCTCTCGCTTCACAGGAGATGCGGCTTTGCGAGCAGGCTTGGCTTGACGCCTGGACGACTGTCTTGGTGTAGCAGGAGTTGATGAGGTCACTTCACCGTCTTTGACGTCCTTGGATTGCGCTGGACTCTTTGCCGTGTCTCCCGTGCCATTAAGCTGCCTAGCCAGTGAAGATCGCGTCGAAGATCGAGCTGATTTGAAGGCCGGCGAAACCGGTGAGTGAACCAGTGAGGCGAAACGTTCAGCCGATGAAACCTGAGCATCTTCCGGTGAATGGGGAAGGTCTGGTGGTGGCATCTGGCTGCTGGACGCGGCCGGCCCAGCCTCTCCAAACATTCTACCCAGGCATTAGATTCAACATGCCATTACCAAACCAGAATCTGGCGCTTCCTTACTGAGACATGAGCTCGCTCACTTCCGCGTTTTCAACATCGTCAAATAACCGAGGCATGGTTGCTGAGTCTTTGAAATGTTCAAATGAACGCGACCTGGTTGGTTAAGCTTTAGGGCAAACGCGATGGGCACGCCTGCAAGAGGTTGGAGGAGAAGAAAATGCGTCGGGCGCCTTTGTGTTCACGGATGATTTCCATGAGGTGCAGCTTAGAGGAATGGATGTCATTTCATCTGAAGTATGCGGTCACGTGATACCCTTCAACATCCCCCCAAAGAGCCAAATTCAAAGGAAGATATAAGCAGAGAATGTTTTCGTAAAAAATATAATTTAGAATAAAATAGAAAAACGTATTACCTATCCATCTTGCGATGACAGTCATAACATCGTCGCCGGGATGTTGCGTGCCTAGGGACAGTAAGTAGCGCCTCCTGGTAGCAATGCCTTAGTAGGCAGACAGACACAACGCACCCAAACGTGGAAACTGTTGGTTAATTGCAGATGGACTTGGAAATACATGTATCTAATCACCGCAAGTCAATTCCACAGTATCATAGCTGTGCTACCTTTCTCTATCCAGAGGCAAACAAAATGGTACATCAGTCTATGTTCATGCTCCAAAAAGCGACTTCGTCTCATATTAACTGTCCGCTCATCTAAGTAGGTATCCCAAACCCTGCCGCTTGCAAAGATTCTAATACTTCAATGCTATGCCCTGAAAGATGGGTATGCAACCGTAAATAACTGGGTACATGTACATTGCATGACGTGTGGTATGCTAGTCAAGCTCCTCCACCTCATCATCACCAAGATCACGGAATCTGCCTTCTCGCACTGCCTGTGCGACGGGATTTTCGACATCTATGATGCCGTTCTGTCTGAGTCTAATGCCAAAAGTTAGTTACTCCCTGAAATTCTGTGGATGAGGGGCCTTACCGTTCAAAGAGCACAAATAGCCTCTCTGCCTCGCGTAGCTGCTCCTCTTCAGACATTGGCGGCATCTCCGAAGGTCGTTCTTGATCCAAGAATTGTCCCGTAATGGGATTCACAAGCCTTTGGGTGCCTGTAGAGTCGCCAGCATTGAACGTCGTTGAAGCATTTGCGGGCATCGGTACGTTATTCTGGAACAAGAAGCCAGAAGCAAATCCATACCCGACATTCTCCACAAACTTCGATGCATCCTTGTCTGATAATTGGAAGAGGAGGTGGGAGATGGCATCTCGAAAGGCGGGAGCCATTGGATTGGTCGAATTTTTCAGTAATCTTGAGGGCAGTGTCTTGCCTTTCCCAAGGACTGATTTCCGGTCCTCTGCGGTTGGCAGTAGCTTGCCGCTTATATATTGGCGCGCTGAGCTGGGTGCATTCTCATGGACCTTGAGCATCGTGCTGATTAGAGGGGTGACGGTAACGTCGAGGTCATTATCACCGTAATTTGCCATTGCCGAGTCAAGGAGCGATATCAGCCTAGCGGCGACTTTGTTGGATTCCGAGCTTGGGAAGATGGCTGCTTGGTTTGCGGCCGTCGATAGATCGAGATTGATGAGAGCGTTGACCAATGGTCCAAAAGGAGGCTCCAACGGCTTAGATGCTGGAATGTCTTGTTTCCATAATAACTCGACAATGTGCGGGACCGCTGAGCTAAATCGAGAAGCTTGATCCTTACAAAAGTGCGTGACATTAAACAAGAGTTTGAGAATCTCAGCGAGCGCCATATCCTCCATGGGCTCCGGCTGTAAGGGCTTGGTAGCTGAAAGTTTAGCATGCCGGCTGAGATTCTCCGTAATATTCTCGGCGAGGTTGTGTTCGAGAATCAGGTTAACCAGATGCTCTTTGGTGCCATAAGTGGAAAGCAGCAAAATTCGTGACGTGAGAAACTCGTTATCCCAGTTGTCAGTTTTGAGCCCCTCACAAGCCTTTATGGCGAATCCTTGGTCTACGAGCATCCGCCTTGTTTCAGGTTTTAGCAGCATCGAGTTGGCCAGAACTCTCAAGGCAGCTCGGTTTGTGTCACCGGACGAGCTGTTGAATCCATGCCGCAAAAGCATAGAGATGCCCTTGCAAATGTTAGCCTGGTTTCTAGTGTAAAGCAACTCGGACTTCTCAACAACTAACATCTTTGGTAAAGATAGGATCTGCGTTTCGGGGGTCTCGCCCGTAGATCTTCAGCTCTTCTAGGGCCTCGTCTCGGTCTGAAGGACAATCAATAGGGGACCTTTACAAATCACCGACGAATGCTGATGTTGACAAACCTTTGGAGAGAAGTGAGGCCTTATCGAGATCCTCGGTGAGCTTATTGACCAGCTCAGCCACTGCCTTGAGTTTTGCTGGCTAAGGTTAGCTACAACGTGTGTCCTGAGTATTCCGCGACTGCTAAATGGACTCACCAGGGCCGGTTGCCGTGCCCAGTTGAATACCAGGCATGGCGAGAAGTGAGTCAGATTAAAGATGCTGAGAGAACATGAACGGGAGAGAAGTCAGGATGAGTCGGATTGCGCGTAAAACCCGTCGACGGATTTGAAAGAATAAACGAGAAAAGGTCAAATGATTTGGCGCTGCTAAGTATAGAGTCGGATTCTGACTGGTCGCCACCCGAGTACAGCCGTTGCGTATTGGCGTATTAGGGGATGAGAGGTGAGTAAGCTGCGATCAGGAGTTGGAGGAGGGAAGAAGAGATGCTGCTGGTGAAGCAACGATGATAAAGGTCTGACGATTGTCGGGAAAAGTCATGAGAGTCGGGGCGCAAGGGCTATGAATGAGATTAATAAGATGAGACGGTGCCTGGTTATTGAAGCGGGCATGCCATCATAAGATGACTGACATGAATTTGCGGAATAGCCAGGGATTCTGCAGATTAACAAGTCCGATATTGGCTGTATGATTTTTCCATCTCATCCCATCGAATAGAACTGGACAGCTCTCTTCTTCGTGCCACGATTGGCCGTGGCGATGAATCAGCGGCTCCGTCGGTGGCTAACTGGCAATGGAATTGCGGAGATTGGCGATAGGCGACGCTGGAGCTCCTGTCTGCAGCCCCTGGACGGCCTGCCAGGTACATGCGACAGGCTGCTGCGAGACACCAAATCGCTTGTACCGGCAAGACGAATTTGCGAGCCCTGGAGCCCAGGTCATCTGCCCCAGCGCAGTTGAGCGCTATATGCGGCGGGCCACCGCTAAGTTATAGTGGGGGCAAGCGCTAAAACGCGTGTTGAAGCGTGATCGCGTTTTGCTTAATTGATTTCGGCAAAAATTATGGGCCGTGTCACTCCGTACCTCCTCCCAGCTCATCGCAACCAAGGCCGTGATGGCAGACGGACGGCCTTTTTGACGACCCTTTGTGCATCCCCTGTCGAGTCTCAGCCTGGCTTCTCCTCCTCGAAACAGCGTCTGCGGGATCCCAATGTCGAGTGGGCCGCGCTTCTCTCCTGGCAGATTCACTGCTGTCTAGATCGCCGAACGCTGCATCGCGGCCATGGCATCTTCAGCAGCTCCGGCTCCAGCATCCAACCTCGAATCGCTGCCGCCGCGACCCCCGACGCCTCCACGGGAAACGGGAAAGGACAGTGACTTGTCGGTCAAAACCATCCTCACCCGCGCTTCTCCGTCTGACCCCCAGGACAGTCTTCAGACGCCGCCGACCGCCAACACGCCAACCTCGACCGATGTCCCCGACTCCAAGTTGATGTCAAGCCGGGCGAGGAAGACGGTTGTCTGGTCAGCACATACCGAGTACAAGGATCCAGTCGACTACCGATCAATCGAAAAGCTTCACAAGTCGTCTCCGCTCTCCGTTCCTTCGCCCACATCGAAGCCCGTCAAGGGCATTCTCAAACCGTCCCCTTCTCCGAACCCACGCACACTATCGTCTAGTGGTGACTTTGATCTGGTCGCGGGCCAGCCCAACATCATCGAAATGTTGGACTCGACGATAAAGCAGCTGGCTGGTTCCGACCGGGACTCGAAACTCGATGCATACATGATTCTCTCTAGGGCATTGAAGGCGTCGAATAACCTCCCTGATCGGGTTGCTTTGCAAGACAAGATGAGCCTCTTCATGCAATTCATCCAGCGCGATATCGCATCCAAAAACGACACCGGAGCTCTCGATTCTTCCCTCATCAACCATGCCCTGACACTTCTTGCCACGTTTCTTCACTTTCCTGCAATTGCTTCGACTCTCACCTCCGACTTTGGAATATTCATCGTCGACCACTCTGTTCGTGCGTTTGAGGATGTCAGCACCCCCAAGGATGTTGTACGGCATCTGATGCAAGTCGTTGCCTTTCAAAACTTTTCTCCCAAGGTCATGACATCTGACCGGGTGGGACGCTTGGTAACAGCGCTGCATCAAATAGAGGGCCACCTCAAGGGCAAGAGTATCGTCATGAGTCGAATACACATATATAAGCGCCTCGTCAAACAGGCACGCTTGCCTATGGCTACTCATTCAAACTGGCTCAAGGACATGCTCTCGGATATGCTGAGTACCGTCAAAGATATTCGCGCTCAGGCAATCAGCCTGGCAACCGAAGCTGGGTTTGCCCTCCGGTCCGAGAAGCAGCTTCTGCGAAAAACCAGTGAAATATTTCAAACAACGAATGACGATCAAACATATATCGAGTTTTACATTCACAGGCTACAGGAAATGCTCAAGGACAAAGAAAGCGCTTCAGCTGTCCCGCAGATATGGAGTGCCATCATTCTCTTTATGCGGTGCCCGCTGGAGAGATGGCAGTACTATGGCCCTTGGCTAACTCTTGCGCAGTCTGCCTTTAATATGGCGGATGCTTCCACAAAGCAGGAAGCAAATTTTGCTTGGAATCGGTACATCTACCTTACTTTGGCCGATAGCAAAACCACACCGAAAATTCTAGGGACCCTCTGCCAGCCTCTTCTGAGTCAACTACGGAGACGGGCAAATCCTAGACAGTTGGAAGAAGCTGTGAGACTTCAAAGGACAGTCATTGGTGGCATATGCAATCTCTACTATTATGCATTCGCTCCAGGAAATGATAAGTTCTCTCCTGATTCTATATGGGACGTGGCAGTGGAACCTGTTTTATCACAGCTTATCAGTCTAGATGGCAAGCCCGAGATTCCAGGAGATTGTCTTCTGCAGGCTGGTCGTATCTTGACGAATCTCATGGATGTGGCCACACCTCGCATGTGGAGACAAGATCGCATCATGGAGACACCGCCGGCAAACCCAGATGAACTCCCACCTTTAGACTCGAAATGGGTGAGGCGAAACTGCGACAAAGTTTTCCGAATGGTTGGCCCTCTTTTGGAGAAAAAGTTCATCGACTTGGCCAATAAGGACTCTTTGGTATTTCGCTTGTGGCAAGCCTTGGTCGGATCAATCGCCGCAGCATCAGCGAAAGATATCAAAGTTTCAGAAGAAACCGCAAATTTTTTTGCGTACGCCTTTGGCCTGCTTTCCAAGGTGTGGCAAGCGGGAATACCTTCAGGCGGCGGTGTGCACGCCCCGGCGTTTCTGTCAAGCGTCAAGAACTTCATCGATATCCTCGTCAAGGCGCTCGGCATGCTTCCTTTTACAGAAAAGAAGCTCGCCATGACAGTGGGCAACACTTTCGAATCCATTGCAACACCATCCCACAATCAGAGTCGATCAAGTTCTCCGGGAATCGTCCGGACACCTCTACATCACCTCTTCTCCATGCTCTCTTCTATCCCTCAAGGAGGTGCTGATGACGAAGAGTTATCTGACTTTTTCCTTTGTGTGTTTGAACCCTTCTTTCAAGGCAAAGCAACAAAAGCCCGCTTGGAGCTGGTACGCGAACTGCTGCAACTGTTGCCGAGAGAGTCGCCATCTCCGTATGGACCGTGGCTGTTAGCTGCACAGAACATCTCTCTATCTCTAGACGATAACGAGCCTCCCTCCAACTTGGTGGGCAGCAGTAAAATGCTGGGGCCAAAATATCGAGATGTCACTTCTCTACTTGAACGCGGGCTCGTCGGATACCCCCAACTCCCGTTGGATCGATGGTTCTCGCTATTTGAGCGACTCTCCGAAAATGTAGTGGAGCAACTCGGTGATGCTGGGCGTGCTCTCGTTGTTATCGAACCACTGGCGAGAGCCCTACTCGACTGTCTTGAAAATAGCAGCACGAATCCCCCATCTGCAACTTCTCTCAAAGCAATCCGTGCGCTTTTCGATGTTGCCAAGCTTCCGCGCGACCGAACTGCTCTGAATACTGCTCGACAGCGTTTATGGGGGACTTCTATGACAGCCGCGCGAACAAATTCACTGGATCCATTCGACCACCTTTACAAACTTGGTGATAAGGCTCTAGAAACTCTCTACACCAAGATTTCCCTTTTCGATTCCAAGACTGAGGTTATACCTTTGATTGAGAGTATTGAAAGCTTTTTGGCCCGATGTTTCTCTCAACTGGGTGTCGAGGCCTTTTCGAATGTCCAGACCAGTCTGTGCTTATGGATTGAGGACGATAAGTCATGCTATAAACATGACGAAGAGACACCGCTCTCAAAGGCTGTAAGAATATGTCCCCTAATAGCTCTTACTATTATGCAGTTGGACTAACTTATAACAGCTCATTCATATTTGGATTCGGATAACTACCGATCTTGCAGGGAGAGGACAACTGACGAAGGACGATTTTGATCAAATAGAACCACTTCTGACCTCTGCGTTCAAGAGCAAGCTTCCCACTATTGTTGACAAAACAATAGACCTGTGGAATGTGCTTGCCAAGGATGAAGAGCAGTTGTCTTGCTCTGACAGCTTAAAGTCGGTGGCTTCGGATGCTGGATCAAAGAAACAGCGGCTTATGGAATCTGGTGAAGCTGAGAAAATGGGCGGTGCGTTCGGTGCTCAGGCTCCTCCCGTCAATCCTCTGCCAGATGAGACGAGCCTTGTTGTGCTCTCGTCCGGTTCATCTCGTTTGGACGTCGAGCCAGCTCCAAGCAACAAGGCAGCTACTCGGATGTCCACTCGAAAACGTCGCATAGAGGAGACTCCGGAGCCAAGTCGCACAAAATCTTCCAAGCGGACAAGCACTCCTAGACTCCGCCATGACAACTCCCAAGTCCAATTTACGACTGTTGCATCGTCTTCTCCGGTTCCAGAAGATGGTTCCCAGCACCTGACGGAGAGACAGAAGGAAGTTCGGGAAAGGCAGCGAGAAAATGAGAATATCTACTCGGATATGCGAACAAGCTCCCCGCCTCCCCCTAAAGAAGACTCACCCAAAGCGGTTGAAGCACTGGCCCCTACTGATGACCAAGCTGGAGAGACAACACCGCGTCATGCTACGTCCTACGATAACCTGGTCACCTCCACACCAACTCCTAGGCGAGGCCAGCCCGTACATGTGGACGATACTGATCCCCCATCCTCCCCTCCCGTACCACGACCATACCCGCTCCTTACAGAAATCAAATCTCGTTCTAGGACCAGCAACTCGCTGGATAGCTGGGAGTTTTCGTCACCTCCAGGCTCGCCGCTTCCTAGTGATCAAGAGGCAGTGTCGGTGGTTCAATTACCAGGAGAGAAACCAGCCGATAAGGCCAACAATAAGACAGCAACAAAAGCTGAGGGCTTTGGTACTGGCTCGAGGGACGTTATTCCTTCCAGTTTTAGAGAAGAAGAAGAGTCATCATCGGATCTCACGGATCTATCAGATAGGGATATCTCCCCCTCGCCAGAACCACTGCGGTATCCCGAAACCCCGACCAAGAAACGGTTATTACGTGATGCTGCTGTAGAGGAAAGTCCAAGGTCGGGAGATGATGAGTTTGTCGATGCTAGGAGCAGCCCTGAAAAGCCCATCCTTCCACCGGCTAACGACACGTCGTTTGCCCTCAGCGAGGGAGACGAGAGCCGAATGATGAAACTCGCGGATGAACTCGAATCTGGCGGCGGCGTCGGTCTACAAGGAAAACCCAAGGGTGGGGATAGCTCCGATGAGCGCTCCAGCGTGCAGTCTGAGGAACCCCAGCCGCCATCACCTCCAAGGACTCGCAGGACAGCTAAGCGCGCCACTCCTGCGAAGTCTCTTGGCGACAGCGAGGGTGGTGGAAGCAAGAGAAAGAGGAAGCGATCAGGGTCTCGACAAGGCGATAGCCGTTCGAAGAAGCAGCGACCTGATATTGCAAAAGAACTCGAGCCGGTGGTGGAGAGCGAGAACGAACCTGTGTCCATAGGTATGGAGACTAGGGGAAGTGCTCGAAGGCAACGCCAGCAGCGCCAGCGAGAAGACAAGACGACAGGTCAGCAGAAACGATCCAGCAAGCGAAACAAGAAGCGGCGGGGTGGAGATACGGACGACGAGGTGGTGTCACAACTGGAGAAGGAATCCGATGCAGCGGCTGAGAGCCAGGAAGCAAACAGGGATGCAGAAGAAGACGTAGTGCCTAGCACCGAGGATGAGCCGCATCAGCTACCAGGGAATATGGATGTCGATGCGGAAGTGGAAGTCGATGCCGATGCCGATGCGAATGCTACGGTGGTAGACGAAGGGGGAAGCGAGCCGTTACCTGCAGAGGAGGAAAAGAAGGCAAAGGCCCTGACGATCATGGAGACGTTGCAAAACAGTCTAGAGCAGCTACGCCAAATCTCGCTGCCTCGAAGTGAGGTATACAAGATGGAGGACATGTTGATGGATCTGAAGCGAGAGCTGTTTGAAGCAGAAAGGCGAGGACGGGACAGCACCTAGAGCATGAGGAGGGATGAAATTCTTACGACATGCATAAAATGCGAATGTTGCATCGTACGGCGTCGAGAACTTTTTTTTTTTTTTTTTTTTTTTTTGCTTTTGTTTGATTTTTTCAACTCGTGGTTTGTTATACATTTCTTCTTTTACTCCTGGTTGGGTGTACGGAATAGGCCAATGGGTAATACCAGATGTTTGATTTTGTGTTCCGGAAGGGTAGGGGATGTTTGCATAGAAGGGGTAGATAGAATTCACGATGAGGGCGGCCTGAACATATTGTGCATATACATACATATTATAGAATTTCGGTCAAAAGTGAATTCTTCAACAACTCGTCTTTACTTTATCTAGTCCCATCTTGACAAGGTGTCTCGGACACTTGCCCCCCAAGACAACATGCAACTTTCTCGCCATTCTGATTCCATGACAAGATTAGAATCCCATGTACAACTTGCTGCAAGCCACGGCACTCGGCCAACATCACCATGACGAGCCAAAAAAAAGGGTCCTCAAGCCCGGCCAAGCTATTACTGTATGCATGTACAAACCGGACTGCGGACAAAGAGCCGCGTCCAGGACATCGTTGACCCTCGGATGCCCCAAAGAGGAAGTCCGACGGCAACGTTGGCCGTGCATGCACTGTGTCTCTTGGGAGCTAAATCCCGAGGCAGACACACACGGCTGTGCTAAGAAGAAGCGCTTATGCCGGTAGATCCATTTTTTTGGAATACGGGGGTTTGAAAGAAGGGGAAGAGTTTGTGATTGCTGGAGTTTAGCTTTTTGGGGTACGGGGTAGGAACATGATGGGGATGAATAGAGGCATGGATGACTGGCGAAGCGGGCGTAGCGAGTGGACTTGTGGTTGGGTGGTCCGGGATGGAATCGGTCTGGCTGGTTGAGTTGAATGCTGGTCGGTGATTGTGGTTGTCATTAACGGGGGAGGAGAGGAATCCGAAGCTGCGTTGTCGAAGGCATATTGGAGCTGAATGTAACGAGGGAGAAGAGCTGCTGAAGTGACTCCGAGTTCGTGTGTATTATTTGTACACGCAATTGGCCATCCAGCTGCCGATTGATTTGGCTTACAGAGGTAGTAATCGTATAGGCCCTGTTGATCTCGCCGCCACTTACCGCACGAGGCATAAATGAAAGACCGTCGTATGAGAACGTATGCAGATGCCCACAAGAACAACTTTTAAGCTGAACGGCGTTTAACACAGAGGCAACACCTTCCGACTAATGCTTGTTTACTTCGGCCGAGCAAGACAAAAAAAATCCTGGATCAGCCGTTTGGGATCCAGATCGTCGCAGCAACATGACGTCAAAAACAGAGAATAGCTAGTGACAACTGAGCGAATCTTGGCCCATAGAGGTTTGATGTGGATCCTCGGGACGTGAACCTGGAAGAGACGCCGATGATGCCTCGAATTTCACTTGCCCATGCCGTGTTTGGGTTTATGGAGAGCACGGAGTTCCCGAACCCTGGATCGGGTCAACCACCTGCTACAAGGCTGACACCATCGTGAGATTGCAGAAACTTAGAATGGGCATGCAATGGAACAGTCTGGACCTGCTTTGCTGAAAGCTGCTTAGGCCTCGGCGGGTTTAGCAGTCAGGCCCAATTTACCCCAGGTTTCGCATTGCCATGTGTGCCTCGGATCGCTTCTTTGGGTATTTCCAGAGGGAAGAAAGGGGGCCGGGATAGCTTCAGAGCTGAGCGTCTGGGGAAATCTGGGGGTCCCTTTTCCCTGGGGGAGCGGGCGAGATGAGAAAGGGCGAGACCCTGGGACGCGGGGGAAGAAGAGTCGAGACTGATGAGATGGACCCTCCCCCGGATTCTGCAATATCTCTCGTCGCGATGAAGACCAAAGCAAGCAGCCGGATATCCAGCTTCTGATGCGGTTTGATACAGCCATTGAGCATGAGCATCCGGAGAAGATGGCGAGGTTGGTCTAGAAGGCGTCGAGGCACCTTGTTTGACGGCCGGCACTCTGCACACCATCAACTTTCAAGACAAAGGCGGCGTGATTTGGAAAAAACTACTACCAAGCATGCTTCGATCAGCTAGCGTTCGAGACAAAGGATGTGCCTAGTTTTTCTCCGATGCAGCAGCACCTATTTCCCCATTTGCGTTGCTGACCGCTGACCGATCCGCCCCGGCTTCCGCGTACACACGCCAAAGTCAGCCTGCTTGCTCGCTGGCTTCAATCTTACCGGAACGATTTTAAAGAACAGAACAAAACTAGCAGGGCATTAGGCCAAAGAGAGGAAATCGGGTTTCCTAGCTGGTAACGCGCCACCGGCTTGCACATGTTCTTCTCGACGCCGCCATTCCGCAAGCCTCGTTGCCACCGTGTTATTCAACGTTACGTGAAAGGGCACCCGATTCATAATCCCTCCGCACAATTGAGTGGCTTTTTTTGCTTCCCGGCCTTGTTCGAAGGCGCGTGTCCAGGCAGCCAGGGAAACGGTTTCCCACCGAGATCCACCATGTAAACTATTAAGCATGATTGTGATTCGGCGGGTGACGTCGCTTTCCCCACGCTTCTCCAGGCGGATTCGCTTGTGCTGTAGGTACTGTAGCATCACCAGATTGGGGCTTGTTGCAGGCGACGGTCTTGTCCTTCTCCAGGCCAACTGGCCGAGGATTGGTGATTTGGTGATGAGATGGCCTTGTTCTTGCAGCAGGGGCAGAATCGGAATGAGGCTTGTCATAAGTTTTTGGCCACATTCCACTGCACGGGCTTCCTGTAACGCCGCTGTACTGTGCGAGTTGGCATTCCATCTGGTGTTCGACTTACACGATTCGGCCGGTAGGTTAGCTGACGGGGAACTTTTTAGTGGGCTTTGTCTGCATGGCAAAGCACTAGCGGACAGGGGCCAAGGACGACCAAGACGGTAATTACAGGCTCTCCGCAGCACAGTATCGAATATCAGGTACGAGGCGCGGAATCAGGGTTTGCCTGGCAATTCTTTTTTTTGCATCTGTGTGATGAGATGGTTTCGAATGCTGTTGCAGTCGAAAGATTCGGCTTACCAAGGTAAGGGATACTGAGTACAAAGAGAGGAAACGGCATCAAGTACTCTCGCACGTGCAAGGCGGTGGGGGTGTTCTGCAAGGCCCAAATCCAGCATTGGAGGAAAACTCAGGCTACTGCTTCGTACTTGTTCGACTAGACAGAGAACGGCTTCTTTTTTTTTCTCTCTCCACGTCGCTGCTCCAATTCCTTTTCCTCATCCCGCATGTGAAACAAACAGACGCTACTCGCACGTTGCCGCATGTACGAGTACCTTGCCTAGCAGTCCACACCCCGGACAAGCCAAAGGAGGGTCCATCCATCCGGCTTGGCTTGATTGCTACTCTACTCTACTCTACTGTACTCTACGAGTCCATCCGGCGCCTTCACCAGCTGCGTTACTGCAAGGGTTGACGGGAACGGCCATGGACGATCTCAGGGTCCCCAGTTTTCTGGTGTCTGACGGAGCCCTCCATCTTCATCTTGGGCTTGGCCTCCGGTCCGTCGAGTCGGTGGCCCAGTTTGCGGTTCAGTCTGCATACCGACTGTGTGACGGCGATGCGACTTAAAAGGCCCTGGATGGCACCCTCCTCCATGGTGCTGATCTTGTCCTTCTCAGCCTGCCATCTTCATCCACTTCCTTCTTCCTCTTCTACACCTTGTACCTACAAGAACGGCGGCAAGTCGATATTCAGCACAGCAAGGCAGAAGCAGAAGAAGAGAGACGGCTAAATTTGCCATCATGAAGAAATATTTCGGCCTCAGAGGCCAAGCCCTCAACTGGGCCATCGGCTGCATTGCCGGCTGTGACTTTTTGCTTTTTGGCTATGGTAAGTGGTCCCTGCTATTCTGATACGCCATCGTCGTTTCCTACAGGAGCTGACATGCCACAGATCAGGGTGTCATGGGCGGTATCCTGACTCTCCCCATCTTCCTTGACCAATTCCCCATCATCAACCCGGGAGTCGCTGTTAATGACGCTGATGCGTCCAAACGCTCCACCTACCAGGGCATTGCCGTGGCATCCTACAACCTGGGATGCTTCATCGGTGCCATCATCACCATCTTCATTGGTAATCCTCTCGGTCGTCGGCGCATGATTTTCCTCGGTACTTCCATCATGGTGATTGGTGCTATACTGCAAGCTTCTGCTTTCAAACTGGAGCACTTCATCATTGGTCGTATCATAACAGGTCTCGGCAACGGCGGCAACACGTCTACAGTTCCCATGTGGCAGTCTGAAACATGCGCTGCTCACAAGAGAGGTAAACTCGTCATGATCGAGGGTGCCCTCATCACGGGCGGCATCATGATTTCCTACTGGATCGACCTTGGCTTGTCTTTTGCCCCTGGCTCAGTTGCCTGGCGATTCCCGTTGGCTTTCCAGATCGTCTTTTGCATCTTCATTCTCGCATTCGTTCTTGGTCTACCCGAATCGCCTCGGTGGCTCATTCTCAAGGGTCGCGAAGAAGAGGCCAAGGAGGTTATCGCTGCCATTGCCGATGTCGACATCAGAGATAAGCACGTTGAGAACGAGTTCCAAGCCATCAAGGAGACCGCCTTGGAGATGAGCAAGGGCACCTACGGCGAGCTTTTTGCTAACGACCACAACCGCACCCTCCACCGTACCATCATCGCCTATGTCAATCAGATGTTCCAGCAGATTTCGGGTATTAACCTCATCACATACTATGCTGCCAAGATCTACTCTGACCTTGGCATGTCCCCCTTCATGTCTCGTCTTCTTGCGGCTCTCAATGGTACCGAGTATTTCATTGCTTCCTGGCCCGCCGTCTTCCTTGTGGAGCGCGTTGGACGCCGCAAGCTCATGCTCTTCGGTGCCGTTGGCCAGGCCGCCACCATGGCCATTCTGGCTGGCGTGAACTCGCGCCCAACAGAGAAGCCTTTCCAGATTGCAGGCATCGTCTTCTTGTTCGTATTCAACACCTTCTTTGCTGTTGGTTGGTTGGGAATGACTTGGCTGTACCCGGCCGAGATTACCCCTCTACGAACCCGTGCGCCGGCCAATGCTTTGTCGACTTCCTCCAACTGGATCTTCAACTTTTTGGTATGGTTCCCATCTTTCGTCTTGCATGCCAATCCATTCAAGCTTAGTATATGCTAACGTTGGCTAACAGGTTGTCATGATCACTCCCGTATCGTTCACAAACATCAAGTGGAAGACATATGTTGTGTTTGCCGCTCTCAACGCCTTTATAGTTCCATGCGTCTACTTCTTCTTCCCTGAGACAGCCTACCGCTCTCTGGAAGAAATGGACAACATTTTCCAAAAGGTCAAGGGCTGGCAGGGAGCGTTCGATGTCGTCCGCCAGGCAGAAATCGAGCCACGGCGATACGGCAAGAACGGCGAGATCCTCATCCCCGTTGATGAGGTTGATGAAAAGGCCAATGCCGAGCACCACAACGGCAGCACGAGCGAGGGAAGCGATGCCAACAAGGGCATGTTCACGGGCGTTGACGAAGAGAATGCTCGGGGTATTTAGGGAAGCGCATCACATGGAGTGTAGATGCCGTGCTGGCCGCACGATGGCCTCTTAGTCTTTCTTGAACATTCTTGCCGCACATACGCATATGCAACGCAGTGGCTGGCAATTGTCCATTTTTCTGCTATTTCTTGTTTCCTACTTTTACCCCTTTTCTTTTCTCTGAAACTTTTGCGATGAGGAATGAAGCTACACATATATACCCACCGGTTCTATGAATTTTCATGGTCAAAGAGGATACGTGCAGCCCTGTGAAGGCTGTAGACGGGCACAGGTAGAATAGACGAATAGGGGTAGAGGATGATGCCCGAGTGTGTTTGAGATGCACTCGGAGTTTTGTCTCAGTATATATATTCTTTCTGCCTAACATTATTGCTGTTCCTTTGTACTGTTGACCGTCTGTTTGACCAGCAAATGTGATTCGTCTGCATCCCGGCAGTGTCATATCACAAGCAATGCTGGTTGCGTTTCAAATAATGTTGCAAAGGAGCCAATGCCCGTCCTCTTACACGATTCGTCCCCTGTCGCAAAGGGGGGCAGAATTGAAAGTACAAGTTACCTTTCCACCGGCTCTAAATCTAATTGTTTCAGGGCAATTTAGCCGTATCACTGACGTAAACCAAGTACCCAGTACAAGACACCCCCGTTGAAAGTGCAGGTGAGGGGTGTTAATTGCAACGCTGCAACAGCTACCCCGCCAGATGGAGCAATGCAATGCAGTCACTCGAGTCGTTTGTCCAGTTCAAATCATCTTCTTCAGCTTCATCCCGCCTTTGAAGCCTTTTCCGCTCTTACACGGCGCAACTTGTACTAACCGGTAAGCTCGATACCATCTTTCATTCCCTTCTTGTTAGCAACCCGAGCTGTCCAAGTCTAGCTAGTTATTCTGCTGCTGGATGCTAACGCAAACTGCCCATCACCTCCAGCTCATCGCCCGCCAACGAAATCCGCCGAAGCTCCTTGATCCGAGCGTTCCTCAATAGACCCTCCCCACGCCCTCAATCGCAATCGCATCAACCATGGTGGACCGCCCGAACAAGCCCTCCGCCCTAGCCGCGACGCCCGGCCTGCAGCCTCAGGCCCAGGTCACCATCTCAGACGGCAGCTCGCGCGTCACGGCGGTTCTGCCCACGGGCGAGAGCGTCGAGATCCTCCTGTTTGGCGCCACCGTGCTGAGCTGGAAGGACGCTTCTGGCGATGAGAAGCTGTGGTTGAGCGAGGGCGCGAAGCTGGACGGAACAAAGGCTGTGCGCGGAGGCATTCCTTTGGTCTTCCCGGTATGTTTGTCGATTCCGCTACTCGCCCGACAAAGAGCTGCACATCTTTTTGTCTTTGGGTATAGAGCAAGTTGGTTAGAAACATGTCTTTGTCTAATACGCCATACTCTTAGGTCTTTGGCACTGCCCCCGACCACGAAGCCACCTCCAAGCTCCCCCAGCACGGCTTCGCCCGCAACTCCCGCTGGGAGTTCCTCGGCAAGTCCTCCAACGAGTCGTCTTCCAATAGTGTCAAGCTCGACTTTGGCCTGTCTTCCGAGAACCTCGACGATGCCGCCCGCCAGCTGTGGCCCTACAAGTTTGGTCTTCTCTACAGCGTTACGCTTGCTCCCGAGAGCTTGAGCACCGCGCTGGTGGTGACAAACGAGGGCGACGTGCCGTTTGAGTGCCAGACGCTTTTGCACACCTACTTCAAGATCAAGGTAAAATTGCATCATCCTCGTCAATATAATCAAAAAAGTAATACAAAAGCTGATCTGTATTCGCAAAGGACATTGCTTCCGTCCAAGTCACCGGTCTCGAAGACTCCCCCTTCCACGACAAGGTCGACGGCGTCAAGGACAAGACCCAATCCTCGGACCCCATCGCCTTCTCCGGCGAGACGGACCGCGTCTACACTCCCGTCAAGGGACCCGGACACCCTATCATCATCACCGACGGCGGCGTGGAAAAGTTCCGCGTCGTGCGCGACAACCTCGACGACGTGGTCGTTTGGAACCCCTGGGTCGACAAGGCTGCCGGCATGGGCGACTTTTTGCCAAAGGACGGCTGGAAGAACATGGTTTGCGTGGAGGCTGGTGCGGTCAGCTCATGGCAGAAGCTGGAAAAGGGAGATGCTTTTGAGGGTGCGCAAACGATTTACTTGCACTGAAGAGGATGACTAGGGGGGATACATGAGCCTGTTTATATCAATCTATATACGCCTTTGTCGAGAGACAATTGCTTGCCTGGACAAAGAGGGAGTCACCTCCCTAGTATATTGGCACGAGGGTGAGCGCTGTTAGGACTGAAATCATGTTGAATTCGCGTATTTGTTTGTTTGTTTGTTTGTTTGTTTGTTTGTTTGTTAGATATCGACTCATGCTGTGGAGATGCCATCCTCATGTTTCCATCCCATATCATTCTTTTTGCCCAGTTTCCATGTTTCCCAATGCAGCACCCAATTCGATAAAACTATATACAAAATCGTCATTCTTTTTTTTTTTTTATAAAATTTACAAGTCATCTTTTGCTCAATTCTTTATTCCATTTTCTTCATTCTCTTTCATGGCCAAACATGTTGCAAGCCTCATTTCTTGTGCTCCCGAGAGTAATGGTCGGCCACCAAAAACGCCAGCTCGAGAGCCTGCTTCTCGTTGAGCCTCGGGTCGCAAAAGGACGTGTAGTTTGTCGAGAGGTCGTCCTCGTCGAGCCCCTCGCTGCCGCCGAGGCACTCGGTGACGGCATCGCCGGTGAGCTCGAGGTGGACGCCGCCGAGGTAGCTGCCCTGCTCCTTGTGGATGAGGAGCGACTGCTCGAGCTCGCTGTAGATGTCGTTGAAGCGGCGGGTCTTGATGCCCGTCGGGGTGGCGAGGGTGTTGCCGTGCATGGGGTCGCACTGCCAGACGACGCAGCTGCGGTACTCGGAGTCCTCGACGGCGCGGATGTGCTGGGGCAGCAGGGCGGCGACCTTGCCGGCGCCGTAGCGGGTGATGAGGGTGATCTTGCCGGGCTCGCGGGAGGGGTTGAGGGTGCGCAGCAGGGCGAGGAGGTCCTCGGCGGGCGTGGTAGGGCCGACCTTGATGCCGATGGGGTTGGCGATGCCGCGGAAGAACTCGACGTGGGCGTGGTCGAGCTGGCGCGTGCGGTCGCCGATCCAGACGAAGTGAGCCGAGGTGTCGTAGTACTCCTTGGCCTCGTCGCCGGCGACGGGCCTGATGGTGGGCGAGGAGCCCGGGGGAGTGCCGGGCCTGCTGACGCCCGGGTGGGTGGGCTTCTCCATGAGGCGCGTCAGGGGCTGCTCGTACTCGAGCAGGAGGCCCTCGTGGCTGGTGTAGAGCTCGACGGTCTCGAGCTCGCCGGGGCGGGCGTTGATGACCTGGAGGAAGCGCAGGGTCTGCTGGATGCTGGAGGCGATCTTGGAGTACTTTTCCTTGAGGATCGGGTCGCGGACGTGGCCCAGGCCCCAGTCGAGAGGCCGGTGGAGGTCAGCAATGCCGGAGGAGAGGGCAGTGCGGATGTAGTTGAGCGTGGCAGCGGAGTGGTGGTACGCTCTTTTCGATGGGATGTTAGCACATGATGAAAAGATGTTAAGATGAGTACCTAGAAAGAGAAACTCACTTGAGGAGACGGTTGGGATCAATCTCCCGCTCGTCAACATGGTAGCCATTCAGAATGTCGCCTCTGAAGCTTGGCAGCTCCTGGCCATTGACCATCTCCGTCGGGCTGGATCGCGGCTTCGCATACTGGCCAGCCATGCGCCCAATCCTCACCACGCGCTTGTTGGTGCCCCAGATGAGCACCAGACTCATCTGCAGCAGCAGCTTGATCTTGGACTCGATGGCGCCCTGCTCGCAGTAGTCGAACAGCTCGGCGCAGTCGCCGCCCTGCAGCAGGAAGCCGTTTCCCAGGGCGACCTCGCGCAGGTGGGCTTTGAGGGCGTTGATCTCGTGGGGGTGGACGAGGGGAGGCATCCGGCGCAGCTCGGTGACGGCCTTTTGCAGCTTGGAGGGGTCTGGGTAGGCGGGAGACTGCTTGATGGGCTTTGAGCGCCAGGTTGAGGGATCCCAGGGGTGGGAGGCGATGGCCTCGGGGAGGGGAATCTGTTGCTGAGCCATGGCTGGATGATTGCTGATGCTGAAGCTGATGCTGAGAATGAGAATGAGAGAGGAGAGATTGGGAATCGAGAAGAAGAGGTGCGGCGCGAGACTGAGGTAAGACGAGAGACTTGGGTGAGTCAGTCAGTCGAGTGAGTACTAATATCGTGGTCTCGAGGTTTCTGAAAATATTGCGTCTCAACAGAATAAACCAAGCTCAGTTGCAGTTGCAGTTGCAGTTGCGCACACTGTCTCTCGATGCTTCTCTCTATAAGCGCATGCACAATCTCGATATTCCCCAAATACGAGATGAAGCAAGAAATTCACCGGCGACAATGACAATGGCAATGCTGATGTTTTTTTGTTTTTTTTTTCTTTTGCCTTGTTGCTTGTAAAAGAATCTCCGATAATGGAAAACTGAATATGAGTCAGGGCCACTTATTTGCTAACACAGTCGCATTGTCTTTAAGCCCGTGCAGCGCAGTCAATAGACGTCGGGGTACGTACCTGCCGATTTTGATTTTTTTTTTTTTCTCTCCCGGCGGCTTCTTTTTTTCTTAGCGACGGCGATCCGTGCATTGGCGAATTAGAGGCTATGCCGCATTTTGCCATAAAGCCAACGTGCAATAACAAGGACGAAACGCCCGACATGGTGATACGAAAAACTAAGAACCTCGAGTACTAAATGAAGGGCGAATATAATGTTACTTGGTATCTACCTATCTAAAGAGATGATTTTTAATTGGGTGGTAGACCAGTACTTTGTGCTAATATGCTGTCAATCTCTGTCTATAAAGGATTAGGTAGTAACAGATCACTTACTACTAGGTACTAATATATTGCGACTTTGACGATAGAAACCAACAGATATAATACTTGATGAATGCTTGTAAATCCAACCATTTGTCCTAAATAGTCTACTTGAAACAATTTAACCCCAATCGCATCAGATCAGACCATCATATCACCATAAGTGAACAACCATCCATTTCCAACATTTCGTCCAGGGTACGTCCAACCCACGCACCTTTTCCACCCCTCCATCAAGTACCCCAAAACAAGCCCATACAGCTACTAAACCTCCCAACCCACCACACCCACAGCGTTCAACACCTTCAACACCAACACCAACACCAACAACCCCATCCCCCATCTTCACCCCCCCCCTCAAAACCACAAAATGTCCAACCCAGAAGACGCCTCCGACCCCCCTCCCCCCCCTCAATCCGCCGAAGACCGCAAAGCCGCCTCCGCCCTCGCCGCCCTCGACACCCCCACCGAGTCCTCTGCCGCCTCCTCCGCCCCGACAAACCTCGACCAGGAAGCCGTTTCCAAGGCCATGCGCGCCCTCGGCGCCGCCCCGGGAACCTCCGCCACCGCAAAGAAGATCGTCGTCAAGGTCGATGCCGCCGACGTCGCCCTCGTCGTCGACCAGCTGGACGTGACCAAGGGTAAAGCCACGGAGCTGCTCAAGGCGCATGATGGGGATGCCGTTGCTGTCATGAGGGCTTGGGCGAGGGGTTGAATTGGATGGAAAGAGAGAGGGAGATGAAGAAGAAATAGCGGAAAAGGGGGCTTGCTTCACGCAAAACAAGAGACTACGCTTGGGAAATTTGGTGTTTGGCTGTTTGATGCGTGGGAATGGTGATTATATTACTACTGGGGATACAACCCGACACACAACACATCTACACTCTACCGACTCCATATTCGACAACTCGACCCCCTTGACAGCATTTCAAGGGATTACGTATCCATTATTCACCACCGAATCATCAACCGACGCATACACACACATATATACTCTTTGAACAAGAATATTACTCCCCCCAGGCAGTCTGGACACAATATCCAACACGCATTATCCATCACCAGCAGCACATCACAGCCGAAAACATGCCATAATCAAGTAGCAAGCACAAACGCATTCAAATTCAATGTCCATTACGTCAACATCGTGACTGATTCTATATCTGGCCTCACATAAACAATGCCTCATGCCATCCCATCTCGTTATCCCGTATCCCGAAAACGCCTCATGTCCTGTCCCACGTACTCCCTATCCCATGCTTCATCTGCATCATAAAGACTGCCCTTTTCATTTCCAAGTGAGCGACTAGCCAATGCAAGCTCTTATGTGTGTCCTTTCCCCCCAACCAGCATCCCATCAGGCAAGGGCCCTGGGTCAAAAGAAAAAAAAAGATATCAGGTGGAATAACTCTTTTGAATCAAACAAGGTATCGTCGCCACCACCTCATTGCCACATCTTGGCCAGGGGGCTGCCCACCTTGGGAGCAAACTGCAGGCTCTTTCGCCGAGCAGCCATTAGCCGCTGAAGTACATGGTCATCCTGTGTCTTGGACAGGATGCCTCCGCCGAGCTCGACAAACTTTTGCGCCCTGGGAGGGCATGTCCGCGTCAACAGCTCTTCTCTCGTCAACGACGCAGCATTCTCGCCGTCGTTGTCCTCGTCCTCGTCAAGATTGGACGGCGTCTCCATAGCAAAATTCATAATTGTCTCTGGGGCCGGCGTCTTGGGCACGGGAGTTAGGATGAGATTGGACCACTCAATGTCCTCCTCCTCCTTCTGCTCCTCCTCATCCCCATCCGACGGTGTGTGGATCCAGATGCTGCTTTGCCTACGGTTGGGTGTCTTGGGCGACGCTGCCGGTGCTGACTCGCGTCTACTCTTAGATGAGCCGTCAACCGCGCTGCCATTCTGGTTGGAGATGGACCTTGGCTCCATGCTCTTCCGGCGGCGGGCACCGCCACGAGGAACGCTGCTGGTATCGATGTTGTATGGCGATTCGTCGAGCCACAGGTTGTCACGTTCGCAGTCTAGAACCCAGCTTACGCCCACGCACTGGACCACCCCCTTTGCCTCTCGGACCTTCTCCAGGGTCCGCTTGCTGCCGTCCTTGAAGACGACGTGAGTGATGCCCACCCTGGTCGACTCGCCGTTGCTCGAGTTGCTGGGATTCCAGTTCCACTTTTGGGGACACCGGGCACCCATTTGCGTGAGCACCTCCACAAAGATGCCGCTGGCGTCCGCGCCCTCGCTTGTGTGCACGTCGACGAATACAATGGCCCCACGAAGCAGGTTCGGGTTGAGGTCCTTGCGAGGAGTCCGTCCTGGCGTTCCAATGCTGGCCCACATGTCCATCTTTGCTGTTGGCGTCGACGGTTCTTCGGCGGCGCTCTGTTCAGGCTCCTCGGCGATGGTGCTGAAATTTCGCGAGCTTCTCCTCCGCGGCTTTTCCGCATAGGATAGAACAGGAACACCCCGTTTGGGCTGAGGCGGGCGCTTTGGAGCGGCTCGTGAGGCGCTGAAGCTCTTCTTTTTCAACGGACTTGGCGTTGAATTGTCGGCTGGCTTGAGAGGAATCTTGGTGGTTGTGTTGAACGACCGCGTCACTGGACGAGAGACGGGAGTTACCGGTGGCGCTGCCTGAGGCTCCGAGCTAGGCGCGGGACTCTCGACGGGCACTTGGTTTTCATCTCCGTATTCCTGGCTGGCGTCTGACAAGCCGTCATCGAAAGAGTGGCGCGAATTGGAGGCATCATCGCGTTCCTTGGCGTCTGTCAGAGACATTTCATTCGTTTCTTGGGCCAGAGCCATATCCTCGTCTGTGATCCCCTCCGAGTTCTGCCCCTCGATACTTTCCACAGCGGTTTCCATCTCTGGCAGGATCGAGTTCTTCATGGGACTGTCTTGGTTTGACGATTCGATTTCGCGCTCAAGACTCTCATCCTCGTCGTGGTCTTGCTGCGCCTCTTCCGTAGACGAGTGAGCGTTCTTGACAGGGCTTGCGGCCGACCAAGAGCCGAGCTGGTTGGACAGAGGTGTAAATCCCAAAGCAGACCTACGAGATTGCCTCAGCGAGCTGCGGCTGGCTCGGGTCCTGGGCGTCCTCTCTTCGCTGACCGATGCAGTGGCCGTGATCCGTTCAAAGGGCAGTGTATCGTCCTCGGAATCAGAGGCTGAGCTCAAATCATTACAGGGATCCAAGTCTTTCTGCCGAAGCTGATAGAAGTGATTTGCTGTCTGGGGCTCTGCTTTTGGCGAAGGCTCGACGGGTTCCTCTGCCTCTTCTTCCAGGTCATCGAGAACCATGGTGTCTTCTGACTCAGCATCATCGTCCTCGGCCGGTGCCTCTTCGTCCTCGGCTTGATCTTCTCCCGTTGCGACAACGATGCTGTCCTCGACTGCATCATCTTCCTCCTCGTCAGCTGACGGGGTTTCCGCCGTTTCCGTGGCTGGCTGTGGCTCTTCCTCGTCGTCGTCTCCCGCTTCCGCTTCCGGTTCTGCCTCCACCTCCACCTCCACCTCCACCTCTGACCCTTCCCCTGTCTCTGCTTCCAATTCTGCTTCCAGTTCTGCTACCAACTCAGCTTCCACCTCGGCTTCCACTTCAGCTCCCTCCTCTGCAAGAGCAAAGTCAAGCTCAGAAGGCAATTCGGGGGACTGGCGCAAGGAAAACTGAGGAATCTCGATGGGGCCTGTAAAAGGGCTCTCCACGTCGTCATCCTCATACAATTCCTCTTCTACCACGAACCTTGAAGATTTAGGTGGACGACTTGGGGTTTTAACGGGAGACTCATCCAGTGTCGGGAGTTCTGGCTGGGCATCCAATCGGGATTTGAGGCCCGGCATCGCTCGCTTCGCTGGCGACTGAAGCATGGAGAGCTTGGCTGTCGATTGACCTGGTTGCTCCTTCTGGGCTGAGAAGATGAAGGGTTTGGTGGGAGATTGGGGTCGCTTGGCAGCTGACTGCAGAAGCGTCGATGGCTTGAAAGGTGTCTGAGAACTCGAGTCATTGCTCAATTTCAACGTAGATCCAGGCAAGGGCATCGTAATTCTCTTGGCTGGAGACTTTATTGTATCTCGCGGCGGCGAAGTAGGCCGCCTGGCCGGTGATGCAAGAATCGTGGAGCTGATCTCTGGCATATCGAACATGACGGCATTGACAGCAACAGTCGTATCGACGTTCTCGAACTCGACGGGAAGAGGCTCCGATTTCTTGGATGGGGGCTTGATCGGGCTCTTTGCTAACGGCTTAGCAGACACCTTCTCTAATGCCAGCTCATCTTCAGAGTCGTCCGGTAAAAGAGTCAGTTGCGTAATCTTCTTGGGGCTCAGAGGCTTCTTGTCTCCAGCTTGAGGCTTCGAAGTCTTTGCAGCTGGTCGCGTATTTCGAGCAGCAGCCGCGCCGCCTCGCCGCGCTGGGCGACCGCGCATGCCAGTAGAGACGGGCTCCCTCGGTACCGCGGCAGGCTCCACGTTCTCCTTGTCTGGCTCTCGGAACTTGACCATCTTCTTGACTGGCGGTCTGTTGGCTACTGTCGTTGCCGTCAACGAGGCTGGCTTCATCACTGTTGGCGGCCGGCCTCGACCTGCCTTTTTGGCTGGCTCTGGCTTGCTTTGACCATCCTCAGGCTTCGGTACAATCTTTCTCGGCCTGCCGCGCCCGGGTTTTGGAGGAGCTGTTGATACCTCCTGTGAGGCTTCTACACCTCCCGTTTTCAGGATTGGCTTGGTTCGTGCTCCTTGCATTTGTTCAGAGATCTTTGATGTCGTTGACGATGTAACTGTGGTGGTGGTATCCTTATGGCTTTCAACAGCAACAGGCTTCTTAGGAGGCCGACCCCTTGGTCGCTTGATCTGCGATGCCTGGCGCTCTTCCTCATCCGCGTCATCGGATCTCGCCTTCCTCTTAGCAGCCGTGCTCTTCGTGTTCGCGGTCAGAGTCGATGAAACGGATGCCTTTGCCTTTGCGGAAGCTGTGATGATTTTTGTTTGTTTCGAAGTCGCCGGCTCAGGGTCCTTAGCCCTGGCTCGTGTCAGGCGCTTGGGCGGGGAGCGCATTGTGTCTGGGTGTGGCTGTTTGCTCCTCTGCGTACGTGATGCTGATGGAGTGGTTACCGGTATGGAACAAAAAGACGCGGTTCAAAAATGACTTAGTGTTGACATGACTTGGGCGGTGAATGTTGACGCTGTGCAGGGAAGGCTGGTGGAGGCCTGGGGCATTTTTGTTGTGCATTTGTGGGGATGGCGGCAAGCTGGCGGTTGCTGGGCAACGACGCGATCCACCAGGCCCGGCCATCCAACACAAACACGTATTGACAGTTCACCAAAGTTATGAAGCAGCCTGTAAACCTTGTATCCATGTCAAAGTCCCCAGAAATCGATTCTTACTACTACGGAAATACACGCAAGGACCATGTATCAACCAATGACGTAGACGCGGTACATACTAAGATCACCACTGAGCGTGTTGCTTCTCTGCTTCATCCATTTACATAATAGTAGTACTTTTTTTTTTTCATCTTCATTGAGCTACCATACAGTTTCCACATGGTTCTTTTTAAATCAGTTATTGCCAATCCCAAATCTTCGCTATACAATGACATAATGCGCAGGTTTTTAAATCATTGACTCATCAGAGGGTGTATGTATGTGTGAGAATTCGCGCGCTTGTTTTTTGAGCATAGTTGGGGAGAAAAGCCTCCGTACGCCAGCCACCCTGGTTTGGAGTAACTCCAAGATTGAAAATAAACAAAAAGAAACAAAGACTACAAACAAGACATGTAGCGGTGGAATTGCCACACCAAGCTCAGCGCGAAGCCACGATGAGCCACCACACTTAATCATGCCACAGAGAGCACATTGAGTCACCCCTTTTGGCTACCTAAACGTCGTCCGGAATGGGCCGTCGATTTTAATGTCCTTGATTCCTTCAGGCATCATGCGCAGCCACTCGTTCCAACTGTCGATATCAATGTTGTCATCGTTTAACTTGATAGCTAGGTGTAGCTGTGGGCTGTTTTCGTAGGAGAAGCTGCTTCGCAGCGGGCTACTTTGCTGAACAGGCGAGAGGAATATCGAAGGCAGCCTCGAGTTTCCGGACATCATGGTATGTAGCGGGGAGGGGAAGCTCGTTATGATCTCTCTCTCGGGCGTACGGTCCCGGGCCATTTTAGGGTAAAGGGCCATGAGGATAGAGTGCAGTTCAACCACAGAGAGTGGCGTCTGGCGCGCTGCACGTGTGCGTAGCTGTTCGGCAAGAGCCAGAGTGAAAGCACACCGATCGAGGGCTATGAGGTGATCTTCTGATAAAGAAGCCGCGATGATTTCAAGGACGCCTTGTTGCCGCACGATTCTAGCCGGGGGATAATATGCGGCATCCATAATGATGAGAGTATCTGAGCAGGCCTCCTCGAGAATTTGTTGAATGCCACTCCATCGGATTGTCGAGGCTCTGTCGGGATCTTTTGAGCTAAAATGGTGGGAAGGGAGTCGCTCTAGTTAGCTCGGATGCACCCACTCAGTATTGCCTCGTGAAGCCTCACCTTGCCAAGACCATATCCCGGTTCCCATCAAGATAAGTGTGGCCTATGTAGTAGACGATTTTCAAAACGTCACGCTGATCGCGCTCCTCTGCAAAGTCGTTGAGTTTTCGCGACAGCCACCTCCAGGAGCTTTTACAGCTTTCTGAAGAGGAGGGGATAGTCTGAATTTGAAACGTATAGTGATAGTACTTGTCAAAGACGTCAGCTAGCTCTCTGACCGCACTCTGGACTAACAGCCCGTCATCATCCTCTTGCCAAAACAATAACAGGGCCTGCACCGAGTTGTACCGGCCGCGGGTAGTGGCAGACAACATGCGCGCAGCATTGCTTTGAATGTCGTTTTTGAGGCTCTCAATCCCCGGCAAAGACAGCGACTTCTCCAGCCTGGGGCCAGTCGGGAGCGGGGTGCGAATGCGAGCTTCACTAAGCGGTGGACGGCCGGGCTGATGGTGACTGCTGGGCGTCGTGTTGCCAGCATCAATCTCCATCTCCTGGGGATCATGGGTGAACATGGGTTGGACAGCGTTGAGGGGAGTTGCGGGACTGAGAGGCCGGCCAGCAGCGACGAGGGAGGGAGCAATATCCTGAACGGCCGGGCTGTGCGACCTGTGAAACTTGCTAACCACGTCTTCCCAAGTCATGTTGTGATGGCTTGGGTGGCACTGCGGAGCAATGTCAGCCGCAAGATGCTGGCCGGGGTAGAGCGCAGGGGGGAGAGGGCCTCGACTTACGGCAACTCTCCTGCGGCGGCAGTCGACGCAGGCTCCTAGCTTTCTGATCAGGGCGGCCCGTTCTCTGGACTGTTGAGATAGGGGGCCGGTACGTCTCCTGCTGGTTCGACGGCTGTTAGAGACGTCGGAGCCATCCTTGAGGGAGAAAATGGACTGGTGCAGGTTAGGGGAGGTGTCGGCACTGTACGATGTGTTGTTGGTCTCTGTAGAGGCCAGGGTAGCCGTGGTGGCCTGAGTTGAGATTGACGAGTTGGTATCCTGTCTCAGAGGAGGCGAAGCAATCGAGGCATAATGCACCATGGACGGCGTAGAGGGCGGCAGCAGCTGTCTCTGCTGCAGGTCGTCTGGCCTCGGGGTATGGACAGGAGTTGGCGCCGACGCGGTCGCCGCCGAGGGAGACAGCGAGAGGCCGATGGGGCCCGGGGCCGGCGCCGAAGCCGACACCGGGATCGGGGTGGGTGAGGCTAGGCGGTGCAGCTGGTGATGCGGCTGAGACTGCTCCTGCGCGTGGTCGTGGAGATGAAGCCCTGCCTGGGCTCCAAGCTGGGCCGGGCCCTGGGCCGAGGCTGGTGCTGGAGCGTCTATCAGGCTGTGGACGGAGTTCATGGCGATAGGACGGCGGACCGGCGCGGACGATCAAAATCCCATTATTGGCGGGGGGCGGGGCCCGGAGCAGAAAGCGCGATCACGGTGAGGCGAGGTGAAGAAAGGTGAGGGAGCGAAATGGTGAAAGAGTCTGAGCCAGCAGAACGGGAGATGAGGCGGGGGGTTTATGGGCCGCCTCTCGCCGCGCAAATTGCAGCCGTGACTGTGATTCGCACAGCTGTGTGAGCTCGGCAGCAGCTGCTGAATCGGACGCTGCAGGATGCAGGTTTTTTGGCCCTTTGAGTGGCGCGGAGCTGATGCGGCTTGCAGGCGATTAGTCTCGCGAAATCAACATGACTGGCAGAGGGGGGGAAAGGGCAGAGAGAGAGAGAGAGAGAGAGAGCTTGTATAATACCCACTGCTCGAGCTACCAAAAGGTATGCGATGCGCCGTGTGTTTATGGTGATGCGATGCGGACAGGGAGCTGGGAAAGGGGAGGACACAGGCTGGAAAAGTGGTAACAATACTAGATAGGCAAGTATACTTGATAGGTGAAAGGCGACTCCAAATATTCGCTCCCTTGGCCCCCAGCTTCGCTTCCGCACGTCGTCTCTGGTTTGCGCGTATCTGTACTCTTTACGTACGGCTTGTATGTATGCGCAGGTGAGCGTGTGTAGTGGCCAGGCGCGTTAAAGGCCAGTCAACCCCGCCAAAAAAAAAAAAATTCAAGGGGAAAAAAATTGGCGAACAGGTCGGGAGGGAGAAAAGAGGCGCAACGGGAACGCGGGGTCTTGTCCAGGAGGGCCAACAAAAAGTGGCAGGGGAAGAGAGGAAGCCGGCGAGACGAGAAAATGCCAGCGGCAGCGGCCCAAAACGCGGCCTGAGCTCAGCGCAAAGCCGTTCAATTTACGTCGCGAGAGGCGCCACAATCACGGAGATGGGATGCCAAGGCCAGCCTGAGTCGCTGGGCAAATGTGAAGCTGGACAGGACAGGACAGGACAGGGCCGAGGTTGGATGAAAAGAGCTTCGGTCTGGGACATGATACTGTACGAGTACATACTTGCACAGGTATGGTACTCGTAGACCCAAGGTGGACAAGGATGGCATCCATGTGTATGAGTACCTAAAGCGCTCCCACGCCAAGTATGCAGCCCGCGGTACCTCCCAGGCCATACTTGTGGCACGGGGGCTAATAATAACGACAATGGCCTACCGGAAGCATTTAACCACGGATCCCTGTAACCGGGCCATGTACGTCGGTCACAGAGCAAGACACAACACTCAACTGAGAAAGCGGGTTTGCTCGGGATCTAGCACGAGGATCCAGCGGAGTGGCGGGCACGGAGGACCAAGCCTGTTTGAGAGCAAGGTCAAGGCTCAGGCCATCGAAGTGGCAGCCCACCACACCATCAGGCGAGAAGTTGAACGTCGTCAGAAGGCGGGAGGGATCATGGTCGTGGTCGTGGTCACGGTCACGGTCATGGTCACGGTCACGGTCACGGCACAGGCCCGTGGCGGCAATTCCAAGTACGGGTACAGCGCTTGACTTGCACGGGCAACGAAGCAGACGAGAGGCAACCCAGGGCGGAAGCCGAGCAGGGCAGGGCACAGACGGAACTTCGAAGCCGCATCGCGAATACGCTCGCTTACTTGTGCTCGATTTGCTGCTCCAGATTAAACCCAGGTAGGGCTAAAGCGAAAGCCCGCGAGACTAGACAACGCTGAGGCTTTTAGCACGGCACAAACAATGTCACCAAAAAGGAAGTTGGTAAGTAAAGGATGGCTTGAGACTTGGTTGGGGCCGGGCGTCGAGGCGAGAGCCAAAAGTCCAATGGTCGAGTTGGACAGCAAACTGAAGGCTACGAATCATATCAGGCCGGCGACGACATTGATACATGTGGAGAAGAAAAAAAAGGAAAGGAAAGGGAGAGACACACAGAGAGACAGGGATATACAGGTAGCATCAAAGAGACAAAAAAGATACTTGTGAACAGGAGTAGAAGTAGTGGGTGTGCTTTGTAGACACCTTGTACTTGATAATGTGAGAGCGAGATGAGGGGATCATAAAAAGGAAGCCGGAGAGAAAAAAGAAAAGAAAAAAATACCACCGCGGGCGAGGAGGCGGGAAAAGGCCCTGCAGATCAGGAGCTCAGCGTCAGTAGCTGCATCAGATCACACCGAAGAGAAAATTTTTGTCGATGGATCGGATGGCAGCGCTTGGACGCAAGCGAGAATCTGGGGGAAGGAGGGGAGGGTTAACGTCCAGCCGGTACATCCAGGGTACAAGGGATACAAGGGGTGCAAGGGATGATGGCGGAATGCCGGCCAGCACCAGGTACCCTGAGGCACAAACCATAAGCGCGGGAACCACAACCGCACAGGCCAGCGCAAATGTTCCGTACCGATCACGTCGCCGTGGGTAGCGGCTCCGACAGTGACGTCCATAGCGCCATCACTTGCCACAAGTCTGTTCTGTTGTGGTACGCAGGGAAGGAAAGTGCGATCTTTTGCGATCTCTACAGGTATGTACTGGGCAAGTACCTCAAGTAGAGCCTAGCAGCTTAGAGGTTAGTACTAACATCAACTCATTGTTGGCCAACTGGCGCATCTCCCAACCCGTCACATTTAAATCGGCTTTTAACTCCCTTCCCTCCAGCATCTCTACATCAAAGTATATGCCCAACACAGCCTCTGTCATGTATCAGGGGGAAACAAAGAGAGGCAAAATCATAAACAGCAAACGAAACACAAAGACCCTCCAGCAGGGGGCTTCCTCAACCCGCCGCGGAACCGCTTCCTTCGCCGATAGTTGCTGCGGAGACTAACGACTTGGTACCGACCTAGGTACGGAGTCCGGACTGCCGCCGGTTTACACCTACCAAACCCAGCTTCTCCTCAACAAGTCACTCATACCGGGATTCCCACCAGGGTCATAATCTACCTCTGGCGGCGGACGGCCTTGGATGCTGCTAAACTCCATAATGCAGGGAGCCTGCTGACCAAGGGGGTGGAAAAAGAAACGACAGTGGGAGAAAAGGAGCAGAGGGAAAATGAAAATGAACCACGGAAAAAGGAAAAAAAGAGCCCAATCACACCAAGAACGGGGCGGCTGAAAAAAGCCAGGCAAATCACACAACGTACTACTGCGCGTAAAGCGCCTTCTACCTACCTGGATGCCCATGTACTGTCTCACAACCAATGTCCGGCTGATCTTGTTGCGTCCTTATCAACGAGCAGAGCGCGGTGACTAAATCCCGCTGGCAATGGCTTTTGATTCCCAAGGGATGCTCGGCTGAAACCCGGTGCTAGTGCACCTTGCACGGTTATGAAACCGACAACTGGCCCGATTACTCTATATCATGTCCCCCATCATCATGGGAAGCAAGCACAAGGGACGGGATTCACCAAAGAGCAACACGAGAACACGGAGAAGAAACACGGACTCTCACCTGAGGTGGCCACACCCTGGCGGCCCGTGATAGGTGTGTCGCTCCTCTTGCCACAGAAATGCTCTCCATTCACCTGCAGCATCATGTCGCTTCGAGTTCAGCACAATATCGGCTCCCTCAGCCTCTCCCCTCCCTTGGATATGCAGCCCTGGAGTGTGTTTAGGCTGCGCATCAGTTTCGGTCGGGCTCTTGTTCTCCACCGGTTGAGCTTCAGCGAGTAACGTTGCCGGGAGCAGGAGAGACGCTAACATGTTTCTACTCGGTGCTCCATATTAAGTGTTCATCTCGTTTGGACCAACACGGCCCATGTTGATATCGCCATGTTGGGCTTCAAGTCCGGTCGTCTATACTGTACAGTGAGGTACCGCAAGCATGTCGAGAGCTGCAGCTGGTGTGTCTATCGGCTTAATAATAACTCTCTGCACTACGGCAACGCCACCGCATGGTGGTTTTACTTCCCGCACGCACATTGAGCCTCGTGCCTCCGCCTGCTCAACAAGCTGCACATCGGACGATACTGCGGCTACCCCAGCGTTTTGGGTACTGATGACGCCAAGGGCATCGTCAAGGCGCCTCTTTCTGCCGTCGATGCTACGTCCGAGACTTGACCGGCGGCCCGGCTCGCCCCTAAAGGCGCTGTCAATTCAAAGTCTCGCGCCACTCTCCTCCCCCATTTGCCTGATCCAATCCGCCTCATCGGCAACCCTCCCAAATGACCTCGCATCGAGCCAATCCGCTGGCAGACCGAGCGCCCTGCGAGACTCGCACCGCATCTTCATGTACGCCCATTGAGTTTCGACAGTGTACATGTATTTGCTACTAGCGCGATAATAATAGTTCAGAAGGGTACCACATGTTTTACACAACACCACAAGGGCATATGATTGATTGCAGGATAGGAAGCGCGGCACATTGCCCAGGGCCGGATTTGTCGATTAATGCTCAACCGTGCTTATTTGCCGAACCAAAAATTCCTAGAAGACGTCACACTCCCGAAGGCGTGACCGTCGAATAACGCACGAAATAGACTTAGGTCTGGGGTTGGAAGTCGTTAGATCTCGGGATGCCGCAGGCCTTTGGAATCTCCTTCTCGTACCTCTCCATGTTACCACCTCACACGGCCCTGGTTGCAACCGCCTTACAAAGAGGGTCGGTGTTTGCTACGAAGATGGTGCCGTATCACCACCACCAGCCTCCTCACCAGAGGGCAGAAAAGTCATGATAACAACATCCCACCACATCCCACTCACGCAAGCGCCCATCCCTGTCACAGCCGTTTCCCAAAACGCTTGTCTGCATGAAGGGGCGGCAAATCCTGTCTCATTTCTGCTCTGCTATCCAACCGCTTCTGCATGCACGTGGCGTCCCGTCCCATTCTACAATATACTGCTGGAAAAGAGAAGCCGCCATCATGCGTGGCATATGTAGAGGCACGTACTAGTAAAAACCCCCCCCCTCTTGTCATGCAGCTCATATATCATACAGCAAAAGGGCATTGTCCGACCCAGGCCAATAATCACGCATCTCGTCCAAGACATGCGAGCACAGCCAGCCTAACAAGGATCCACGCTGGGTATCACTTCTTCATGTCACAACGCGCTGCGGCTGCGGCTGCTGCGTAACTGTACGTGACATATGCATCCCAACCCAAGCTAACTCTGGTTTTGAATCCAATACTATAGTATCCGGAAAAAAATCAAATAACGTAAAAATCGGCAAATCCTATTCCTACTCTTTTTTATTCCCCGCCTTGTTGCCGGGTCCAGGCGTCGTTCTGGAACGCCCCCTTGTCATCCTTGCGGAAACCAATCTCGTCCCTCAGATCGTCAATGAGCCGCCCCCATTCCAGAAGCAGCCGGAACAGATAGATCTCCATGTCCTTCTCGCGGAGAGCCTTTGTCACCCATCGCTGGCCCTGCTGGACGATCCACTCGGCATCTGCCGTTCTGCCCTGCAACGACGTCTCCCTGCCATTGACCTTGGGCCGGCTCTCCGTGCCCGAGAAGTAGGCAAACGTCGTGTGAAGGGCCTGGTATCTTGGATCGATGGGGACAAAGTGCAGCCACGGCATCAGCCGCTCGGTATACCACGTGCGGAAGATGGTGGATATCAGTGGCACGCTGTTTGAGCGCAAGGTGCGAAGGACCTGCTGCGGCGGACCGTCGTCCTCGTCCATCAGGAGCACATAGCGGTATTCCAGCGGCTCGGTGGCATCGTCACGGATGCTGTAGGCCTTTTCGACCAGCTTACACCCATCGGCTGCGCAGGCCGTCGAGTTGGTCACTCCCACGCTGAAAGGCACGACGGCGTTGGCCTCGAAGGCCGATACCCTTTCGTAGCCGAATGTCTCGTGGTCGTCGGGCTTGGGGAGGACCATGATTACGTCGTCGCGTGCGTACGGCGCACTGGCGAGATGCAACAGTCGATATTTGTGACTTCCGCGTAGGGCCTGACTATTGGGTGCGTGTTCCCCCACGACCCCTCTCCAGACCAGACTATCATATCTTCGTGTAAACTGCCATTTGATGTCGGGCCGCTCCAGCCTCGTCTTGGGGAGCGGTATGACAATGTCACGGAACTCATCCGTCTTGGAGGCTCCGAACAAGGGGGCGAGCTGCCGGAGCGGCGTCCGCGGCGGATCTGTCAGCGAGAAGCCGTGCAGCAGACGTAAATCAGGCTGGGAGCAGGTGTCCAACGACTGCTGCCATTTTGTTAGGAGTTGGCCGTGGGTGTGGTCCTTGGCACACGACCAGCAAAACTCCATAAAGTTCCAGTGAGGCCTCGTCCTACTACGCGACAAGGGAGAGCAGGCTTCGGCCTGCATCCGACGAAAGGCACTAGCCGGCACCGTCCTCCGAAGAGGACTAGGAGGAGGATGAGAGACGATTGTTTCCTTTTCCTCCTTCTCGTGCTCCGCTGGCGCAGTGCCGTTGCTCGCCTCGTCCATGGAGCGCCGAGATAATAGGTCAGCCACGGAGCTGAGCTGAGCAGCCCTGTTTTTGGAATTCGCCTCCTCCCACGGCGGTAACACGCGGGGCGACGGAGAGAGGTTGATGGGCAGGACCATGTCCGGGAGGTGCTGGGCAAACTTTGCAATCATGGCGACCACCTCGTCGAGGTCTTTGTTGTCGTCACCGTTGCCCGTGTCCTCCCGAGAGACCTTGCCGCCCTTGACCGTGATGGTTGCGACGTCCGGCATCGCCGCCATCTCGATGGCCCTTTTGCGGAGCACAGGAGGGGGCACGTTCCAAAAGGGGCCAACGTCTCGGTCGATTTGCTGGAAGTCGTCGATGATAGCCGAGTCATCCGCGGCGTATTTGTACCATGCGTCAAAATTAGGGGGCGGTAGCCTCCCGTTGTGTCGCTCCTGGTAGACCGTTACAGCCGTCGATAGCGTGGTACTGACGCTGACTTGTGCCTTCCAGCGGTCATGCTCGACGTGGGCCGTGTAGACGAGATCGTTGGCAGGATGAATGTTGTTGTGAAACGTTTGAGGCTTCTTTACAAGAATGAAGATGGTTGTGCCCAAGAGGAGAGCCAGCAGTATGAGAGCAAACAGGATCCGCCGAATGAAGACGATGGAACGAACGTCGTGAAGATACAAGAAGAAAATAGTGCCGGCGACAATCATCCATAACGGGCCCATCGCAGCAGTTCGTGATAGGTGTAACCAGTCCCCGTAGCGAAAGATTTTGTCGCATGAGCTCCATATGCCCACCAAGAACGTCAAGGTGCCGACAGGCGTAATGGTTGATGTCTCGCATATCCAAAACATGGATGCCGTGACGAGAGAGGCAAAGGCAAAGCTATCCACCACGGCATCAAAGCCATACAGGGATCCAAAGGAGACGTTTACTCTATGAGTGCCCCTGAAGACGGTGTTGACAATCCATACCATGCCCACCGAGGCAGACGACAGAAGCAGCACCGAGCTTAAGATGCGTAGGCGCAGCTTCACGGTCCTTGCCCATGCCATGATCCGCCACAGCAAGACTACAATGACGGCATCAAGCACGAGGCCCAGCAGCTGCAGAGAGACGGTCCTGAACCGGCTGTCGATGAGGTGGAAGCAAAAGTAGGTCGACCTCCGAATGTTGGAGATGGACAAGTAGGTGCCCAGCGAAAAGACGAGTGCGCTGACAACGGTGTTGAACATGACGACGCGAGGCCCGCTGAACCAGTCCCAGATGTCGTCGAAGATGCTGCGCCAGGGGTCGTCGTCTTCCAAGGCGGACAACGGGAGCCCCCATCGGCGACGTGTAGAGAAGATTTCATATCCAATGAGAATGATGATGAGAAACGACTGTCATTGAGAAGAAAATATAGAAGATTCCGTTAGCAAAAAGACGACTTACTCGCTTCGGTGATGTCATTTCCTACCTCGAGCCCAGGAGAAGCACACTGCTGCTGCTTGTTCACTAGGTGAAAGACTTCCAATCGAAGGACAATGGTGAAGACCAGGACCGGAAGAGACCATCGCCGGGGCCGATTGGGGAGGTGGGCGCTGGATCCCTTGAGCAGCGCCTCGTCAGACGCAACGCCGAGGATCGTCTCGTCGCCGGTGCCTGAGACGAAGCGGCCGTCTGCTCCGGGGATGAGTTTTGCTGCGGAACCGAGGCCGTAGCAGATGAGGCCTGATAGAAGCAAGACTAATAAGGATGAAAGCCGAGGTCGTTCTTGAGAATGGAGGTTTAGCTTTTTGTGATGAGTGGATAAGAGAAAGTTGACGTTGAAAGACGTACCGGTCAATGAGTGGCGCTCCAAGGAATGCGAAATGTAAACAAACGACAAAACACTGCTACAAGGATTGTCAGCCAACTGAAGTATCGCAATTGGATTGAAAGAAGGTCATCTGATCTATACCAAAGAGCGGACAGTTGCACAGCGAGGTATCGAGCCATGGCTATTCAAAAAAAGGCTTCCCAGCCCGGCGGCTCAGCCCGACGCTGGCCACGTTTTTTTGCGTTTTATCTGTTGGCCAGGTACCTTTTATGTGTCTAGCCCTGAGCAATGCAATACTAGACTACTAATCATTCTGCTGTGCTCCAGTGGCATCAGAAACTCTGGACAGAATATCTCCGAGTCTCGATATAATAATATATTCTCAAATACTTGTTACTTTTCTGCAATGGCATTCGCTCGTCGGCATCGAATCTCACCTTTTTCGGGGGACTCAAGTTTCAGGGGTTCCTCTCCGCTTACATAAGCTCGGTTACCCTTTCCGCGCCTTCTCCGCCAAACCAACCGCAGCAGCAGCGAATCCCGCCTTGCACAGTAAGCTTAGATACCGTACCTAAGATAGGCAGAATCGCAACCGCCATGAATCCCGTATCACGAGCCTCCTCTTCACCACCACAACCTCCGCCATGGCAGGATTCAGCGATGCGCCCTTCGCCGAGGCCCTCGCCGTCCCCGCCGTCTGCGCGCTGACCGCCTTCCTCAGCTACTTCTCGCAGTTCGTCTTCAGCGACGAGACGCTCGACCCGGGCCCGCTGACCCGCAACGAGAGCGTCGTCTTCAACACGCTGCTGCTGTGCCTGTGGTTCAGCTACTTCCGCGCCGTCACCATCGATCCCGGCCGCTTCGTCTTTGAGGAACAGGTGCTCGACGCGGATGGACGGTGGTGCAAGAAGTGCCAGGCGCCGAAGCCCCCGAGGGCTCATCACTGCCGGCACTGCAAGAGATGCATCCCCAAGATGGACCACCACTGCCCCTGGACGGCCAACTGCGTGTCCATGACGACGTTTCCGCACTTCCTACGCTTCCTCGTCTACGCCAACGCGTCGCTATGGACGCTGGGCTACTTCTTCTGGCAGCGGTTCTACGCCCTGTGGGAGACGCGGCACATGCCCGCCCACCTGGGCCCCTCGCTCTTTGCGCTCATCTCGCTCGCCATGACGTCCCTCGTCTGGGCCGTCACGTCGCTGGCGCTGGGCCTCATGCTCATCACCACGCTGCAGGGCTGGGTCCTCAACCGCACCACGATCGAGGAGATGGAGGTCGACAAGCACGAGTCCAACATCCGCAGCGGCAGCGGCAAGGAGTGGTGGGACGTGACGGGGCCCGACGGCGAAAAGCTGCGCTTCGAGCCCGTCGAGTTCCCCTACGACGTCGGCTTCTTCGCCAACATGGCCCAGGCCATGGGCTCCGCAAACCCGCTGCTGTGGCTGCTGCCCCTCGCCGGCAACCCGCGCCTCAGCAAGACCGGCACGGGGCCCGGCTGGACCTGGGACGAGAACGGCTTCAACCGCAAGTTTGGCATGTGGCCGCCCCCGGACCCCGAGAAGCTGCGGCGCGCGGGCAGGGAGTGGGGCGTGTCCCGGCGGAATTACGACACGGAGCTGCAGGACGCTGGGCTGAGTCCCGAGGAGCAGGTTGAGGCTTTCAGGAGGCGGCAGGAAGATGATTTCAAGAGGAAGAATAAGCTCATGGCTGAGCTGGAAGAGGTGGATGATTATCGCTCAGACGGGGATCGTGATAGTGACGAGGGAAGCTATCGAAACGGTTGGGTCAACGCAGACGGCGAGCGGCTTCGAGACTATGGCGTCGATGAAGACGCAGAACAATACGACGAGGAGGTCCCCATTGCAGAATTACTACGACGCAGAAAGGGGGCAACATCATACAACGATGAGTAACGAAACTACAAGAACAAAAGCGTATAAACATGAGGATAATATTTGTACTATAAATAAATAAAAAACTGTATTTTTTTCTAGAACAAGCATTTTAAAATAATATGTAAGATTGCTTCCCAGGCCATGGCCCCTTTCCATCCACCCCTCCATCCCTCCTTTCTTTCTCTTCCCTCTTCCGTAGGTAGGAAAAAAATAATAACAACCACACGCTTCCGAAGATCTATACTCAAAGACCGTATGAACACAATGGGTTGCCCAAATCTCTCGCACACATTGTGTATACAACAAGTTTCCGCCAAAAAGAAAAAGTGGTTTTTTTTCCAGTCATTGAGGCATGATATTGATGTAAAGAAGCAAAGAACTAGAAAAAGGAAAACCACGAAACAAAAATCGAGAAATAAATCAAATACCAGCCCCAACTGAACTGTATAAAATGCCCCTTCATGACAAAGCAACATCGTGAAGCATATCTAAAATGAAGAAAGAAAAAAAATTCGTGACGTGGCTCACCAGTCGTCAGTCTCATCGTCTCTCTTTTGGTTCATGGCGTTCTTGCGTGCCAGGAGGGCGTCTGCCAAGCTGCCTCCCAGGCTAGGCGTCGGTGTGCTGCTACGGCTGTCGCCACCGGTGCCGTTGAGACTCATTCCCGAGTCTCTCTGTTGCAAGTCGGCGGGCTTGCGGCCACCTGCTGCTGGTCGTTTCGTCGGCGGTACGGGTTTCGCCTTGGCCGAAGGCGGCGCCGGAGGTTGTCGAGGAGCGGCAGCTGCCTGCTCTTCAACGTATGCTGCCGGCACCCAGGCCTGTCCTTGAGCGTTCTTTGCTAGCCACCAGCCTGTCATGTAGTGTTAGATTACATCATAAGAATAGGGGGTCGTGTGTTCGCAGGTTGAATGATACGTACCATTGTTCTCCTTTTGGATAATCTCAAGAATGTCACCTGCTTTGATGGAGAGTTCGTTCTCTTTCTGGCCGGCGAAATCATATAACACCTTGGCCATGATCTTGGGCTTGGCAGCAGGGGGGGCTGGAGGGGCTGGAGGCGGTGGTGGGGCTCGAGCACTTGCGCTGGGTGTTCTGGCATGGCTCAATGGCTTGTTGGCATTTCCGATAACTGGGACTTGATGTGACACCGAACTCAACGTGCTTGTGCTTGCTGACGGGCCAGCATTGGATGACGCCGACGATGATACCGATACTACGCTGCCGAGAGCGGAAGGTGGCGGAGGAACCGTCCTGGTGCCGCTGCCCGTTGGTCTCGGCCGGGTATTGCGGTTATTGGTGAGTCTGGACGGCCTTCCTCCCGGACCACCAGGCTTGATCAGCTTGCCTCTGGTGATGGGCCGTGCCGCCACAGGCTTGGCCTTGGGCAGCGGCTTCGATACCGAGTTGGGAGGCTGTCCCTGCTGAGTGTGGATCGTGCCACTCTTGTAAAAGTCGGCCCGCTGCTGAGAGTCCTTGAGAACCTTGACCTGCTGCATCTTGTTTGGCTTCTTGGCATATTCAATGTGCTCGGCGATCTTGAGGTTGAAGCCTCCTGGCATGGCACGCTGCATATGAGTAAACATCTCCGTCTTGAAGACGCAGTTCATGAGCGGATCCGGTTCCTGGGGGGAGCCGATTCCTAGTGAGAACCAGTCGTCTTGGGCTGTAGAACAACCGACAAACTTGATGGCTCCCAAGGGAATCGCCTTTTCCACCTGGATCTGTGGCTGGTTGTTGACGAGCAGCTGAGCAATGATGTAAAACTTGGCATTGGTGATGATTATGATGCGAGGGCTCGGTTTACTGGATCGACCAAACTTGGCCTCAAGAAGCTCGCCACGGCACGAGAAGATGGCACGCTCGTTTGAGCCGAGGTTGGCCGCCTGCCGCAAAGGAGCTCCCGGACCGTTCATGGCGTTGATGCCGAGATAATCTCCAAGGAATCTTCGAGAGCCGAGAAGACTCATGCGCCGCCTCTCCTTGCGCCCTTGAAGAACCTTGTGGCCCTGGTCACGGAGCTGCAAGTATTCTGCGCCGGTACGCTTCTTTCGCCAGAAACGTTGTATTCTCGTGGCAGACTCGGCTCGGTAGGCAAGGTAGGCTCGCCACATGCGCTGAATACGAGTGGCCATGTTGTGCCAGTATCGATCTCTCATGTGCTCCAGCGCAAACAACGTCTCCGGGGACTTGATGAACGCTTTCGTCATGCCCATTTGCCACTCTTCTTTGGGAATACTCGTATCCTTGAGAATCTGCTTGACAGCGTCCTCGACCGAGCCCGTCCATGTGTATTCACCAGCGTAAGAAGTGGCCGGTGACAACAGGAAGAAACGATCGGCAAACTTGTCAAAGGCTTGTCGATAGGCAAAACCAGCTCTTCGAATACGGACGTTTTCCTGCAGACCAAGATACTTGATTTGATGCAGGACGTTGGCCTGGTTATACTCGGAAGGAGACTTGTTCTCGTTGGGTTTAATCGTTCGGATATAGGATGGCTGGCACTTCATGAGTGTATCGACCAAGAGGTTGGCCGATGTTCGAATACGATCGCCCGCGGTGGGAGGCTGCTTTCGGTTATCCTGATCGACTTCGTTGGGGAATAGCGTGTGAACGAATGCATTTCCGCTGGTCTGGAACAGGTTCAGCAGTCCCTTCAGCAACTGATCCTTGTTCTTGTCCGTGATACCATCGACAGTGTAGCCGACATCACCAGCGTAATGCTTGATGATGAAGCTGCCTTGTCGGGGAATCAAGTGAGCGTGTGACATGCCGTTGATGCTCTGCATGAAGGTTCGGTCGCAGGCGGCGGGATCTGCGTGGGCCGTCTTGGTCGCATCCTTCATGACAGAAAAGATTCCAGAAGGCCGAATTTGCTCAATCAGGTCGCACACAACCTTGTTGTCAAAGTATTTGATTGGCGTCCACTGGATCTTCTCGCGCGCGTACTCTTCCTGCTCGGCCTTCAAGGTGAGCTGGATGAAGATCTGCTGGAGCTTTTCGTTGACATAGTTGATGCACAGCTGCTCGAAGCTGTTGTTCTCGAAAATCTCAAAACCGTAGATATCCAGGATACCGATGGTGTTGGTCGTGGGCTGTTTAGACTTGAGAGAGATGTTGATGCGCTCTACGATCCAATCAAACAATTTGCTGTAAATGGCCTTGGCCAGTGCATCTCGTGTTGCCATTGCTTGGGCCGGGTTTGCCGGCGACTCAATGACCTCTCCGTTTCGAGGCGTCAGGATACGAATGGTGATGCCCTTGACGACGTCCTCGGGTGTGCACTGCAGCAGGTATGCGACAAAGTCTACTACAGATTTGTCGACCACCTCGGCGTATCCGCCCTGGTCCTCCTGGAATCGAATATTGCCAATCCACAGAATGGCGGACAGCATGCGGAAAATCTCGTCCTGCTCCGACTGGCTCAATCCAATAATCTTCATGGCATTGAGCGTATCCTGGAATTCCGCGACATCGTCTATGCCGTCTACATCATAACACTTGGAACGGCTGGTATAGAGGTAGGTTTCGGGCTTCTGGATGCCAAACAGCTCGCGGTACTGGCTTGGCGCAGCTTTTGTGAACTGGTAGAAAATGTGAAAGTTGCGCTCGTTTGTAATCTGCCCAACAACGCGCGTGCTCTCAAGAAGATAGTTTGTAATGTCGGCTCCGACGGGCTCGCCGGTAGAGTTGAAGTAGAGCTGGAGATACTTTCCGAATCGCGACGAGTTGTTGTTGCGCAGCGTCTTGGCGTTTCCAAAAGACTCGAGTAGCGGATTGGTTGCCAGCACCATGTCTTTGATCTTCTTGATGTCGCCCGACTGCTCACCAGAGACGCTGGCGATGTACTGCATGAGGCGCTTGGCGGCCTCGGTCTTGCCGGCTCCCGATTCGCCCGAGATGATGACGCACTGGTTGTCGTTGTACGCCTTCATGTTGTAGTATGCGGATTCGGCGATGGCAAAGACGTGCGGCGGCATTTCCAAACGGTTCTTGCCCTTGTAGCTGTCCAGGACCTGGTCGGTGTAGATGCCCAGGTCCCGGAAGGGGTTGACAGAGACCAGCACATGGCCAATGTATGTGTAAATCTCGGCGCCTTCGAAACGCTTCTTGAGGTTTTCGTTGATGGCCTCGTTGGAGACCTTGCTGAGCAGGGTCAAGTCTGACACACCGATCTCCTTTTTCTTAGTCACCTCGTAGGTCGCCTTCTTGGGCTTTTCGATGCCGCCGCCGCCCGCCGCCTGAGCATTGCGAGCGGCCTTGTCCTTGGGACGCCTCGAGATACCCTAGGAACAGTAAAAAAAGCGCCCGTTAGAATGATGCTGATGCCGCAGCCTTTTTTGGCGGGGGATGAGGGAGGACGGGGGGGGAGAGTCGAATGGCCCTACCATTGTGGAAGACGGAGAGACGACACAGGAGGAGGGGGGAAAGAGAGAGATGAAGAGAAAAAAAAAAGAGAAGAAGGCTGACGACGCGATTTATTCGAGCATCAGATGTCTAATTCCTGGAATCAAGCACTTTGGTGGTTTGTGCCGGACGTGACGAGAAGAAGTGAAGTGAGCGAGGGGAATCGGTTGACCCAAAGGCTTGAATGTGGCTTGTCGAGCATTCGCGGCCGAATGATGCGGTGCCTGACGAGTGACGTTTAGTGCCGCTGGCCGACCTTTTTCCGCCTTTGTGCTCCAGTTGCTTTGATTCCTGATGGCACAGCCACTCCGCTGACAAGTAGCAGTACGTACCCGCCCGTCTGGGTACCTGTTCAGGGATGGAATACGCTCACTGTGTTGTTTTTGTAATTGTGAATTTTTAATTCCACGACGCTCTTCAATTTCGGTACCCGCGTTTTAATTTATGTGCAGCAGAAGCACCCTGATTCCTGCTTATTTTCTTCGTTCTTGATACGAAGAGCCCATGCAGCGTCGCTCCGGCGCCTCCGTAGCCTCACATCATTGCGCATTAGCATTTTTTCCCTTCTACCTAGGTACGGTAACGGCACCTCGATAAGTTCCATGGATTGCCCAGGTACAGAAAACAGGTGCCTAGTGTAATACAGTTGCAACCAAAACTCCGTGCCTTGAACCATTCCATACCCATTCTTGTTCCGATAATTCTCCCGGTTTCTACCTCGACGGGGAACCGCCCTTACCGAATTCCGGAGCCGCTTCGTCGACCAGAAGAAGGAAAAACTGGATATCTGGGCACCGGCCGGCAGTGTTTGCTGGCGCCAGACAGTTTCGTCGACGCTCCCTTGGCGGTGGAGTCTCTCCCTTTCCAGAGCGTCCATTTCACTGTTTGATTTGCTCGCCCATTAGATCTTGCATGCGCTGGTGACGATACGCGGGCCGGTCAATGCTATTCATAGGCTTTGTGCATCCGGATTCCATATTGACTATCTATATTCCCCTCCATGTAAACACTAGTAGACGAAGCGTTAGTCTACTTGCCGAGACTCTCCGAAGGCCATCTAGTGTTATCTGCATTCCAAGTTGGCATCTGTATTGTAATAGATGGATACTAGAAAGAAGACTAAAGCAGATAGCGATAGTAATGAGGCACCGCTTTCCGTACAGCATAGCAGCACACTTTGACGATATGCGGACTTTTGGGTCTGCGGTGGAGTGCACAGTCATCCCCACGTACTTGTACGCGCAAACCACCTGCAAAAAAACTCTTGTCGGCGTCCAAGACATCAAGCCACGTCCTGTTCTAGCATTCTTCCACTCAGGCCACTCGCGTGGCCCTCTGCAATTGGCGCCAGCCTTTCTGAGACGCCGCTGTGCTCGCCTAGGGAAAACTGAAACCAAACATCGGCGTAACAGACAGAATTCGAGTGCCCCTTAATTGGAAGCGCATAAGTCCATGCCGCCTCATGCTCTCGTCTCCTCACGCCTCATTCCGGCAGCTAATGCTCCACGACAGACTCACTTGTAGAACTGGAAATGAGCATTGTCTGCCAGCATGTGCCTTGGCGATATTCTACTACTACGAAAAAAGAAGGCCGTCTCCTGTTTTCTGTGTCCTTGCTTGGGCTGCCACGCGACACCACCATTGCCCCCTTGCCCTTCCAGCCCATGACCTTCAAACCACGCACGTATGGCATCTCTGTGTGACCCCATCACCAGCACTCCCGTAATAACGGCAATCCCTGCTCTCGCCTTGAGCAGCTGGGCAATTGAGAGTAGAGTTGCGGGGTAGAGAAAAATAGCGCTCCCGCATGCCCAATTATCCACCATCGCCAGGTCGCTGTTTTAGTCCAAGTTGATGGCCTGAGGGATGCGGTGTGGGTTCGATGCTTCATCGAGGGAATCAGTGTTAAAAACAGCGTTGCATCCCCCTCTTTTCCACTGCAAACGACCTGCTTCTGCTTCTCTCTCTTTCACACTGCATTTTTTCCTTCCATCTGACAATCGTCTGATCTCTCAACTGTCGGAGTTGATTCAGCTCCCGTCAAACCACCAAAAACCCCACCCCCACATATTAGAGGGAGCTCTAGACGCACCTGACGTCATTTGACACGAGCTTCGTTGGGCACTTCAAGGCTCTGATCGAACCGTCTTGCCACTTCTCACCACTTACACCTTTACATACCATCAGTCACCACAAGCACAAGCACAAGCACAAGCACAAGCACAAATCAGCACGAATCCATCACCATGGCAGACACCACAGATCCCCAGGCCCCCGTCGACGAGACGCCCATCTCTTCCGTCAAGACCAACTCTGCCCGCAAGAACTCTCTTTCCAACTACCTCAAGCACCGGCCCGAACGCTCCGAGCTTGTAGAGAGTACGTCCCAATGAAGCCTGATTCTCCGTCTGTCTGTTTATCACGGAAACGAAGGCACATTCAGTCACTTGACGGAGACTACGACGTTTGCCGTACGCCTTGCTTGATTCGCCTCGCTAACTGATGTTGCAGAGAACATTCTCCCAGACTCTACAGCCGCACCCGGTCTCATCGCTCAGCAAAAAGAGGTAAGAAACTTCCAATAACTCACCATCAATTCCCATTTTTGAATCTTCCAAAGCTTGAAACTTGGAATCCACAACCCAGTAACGAGGTCAAAAACAAAAGACGGGGCTAGAAATGCTAACCGCCCATCAATCGACAGCTTCAAAAACACATGCTCGGAGACAAGCTCAATGACAAGATTTCGCATCGCCCTACCCCCGATGCCCTCCTCAAGGACGGCGTTCTACACGAGGACCCTCGCTCCCCAGAGGAGAAGTACGCCGAGGCCATCGAGGAGGAGTACGCCAAGCGGGAGGGCGGCGCTTAAGCAGCATTAAAGCTATATACCTAGCGAACACGTGCTGGGAACTCGTGCCGGGGAATGCAACTTGTTTTTACACACAAACATGCAGAATACCCGATTCGGAGAAACCGGCCCAGGAGGAGATGGGATTTTGTTTGGAAGCTTGGAATTGTTATGTGTGTTTTACCTAGGAGCTCGCGTGATGTCCGGCAAGGACTTGAAACAAAGCAAAGGGGCTGCCATTTTGAGACTTTGAGAGTTTGCCCACAGCCCATCTCAATCTCGAGTTTAATGCAATGCCTAAAAATACAAAATATTGACAAGTCGAGTAAATCATAACATCTTACAATTTTGCTGCCTATTTTCTCGCTCCCGTGTGTCCCGTATGAAAGCGACGCTATGGCGCGCAAGGTAGCAGTTGGTTGGGGCTACATCGGGCTACCAAAAATAGATCTGGTCGCCCAAGAGGACGAAATAAGGGCTCCCTCCCGGGCGATCTTGGTACCTGCGTTAGTGAGTTGATAAGCTGTGAGACAAGCCGCGGAGCTTTTTTTCCAAGACAAGGAAAAAAAGAGAGCTGACGACGTTTGTCGGAAAATGTCTCAGAAATATGCATGAATAGCTTGTTTCGTTTCATAAATAGAATAAAATAAAGAAACAACATTAAGAATATCAACTGCATTTCGTATCAATGACGCCACACATCCTTCGCTTAGCTATAATCCGTCGGTTCCCAAGCGATAAGTCATATCCATGCCAATGTCCGTACACGTATCCATGCAATTCCCGTGCCCATGTCCTGTTGCCAGTACCCTAGAGTTGTAAAAAACAGAATAAAAATAGTAGTCCAAAAATAACGCCAACAGCGCCGTGCGGTTCTATGAGTAGGTGTGTAGAGCCAAGCTAACCCTCAGCTGGCTCCTCAGAAGCGGGTTGTGTCCCAGTATGTGGTTGTGAAGTTGTGAAGTTGTGCAATTGCGAGCTGTCTGATGGATGTCGCATCACTGGTAGCCACCACGGTAGCGAGGAGAAGGAGAGTCCGTCTCGTAGTCCCGCCTGTGGTGGTTGACGACGACAGAGCCAGCGGTTCGGACTACTTGAGCAGAACGGCGTTCTATGGGGCTTGTTAGCATGCTGGGGCGAGTGGAAGGTGTTGGGTGTAATGGCATACCGGCATCATACTCGCGGGCATCGGAGACAGAGCGGGAGTTGGACGCCGCATAATGGGCAGACGAGCTGGAAGAGCGGCTGGAAGAGCTGGCGGTAGAGGGGCCAGAGCTGGTCTGGTGGACGTAGACGCTGGGTCGGCTGGACATTGTCACAGTTGTTGGTTTGTTTGATTGATTGTTGGTTGGTTGGTTGTTGTTGATGGTTGATGAAGAGGTGGAACTCTAAGAATTTGGTATAATAATGACAGTCAAGAGAGGATAGAGAAGAGTAGCAGCGGTAGCAGTAGTTGATATATAGTTGTTGGCAGGTAAAGCTTTGTTTGATTCGTATCTATCTTAACAAGGATGGTGAGGAAAGGGAAGATGCATCCTCAGGACGACGGGCCACGGCCATTATGTAGTTTTCCGGGAGACAGCACTGCCGTCACGACAAGTATACTTGACAGACTGACAGCACGCTCACTCGAGACGATACCTAGGCAGATAGGGCGAAGGAGGGCGTGGAGGCAGCAGCAACAACAACGGGTACTAGCTCTGACACAGAAGCAGCACGTCGTGACTCAGGCCCTCGACAACGGAAACACACACGCCTCGCAAAAGGCGATCTACCGAGGCCCTCCCCAAAACAGGGAGCCAGGACAGGGGCCGCCAATCGGCCATGATTGGCCTTGGCCCTTCGGGATAAAAAAAAAAAAAAGCAAATCGTCAGAACCCAAAAAAGCTCAAGGACTACCTAGTAGGCGTGGCGAAAAAAACGGGCTTTGAACGGGCCTCATGATTGAGAGAGAGAGAGAGGAGGGCAGGGGGGTGTCTTGTTTCCGTTAGGCAGGGCGAAGGGGGAGGGACGGACTGGAACGAGGGACGAAGTTGGGGCTTGGAGTTTCGGCACTTTGAGCATGGCCACAACAGTGAAGCGGCGACGGCCGGGGGACAGCAGCGGCAGTGAGAGAAAGAGAGAGAGCCCTAGATTTCTGCCTTCGAGTCACAGTCATGGCGGCTGCGCGGCGACGGTGAATGTTTTTGGTAAGACGTGCAACATGGGAAAAAAAAGATGGGATGGGATGGGATGGCACAGCCGCTACCAATTCCGCGGGTACCTGGCGAGCAAGTCAGTTCCAAAGTACAGTTGTGCATAACGACGCCACAGGGGTCCGTCACAGAGCCCGTGTTAACGGACAGGTACCAAATGTCCTGCTTCGGCTGCGTTCGCCCTCTGGCACAGGTACCTGCCCGGCCAGCGACGGGTACTCGTAGAAACAACTTGGAACCAAGTGACCCACGAGCCACGCTGCCCAGCGCCTCGCCCGTGCCGTCCAGACTCTGCTAGGCCCTGCTGGACCTGCTAGGCAGACAGGCGCAAAAGCAGGCATCAGCGGTTCCCTGATGAGTCGTCGATGGAAAAAGTCGAAGAAAGGGATTCGCAAAGTTGAGGGTGGAAATTGGGTATGGCCTATTCGCTTTTTTTTTTCTCTTCTTTCTTTTTTTTTCTACATACCCCTCACGCTCCTCTCTACTACTAGTGGGTGGCTGGGAAATTCTTCACAGCAGACAGGCCTGCGGGAGCCGCATCTGCGAGGGAGACGGGCTTGTATGCGTATGCATTCGTGCATTCGCGGGTGCCACAAGGCCAGCCAGGAATTAGACTACCTACCTGCACCGCATGTCACGCGTCTGATGTCGCTCGCTCGCAGGGCCGAATGCGAAGAATCAATCGCTGTACGACATGAAGCCGAGCGCTAACTGGGCTCGACTTTTTTTTTTCTCTCTGGTGAGTTGTCCCGCGGCTTGTCGTGGGTGAACAAGCCACGATGGGAGCAGGCTGTGTTGTTACTCTTCTTCGGTGACGACATGAACAAGCCCCGTCGATGCCATGGAAACTGTAACAAGGCCATACGTATTGGATCAATAGGTTCAAGCTGCTCCGTGCTCGTACAATCATCTCGTTAGCACTAGTACTCGTAGACAAGACGCCAACCGGCGACTTTGACGATGCTGCTTCGCGGAAGTGATGCCGGGCATGGCCCTCCCACCGGCTTCGTCCGCGATACGTTGGATTCGCAACCAGAAGATGGGCCTTTCATTTCCACACTCCATCCTTCTTCAGACCATTCCGTGCAACCACATTCTTTTTTCGCTCTTCTCACCGTTTCTGCCCAACTACACCCCCTTCCGCAGAGCGTCGTCGCCCACGCAAGACCCGTGGTTACAGGGCGTGGGATCATTTGGGTCAGCACGGACGGGGCTAGCGTCTCGCCTCCGGGGAAGCGACCTCACGATGCAAGGCACGTCTATTGGAACCGGAACCTTGATCGACAAGCCCACGTATAGAATTGAGAAATGCCACAAACGGGCCTCTCTTTGGGCATGGCGCGGCCTCTCTCAAGTTCCCAAAAAAAAAAAGTCATGTGGGCTCTTTCTTGCAATCAGCCTCCCTAGTAGCCTTGCATAGTTGTGGCTCCTGAATTGGGGGTTGTTGTTTTTCAGGGCTCAACTACGTCATACCTTGAGGAATTGGCTGGTGATGGGATTGAGTTTTTTCGGGCTCAGCTGTCAAAGAATGAAAATTTCAGTGCCTCGAATTGACACGGCCCGAAGACGCCTCATCTACGTCACATCATCCTTCATCGTTGTTTACTTCGCTAGACGGCGATTGCATTCGCTTTCCCCTGTCCCAGCTGGGGGCCTCCTGAATACCATCATCGCAAACGCCTTGTACGATTCTTCATCGTCTTTGCTTCCCAACCCACATGACCTCGATACAGGGTCCAGCACGGCCATGACGTACTACCAAGCACACGGAAAAGCTTCTTTTTTTTCTTCTCCCCCATGCATGTATATGCGCTCAATAATTTCTGCTGCATCCCTCCCCGGATGCACAAACCCGGCCAATCATCATCAGCCTTGGATTCTCGTAGTTGTGGTTTGTTTTAGGCTGCACTTGATCACGCGAGAGAAACAACGCCGCTGGGTTGCCCCTTGGTGACGACATTTCAGAATCCGCCGACGAATACGATATGCCATTGCGCAGAATCCCATGTAGAAGGGCTTTTTAGATTTCATCATAATCGGGCCATACGCAGAAACGCCCTTGTAAGGCACATGAAGCAACTAACGGACAGGCCCATTGAAGCCAATCCCCGGGGAATTGAGAATTGGCGGGGCCCAGACTGGCAGCATCGATGTCATTGGCCAATGGTCTCCGCCATCTCAACGGCTCAAGTAGATTGAATTTCATCCACAGCGCTCGAATCGGGAAGCTCAGTGGAGTTTGGATAGCTGGCCACTTTGGAAAAAAAGCCCCTCAGCTGGGCCGCGCATTGGCATCTGCATCTTGTACGTCCAAAGTCCATCAGCATCGCCTTTTCTTCTCTCTCTCTTCTCTTCTCCTTCATTCTCTTCCCATTCTCCCCCTTTGTCGACGTAACCCACACGCTTCGGTTTCGCCTCATTTTCTTCTTCCTTCCCCCCCGTCCGCGCACCATTCTTTCAACCCACACTTCGCCACCATGAAGGCAGCCCTGATCCTCTCCGCCCTGGCCTCTTGCGCCATTGGCGTTGTCGCCGCCGAGGACCTCAAGATCGAAGTCACCCACGCCGTCGAGTGCGAGCGCAAGTCCCAAAAGGGCGACACACTGTCCATGCACTACAAGGGCACTCTGGCTGCTGACGGCAAGAAGTTTGATGCCAGTACGCTGTTCCCTTCCCCGTCTCTGCCCACCCCCGTCTGCCTTCGGGGAGGGTCTTGGATGACGATCTCTGTTTGTTTCGAGTTGTTCGTCCGTGGCTGACACTGTTTCTTTCGCAGGCTACGACCGCAACCAGCCCTTCACCTTCAAGCTGGGTGCTGGCCAGGTGATCAAGGGGTTCGTTTCTACACTCCCCCCCTTCTCCCTCCCCCACGTCGTTGGGTTTTTATTGCGACTGGAAGCTAATAGGTTTTGCCACTCCAGATGGGATCAGGGTCTCCTTGACATGTGCATTGGAGAGAAGAGGTACGGACAACGCTGCGTCACTGCCCCCCTAACTGCTTGAATTGCATTGGTTAACATTACATCACTCTTCCAGAACCCTCACGATCCCCCCCGAGCTGGGCTACGGCAACCGCAACATGGGCCCTATTCCGGCTGGCTCGACTCTGGGTACGTCTCTTTCTGCCCTCTCTTTTTGCTTCGACTTCAAAACCCCCACGCCGTATCGAATATCAGGCCACTAATTGATGTCATAGTCTTCGAGACCGAGCTGCTGGAGATCAAGGGTGTCAAAGCCCCCGAGCCCCCTGTGGTCGAGAAAGTGGCCGAGAAGGTTGCCAGCGTTGCCTCCGAGGCTGTCGATGCTGCCAAGACGGTCATCGCCGACACTGATGAGGGCCACGGGGAGCTGTAAACGAGAACATGATTTGTAAATATTTTCCTTTTGATCGCATAGCGGATCCCCAAAGTAAATGAAACGTTCCGTCAAATACTAGAGCTCGACTCTATCCAGATGTGATCGTCCTCCAGTTGTCAATATTCGTTAGACACTCTCTCCATTCACCTTCCATACGTCATATCACTTCCCCATCAGTAGCAACGCCCATGCGCAGAAACTACAAGCATCAGTCGATGTTCGCAGATCAGTGGATGTAGGGCCCTGGGATAAGGCGACGCGAAGGCATCGTTACATCCAAAAGGCCATTTCCAGAAAGTCCCAACAGAATTCTACAAGGTAGACATCGTCATTCATAACATCACACATCATGTGCTCATTCAGAAAAAAGAAAGCTTCTTCTGCTTGGGATCTGTAGTAGGCGGACGGCCCCGCTTCTTCTCCGTCAGCTTGGGCCGTTTGTTCACGTCAGGCGGAACAGGCTTCGTTTCTTTGGGGTCATCAGCCTGAACCGCGTCCCGAATCGTCTGTCGAGACAAACACAAGTCGATGTGCTCGTTGAACTGTCGTTCGTTTGCCGCCTGTGGGCGGAGGCATATCGGACACTCCCACCAGTCCTCCTCCGGCTGAGCCCCGCGCTCAGGAGGTGGATTGGGCACAATCTCCTTCCCATGCCTTCGGTCCTGCAGCATCTCATCTTCTTCACCTTCGTGTTCGTGAGATGCATTGTCCAGGTTGTCGTCTAAATCTTCCAGTAAATCGTCGTCGTCTGTGCCCAACTTCTCCCACTCATCTTCCTTTTCCAATGGCTCACTCGCTTTCCTCTTGACCATCCCAGCATCACTCGATTCTCCGGTATCCTGTCGGCGAGGCTTGAAACCAAAGAACGCCATAGTATCAGGCTTCTTGGTGCTGACTAGATGTGTGCACCGCAACCCCATGAGCCGCAGCTTCATGCCTGGCATTTCTTGCTCCAGTTTCGCAAGCATGGGTAATGAATAGTTGTACAAGTCGTCGGCAAGCTGTATCGATTTCGGCAGGACGACTTGTCGAGTATAAACTTCAAAGGTATGAAGCTTTATCTTGATGCAGAGTGTACGGCCTTTACACTCATTCTTTTTCAGATCCTTCTCCAGAGCCTCAGCCGTTGAGCGAAGTTTGTCTCTCAGCTTTGCAGGGTCCGACAAGTCGTGAAACGTACTCTCCGTTCCGACGCTTTTGCGCCCATACTCTTCCGCGGGTTGGATCTTTGTGCGGCCAAGTCCCAGATAGCAGCGGAGGAGAAACACATAATACTTGTCTCCAAATAGCCGGTTCAGATACTGCCGCTGCTCATACAGATCGCCGCATGTCTTGACTCCAATCTCCAAGAGTTCGCGCTCAAGGACTCGGCCGATTCCGTTGACTTTTCTCGTTGGCAAGTCCCGCATAAACGCCATGATAGCGCTTCTCTCGCTAGGAAGGACATACTGTCCATTCGGCTTGTTCATGTTTGAGCAAATCTTGGCCAGCCTAGCATTTGCAGCAATTCCTGCCGACACTGTAATGCTCGTCTTCTCGTGGACTTCCTTTCGCATTTGTTCCACTACTGCTGCTGGATCCATATGATGCTCATCGCAGTATTCCGTAATGTTGAGGTATGCCTCGTCAATGCTGGCACTTTCGAAACGCGGATCGTAGTTTGCCAGCACCTTCCTCACTTCTTGGGCCTTTGCGCCGTACTTGTGAAAGTTTGGCTTGATCAGGATGAGCTGTGGGCAAAGTTTCTTGGCAACAAAACCAGCCATGCCCGATCGACAGCCAAACTGGCGCGCGACGTAGTTGCACGTGGTGAGAACGCCCCCGCCAACTGCAAAGGGGACATCTTTGAGGTCGGGTCGTTCGAGTAGCTCCACGGCCGCAAAAAAGGCATCGCAGTCAAGATGCACAATGTGCTGTGTCAGGTCCCTGGACAGCTCGAGCTCTGCGAGGAGACGGTCGGCATTTCGCAGGTCGCGCGTCAGGTCTTGCTGTTCCAGTTTTTTCTTCCTAGACAGAATCTGCTCAATCTTTTTCGTAAGGATCTTGTCTCGTTCCTCTTCACGGGTGAAGAATTTAGATCCCTTGGACGCATTGTAAATAATCTCCGAAACCTGAATCTGCTCGTTAACAAATACGGCTCCGATCTGAGACAAGATTCTGGTCGGAAACCTTGCTTTGGTCGACTTTGTCTTGGCCGGCCTTGGTCAGCGAAGGCCCGAGCAGGTGATATTTGAGAGTTTTGAGGGCATCGTCCTGGTGTTCCTCTTGCTGCTCCGGCTGCTTTTCTTCAGGATGCGCTGAATCCTCCGTAGATTCCGCAGACGTCATATCGATGGGGCCATCAAGTCGCAGTCCCAGGTATCATGTAATGGACAGCATAGAGGGATTATGAGTATCATGCTGACATTCCCAGCCTGGTAAATATAGCATTTGCGCACGAGCGGAATTCCGACAGGGTGGAGGAGGCGCGTTGCCTAACGTGAAGAGCGGGAAATACGATACCGACACGGTATCACGTGGGAAGCCTGGAGCATCTTCAGCGCTTTTAGGCATAACTCGACCGTCTGTGCTAGCAGCTTTCAGAGGGGTTTAGTGTCGAGAGCTTTGTGACAAAACTCCCTGCCATCGCTCGCCATTGGCCACAGGCTGTGCTCACACCCCTCACTGTGAAGACGTATAAGCGCCGAGACGCCATTATCTCATAGGCCCAAATGGCTGAAGCGATTGCATGATTCGCTTTGAGGAATAAGGGTCGTCGAGTGGCGCTCAAGGCGTATAAAGAGCAACTTGCATACGGCAGAGACCTCAAGGAGGCCCGGAGTTTTAATTCTCACCCGTTTCGTTTCAAGCTGTCCGGTGACGTCTGGAGTTTATCGCCGTCAGACGCCGACAGACATTGAAGATGGCAGCTCGGCCAGGTGAGGAGAACGTAGCTACGCTGTGAGTGGATGACGGTCGCAATCCATCAAATGCGCTGATGCTGATGCCGAGACTTGCAGCTTTGGAGATGTACACTACTATTATTCTCCGACAAATGTGAAGCCTCGCCATCACCGATTCGACAAGGGATCATATGTCTATCTGTTTGAGAATGCCGGCGAGAGGAGATGCCGCATTGAAATCGCCAACAATCCGGGAACAGACGACCAAGACGCATTCTATGGATGTAAGAATAGACCAGCCGCAGCCTCGTTGTCCGTGTCCGTGGAGTAGAGTCTAACGACGTTGATTTCTTCTTCGCATAGTCCTCGATCAGGCGCATGTCCGGTACTCGTACAAGCAGCACTGCGCCGTCTCGCTGACCGTCGCCGACTCGGTCGATCAGAGCGAGTGGCATCTCCCCACCTATGACCCGCGCAATGAGAACAAGTATCACTACAAGCTGCACTCACTTGACGTCTACTTCTGGACGCAACAGGATGCGCTGCAGTTCATCAACGGCGTCCGGCGCGTGCTGCCGCCTGCCCAGGTCGAGGTTCTCGATGAGCCAGGCCCACCGCCTCAGCCCGCGGGCATGAGCTCCGTCGTCCAGAAGCTCGAGAGCGCGGCCATTTCGGATCCTCAGTACGGCAACGGCGCAGTCTCATCGCAGTCGGCTTCGCAGAGCTCAATCGGGGGTCCTGGAGATGCCTCGGCCGTTTCGTCAGAAACACCAAGCATCTCCTTGCCGCCGCCGCCGCCGCCGCCGCCTCAGCCAGCGAATTTTGCGCCGATGGCCTACAATCCCGCCGCGCCAGCTGCGCCGGAAGCCATTCGTCATCGCGAGAAGACGCCTCCTCCGGACGAGGATCCTCTCAATCCCTTGGCGGTCGCGGTAGCATATGATTATCGCGGGCAACCCTTTACTCCAGGCATTCCGTCTCAGTTTGGGCCGGGAGTCACCAGCCCAGGGCTTGTACCTCCTCAGTTCGCGGCACCACCCGTCCACCCTGGAATTCATCGAGCCGCGACGATGCCAACGCAGGCTCTGCCCTCTCCCGGGTTGCCCGGCACTTACGGGGCAGGCTTTCCAGCATCGCCAGGCCTTCCTCCACCACCGGCATCACAGCCGCCAGTGGCAAATCAAGGCCTTCCTGGCCCTCCACCAGGCGGGTACCCCAACTACTCATATTCCCAGTCAGGCTACGCGCCGTCTGGGCCATCAGATTATTCAATACATCAGCAGGCATATCGACCAACGGAGGCCGAAGCAGCCCACGGTTACAAGCCGCAGAAACAGGATGGCAAAGGAAAGTTTGAGGAAAACGCGGGCCGGATCGAGAGAGGCGTGACGGGCATGCTGAAGAAGTTTGAGAAGAAGTTTGGATAGAGGCGGGATATGTTTGTTGTGCGACGGGGACATGATGTCGAGTGATTTTCAAATGCGTAGCAGGGATATCCAGGCAGGAGGAGTACCGGGTTTCTACCAAAGAGATGCTTTGTCACATGACGTTCTAATGCGAATACTGTTATCTTTTGCTTGCGCTGTTCATCTTTCATCACTTGACGGGCTTGTTCTCCAGATTTGGGCATGGCTACCTTAGTTGCGACAAAGGGCGTCAGCACTGCTTCTATTTTTGATTTGAGTTAACTATTACAGGGTAGGTGGTGTGTTGGCGGTGAGACTCGATATCCGAGATGAGATGACGATGAGATTTGCCTGAAGCTATCGTCGATGCGTGTGCATGCTGTCGCAATAGTGATGCCGCCGCTGCTAATATTAAATTACAGCACATTGCAGTATCTTTTGCTACAGTGGAGAGGTCATCGGCAGTCTGAAACGCCACGGGTTTTGATGACATGTGCATGTGGGTATCTGCGAGCGGCGATTCAGTCCTTGGAGCGACAATCCCTCATCATCATCATCATGAGTGACAAGCAAGCTGCAATCACTCTTACGCATGGGATCCTTCGCCTTGGTCTTTGTTTCTCCACCCAGACCCCGACTGTCCATCCGATCTCGAAGCTCGTGCCACCCGTCCGATATCACATCTTACATCTCGAGATGTCGACCCGAACGCAACCACAGAACGTGTATGACAGACCGCACTAGCAAAGCAAATACCACTACGGTACAACACAAATCCAAGCCCTGATACATATGCAGCCATTAATAGCAAAGCGGCGGCCCGTCCAGCGGGTAACTGGCAGCCCAAAAAGGTTCGTCTGCGGGCGGAGGATAGTGTCAGCCCAGTTGATTCCACACGGCCAATTGCCAATGGCCATGGCAAGCATCCAGAACTTGATGATCCAATGCATTAGTCTAGCCTTTGCCATTACGAGGACGTTGGTTTGCTCGCCAGCCCTAAAAAGCGTGGCTGGACAACCGGGGGGTCGCTATGTTGGCTGTGTCAGTGGCTTAGCCTGGCTCCTCGTAAAGCGTCATGAATGGGGCTGACATGCACGCTTTAGCGTATCGCCGGGCGCCTCTCAGGGCCCTCGGGGGCTCGAGTTAGCACGCTCGCCCACTGGACTGGAATCAGGCCAGCGCTGCATGCATCTCCTCCGTGTTTCCCGCCAACGATTTCCTCGTCCTTCTTGAATCCCTTCATCCTCCTCCTGCAAGCATTGTTTTCCATCCTCTTGTGCTCCGTCCCCTTGATCGTATATCGTGCGATTGCTTCCGCCAGCTCCCCGCTCCGGGTGCCACCGCGAAACACAGTCGACACTCCCCCGGCCCACCTCGCTAACGGGCTGAGCTCGTACAGCACCCTCCATTATCTGCTTGGATCCTTGGTCACTGGAGAGCTGGAGGCCATTGGCGCTGACTGTACACGCCGCTCCTCCGGACCATAGACCCAATGCGGACGGCAGACTCGTGAATGGACTCTTGACGCAAACTTGACTCTGTCACAAACAACATCCGTCGATTGTCTCCTTTTCCCTTGCATACCATCGGACTCTCGTCCTCCTACATGCCTCTCGCGGCCGGCGAGGATGTATCTACACAGTCGGACGGCGCAACGTGCTGATGCTAGCGCACAGCTGTCGCAATCTGCTCGCCACCTTCATACACTAGTGCGGCGGGATGGGATGGGCAAGAGCATCATTGGAATTGTATGTCTACGGTTGGAGAGATGAGGAACGCATGAGTTTCTGGATCGCTGACCCCAAGGCGCTGTTCATAGATCATCATAGCCGCTGTTATTGGAGTCGCCGCTCTCGCACTCCTCGTACTATGCATCAGGAGAAGAAGAAAGTTGGGTAAAAAGGCGAAATACGAGCGAGCCCATGGCGACGACACCACCGAAGTAGCGTCCACCTCCCGTACAGCCAACTCGGGGACGGCACCAAGAAGTGGTCGATCCGGCCAGCCTCCGTCTGCTTCGGCAAATCGCAACAATGCCGCCGCTGGCAACGTGGATCGCAACACTTCGGTTCGCTCGGTCATGACCCTACCGGCTTACCGCCAGATGGCTTCGACCAACGAGCAGGTCCTAGGGCGAGAAGGCGAGAGAGATGGCATCGATGTCATTGTCGACTTGCCCACCGAAGAGGAAGTGGAAGCGCTGCGCGACGAAGAGATGGAGAGCATGTATCAGATTCGGCTTGCGAGACGGCAGATGATTGAAGAGCAGCAGCAGAGAAGGGTGGAGCGACAAGAAGCCCGACGACGAGGCGACACTGCGGCCTTGGCAGACATCCGGGTTCGCACCCGGGCTGCGAATAACAGCACCGCCATCGACGAGCTTCGGCGGGAAATGGAGCGTGCAAAGGAAAACAGGAATCTTTCCGTGTCGAGCGTATCTTATGCGGACGTTGGACTGGCTCGCCACGACGGCACACGAGTCCGTGCCAACAGCAGTGAGAGCGAGCGCGTTGGCCTGCTCTCAGACTCTGCAAGCATCGGTATGACTGATGTGCGATCTCAGGCGCACGGCCGTGGAATGAGCGTGGGCTCCGTCATCAGCATGGACAGCAACTTCCCCTCGCCCGCACTGACCCGGTCGGGAGACTCGCATACCAACACCCCGGGCCAGGCCCAGAGCGAAGCCAGAGCAGGGTCGAGCCCCGAGCTTGTGGAGGCGGACTTGGGCGAGGAAGCAATGCCGCCTCCAGGCTACGAAGATGTTTCTCTGGACGACGACGACTTCCAGGATCGACCACTGTCGCATATACACGAGCCGCCGCCAGATTACCCAGGGCACCGTCGAACGGATTCTCGGCGAAGCCAGAGGAGCCAGAGGAGCCCGCCGTCACCATCTCTTGTGTCGGCTTCGAGCGAAGACAATTCAGCAGACGCCCAGCGGCTGTCCACTCGCGGTGTTGGTGGCGTCCCTCAACTGCCGAGTCTGCGAATCAGCGAGCTCCCATCGATTGCGGTCGAGCCTCCAAGCGCACAGCCGCCGTCGGAACACGAGGCTGAGCAAAGACAGTAAATATCCACCTCCACCACGATGAATATGGAAACATTTCGTTCCCATATTCTCTTTTCCTCTTTCTCTTTGTCGACGGGAATGAAGCTATGATTTTATGGACGACTTTTTTTTTTCTTTCTCATTTCTAATGCTTGGACTTTTTGATTGGATTGCAAACGGATGCGAAGCGGGCGTCATACTGTCCATACTGAGTCCCTCTTCGGAGACGGATGTTTGGGTTTCTCTCTCTTTCTGTGTTTTCATGGGCGGTGTTTTGGCGAGGAAGGGGGGGTGCTTTTGCATAGAAAATACGGATGAATCGAGAGTGTGGATTTTATGTGAATAGTACAGCAGCATAGGAAGTCTCACCATTTATAGCCTATATTACTTACAGTTTGCCTACCTTTTGATTTCCACCTATGAGCAGCCGCGATTTGGGGTTATGCATAGTTTGGAATCCTACAATTTAGTTTGAAGAAGAGGCGCAATTGTCATTTGTGATGACAAGCGGACCGCAGAAACAAGGCGCGTTCATTCTACGAAGTAATACAGCCCGGATGTTCTCAAGTTGAGACGCGCTTAACTTGACACGCGGTTGAGGAGCAGAACACACGACATGTCCATGATAACCAAACTGTCCGCCATTATCTGATGGAATTGAAGGAAATTTTTGTCTCTCTTCGATTCGCTCGTCGTAAATGCATCGTTCTGCAGCTCTGCGGACCGTGGACTTTATTGGCTTTCGGCACATGGATGGCTTGGAGTCCCCCCCGCAGGGCTGGGATGGAATCCTCTTTTTTTTTTCCCATCTTCTTCTTTGGACAGCGCTTAGACCGATTTCACGTGCCGAACCATCTCGCCTCTTCTAGCCTTCAGTTGCTGCTCCCCGTATGCGCATTCTAGCTTCGGTTTTTTTTGCGTCGCGTCGGGAAAAGACAAGAGGAGAGGGACAAAGAGAGAGAGAGAGGGGAAGGACGGGATCGGGGGACGGATCGGGACTCGCTCCGTGTCGGAACAGTCATGGACGCGGTTGACGTATGCCAGAGATCTTTTTTTCTTCTTCCTCGTAAGATGGGTAATCAGCAATTGCCAAATACTGAACAGAGGCTCCCATCTTGTTTCGAGCATGACGGCAGCTATTCGCGTTTTATGCTCTCCCATTTATCTTCTGTCGAGCGGACGACTGGAGCGGACCTTGAGCGGACACGCGATTTTTTTTCTTCTTTTAAGCTTTTTGGCGTTGCGACTGTGTTTGCGCTCGGTCTCACTGGCGTGATGCAGGTCAGCAGCACCAAGTGGCGCTTGCTCGCCAGCCGGGCGAACGTAGCCGAAGGGGGGGGGGGGGGGGGATTGTGAGGTTCTCAAGTTTGTTGCCATTTTGCATGAGGTGGTGGTAGCAGGCGGACTAAGAAACTGGCGGTAGAGTTTGGGTTGGTGAAGTGCTGAGAGATGCTGGGAGAATAGAAACTGAGAGAGAGGGGGAGAGAGAAACGGATGACCAACGTTTGTTGTCGTTGTTGCTGTTGATGGAGCGGCATCGATTGGTTCCCCCAGAGCCCCGGTTCAGCGTCTTGTGAAGCTCGATCGATGAAACGATGCATGACTGCTGCTGCTGCTGCTGCTTAGAAATTGACCCTGCAAGCTTAGAGATTCAGTCGCCAAACAAGGGGAACCTCATGGCGTCTTCCGATGGGGAGCTCTTTTGTTGGCGATGGCCCCACCACATCAAAAACTTGCAGTTCGCCGGGATCTCAGCAAAACCTCATTTCGAACTTGATTCCGCCGTCACAAAACGGACAGGGAGTCGGGATCGCGTATCTCGGATTGGCCTTGATTGCAAAGAAAGGAAGAAGGAAATATAAAAACAAAGAAATCATTAATAAACACTGCAAAAAAAAAGTGTCAGAACATCCCACCTTGAAATAATCTCGAGCCGCGCGCGTCCTGAATTATCAAAGCCTCAGCTAAGCTTCTGCCCGACTCCACCGGCAAACCCCTCCAGCCCTTCTAACCCGCCCGCGAATCCACATTGCGGGGTGCGGCTACGCAGTTTGTCAGGCTGAAGTAATGCTGATTGTTGCTCGATTTGCCATGCCGGTGCTTGTCAAGTGCCGCCCTACGACAGAGGACAAAGAGGGCCCGGAACTGTCAATTGGGCAAAACGAGGTACCGATACGCGGATGGCAAAATGCTGGCAAATGCTGACACGATGATGACTTTTGGTTTCTTTTTGCCCAAAGTAGGGGGGCTCCGTGATTACCAATTGCGGCCAACGCATTCCAGCCACGCCCAGGACGGGAGGACAGAGATGAGGCTTCACGTACGGAGTACTACTATCGGTTGACGGCCCCGGTACCTTGCGGTGACATGACCTCATAGCCTGATTTGTACGATAGGTACAGGTCACCAATGCAGCAAGGCGTTCACACCGGCAGCGGTAACCTTTCCACTAACGCCAATTGATCCTTTTGCGTCCCAGGCCCCAGCTGTCCCGGCTTGTTCTTGTGCCTCTCGTCTCAGCTATAAGAACTCAGGGTCCCCCTCTGCAAACTTGACTTGGAAGCCTCATCACAAACAAACAAACAAACAGTCTTCCGAACAAGCATCTTCTTTTCTTCCTTTTTTGAGATACCCCACCTACATAATAATCACAATGGCTCCCAAGATTGCCATCGTCTACGTAAGTTGAAGCTTCTATTTGCAGTTCATCTACTCCTACCTCTTCTACTGCCTGCCCCTCACAGCAATTGGCAACACAAACTTTGGAACAAGTCGTCAATTTGCAACAGCAACGGCACTGCCATCAAACAACTACTCTCAATGCCTCTTACATCTATTCCATACCCATCTCGAATCCATTACTAACATGAACCTCCCCCCATCCAGTACTCCATGTACGGCCACATCCGGCAGCTCGCCGAGGCCGAGAAGAAGGGTGCCGAGGCCGCCGGCGCTCAGGTCGACATCTACCAGATTGCCGAGACCCTCCCCCAGGAGGTCCTCGACAAGATGTACGCTCCCGCCAAGCCCACCGACATCCCCGTCCTTGAGGACCCCAACGTCCTCACCCAGTACGACGGCTTCCTGTTTGGCATTCCCACCCGTTACGGCAACTTCCCCGCCCAGTGGAAGGTATGTTCTCATGAATCCAATCCGTCCTGCTCAGCATAGAGCAGCAACAACTAACAAAGTTTTCAACCATAGGCTTTCTGGGACAAGACCGGTGGCATCTGGGCTTCCGGCGGCTACTGGGGCAAGAAGGCCGGCCTCTTCATCTCCACCGGCACCCCCGGCGGTGGTCAGGAGTCTACCGCCATCTCCGCCATGTCCACCCTGGCTCACCACGGCATCATCTACGTTCCTCTTGGTTACGCCAAGACCTTCCCCGATGTCACCAACCTCGAGGAGGTCCACGGTGGCTCCCCCTGGGGCGCCGGTACCTTTGCCGGCCCCACCGGTGCCCGCCAGCCCTCCGAGCTCGAGCTCCGGATCGCCACCACCCAGGGCCAGGCTTTCGCCGAGTCTCTCTCCAACTGACTACATGGTAGCAAGGAGAAGAAGGCGGCAGTCAAGACTGCTGCCCCGGCCAATGGGACCAATGGATCGACGCCTGCTGCTAATGGTGCCGCACCAAAGCAGGAGCCTATCCAGGAGAGAGAGGATGGCAAGGACAATTTCTGTGGTCTGCCAGTGAAGTGTTCCATCATGTGATGGAAGTCAAAAAATCGTTAAAAAAACATAATTTATATCCCATGCAATTCTTTGCTTTAATATCCAACAAAATACCTAGTACTTAGAGGCAATAGAATTGAAGTACATTATTCTTTCTAATTACGGGCATCATCTGGTGATAATATCACAAGTGCTCCTTCTTTCGTAGCGCACAAATCTCTGCCATACAATCAATGGAAAGTAAGTCGTGGCTAACCTGTTTCACGCTCTTCCCAATCATCAAGTCGTCGATAAGCTGGTATAAATAGTTTATCGTAGTCTCTTTCGACGATCGCTTCCCAGCAGGGTCTCCCCCAAACGATTCCCAGTAACTAGTCTGCAGATCCTCAATCACGTATAGCCCTCCGGGTTTAACGGTTTTCCAGAGGACCTCGAGGGATGCGATTTGCTGATTCATCGTATGACCACCATCGTCGATAATGACGTCGAACAAGCCATCTGCCGTTGCTTCTGCGGAGAACCTTGCAAGAAACACGGCGTCTGCTTGATCGCCGATGAACACATGTGCGTTGGCGGTCTTGTCTTGGTATTTTTCGGCACACTGCCTATCATACTCGATGAAGTAGAGATCGACGAATGGCAGGTATTCGAGCCAAGTGTAGTAGGACGCCCCTGGGCCGTAGTCCTGCAAAAGATCGTTATAAGCCAGCCGAATCGGCATAGCAAAACGGATGGACGTCTGTGCTCACCATGTTGCAGCCGAGTCCGATCTCCAACACCTTTAGCTCTTCATCTCGAATGCCGGATAGGTACTTGTCGTACATGAACTGGTATTTGTGCGTGGTGACTTTGTCGGTGCCGTACTTTCGGGCAATCTGCTCAAAGTTGGGACGTCTGCTGGTGGAGGACTTGTCGCTGGAGCTGCTTCTGCAGCGCTATTAGCTGCATGTTTGGCCAGAGCTTGGTTGACACTCGGTTGGATGGTATTTGATGTTCTAAGAGGCAATACGCACAGATGAGGGACGAGATTCCCTTGTATGGTCTCTGCCGTTGCGCTAACCCACTGGTTGGAGAGGGCATAGAGAAACAAGCAGGCTGCTATGACGAAGGCCAAAGATAAGGTCCGGTTGAGTGACATCGTGACGTTGGTTTGCGGCGATCTTCAAGTGCGAGAGACAAGGGTCAAGACGTCAACGGTTGAACGGATACCCAGTGGCGAGTCTTGGGTTCCATTACATGAAGTTTGAATGGTTTACATTTCTACAAGAGTCAAGAGGTAGGAGGCAAGAGGCGAGAGAATATACTGTTGCAGCTGGCTATTGAGGAGGCAGTTTCGACCCGTCTCTCAGTTTGCCTCTCCCTAACCTGCCTGCTCTGCCTATTGCCTGCCTTCCTCATGGTAAGATCTCCTCCTGCCCTGCAAGATCATAAGCCGTGGCGAGGGAAGAGCAACCAGCACATACCAAGGCAACTTGTTACCTCCTAGGTACTAAGGTAGACCTTAGGTGCCTATAGGTACTCAATGCTCCCAAGTTTGTTAAGCTATGGCCTGCGTCTTCCTTGGAGTTCCCCGAGATAACGTATACGGTCCTATCGCCTGCACACTTGGCAAGTGCGGCCCACGGCTCCTGTCTGCCGAACTCATTTCTCCAACCTCAAAATCACACCATTATAGAACGATAATCTGTACAAGGCAGGTATGTCCCTGACTGTATACGTATTCGTATTAAATAAAACCGCTGCTTGCCTCCTTTTTATGCTCCGCTGCGTAGATTTCTTCATAAACTCTAATCTTACACACAAATAACGGCAATAGCATGGAATCTTTCCTTTGCCGCCCCCGCACACTCTTTTTTCACCTTTATTTCCTGTTCCCCCTTTTTCCGAACAGGTCTGTCTCGGAGCCAAAAAAGGGATTCGGCTGGAACGGCGTGAGGACCTGCGGATCCGATTGCAGCTCGCCGTCATATAACCGCGGCCGCTCGTCTCCAACAGGGGGCGCTACCTTGATTTCTCCGCGATAGATTTCAATCACGGAGACGACGGGTAGGGCGAGGAGAAGCATCGATAGAAGCTGGCCGAAGCTCCAGTCCTTCTCTCCCTCGTCACTTAGCTCTACTGAGGGATGCCCAAACGCCTGGGAGAGCAGAATGATGCGGATCGCCGCTCCAATGGCAACGGCTGCCATGAGGGCCCATCCTACAATCTGCACAATCCTGTAGAACTTTTGCCTCCGACTATGCAAGTACCACGTCGCAAGAACGAAAATGATGAAATTTCCCGCCATTGCCGCAATGGTACCAACATACGACAGCCCGGCATTGGACGGAGATTTTTCTCCGTCAACTTTCCAGACACAGGCCACGGGAAGAGTCGACTTGTCCAGTCCCTTGGCCACAGTCTGGAGGACGAAGACCCCGGAGACGGTCGACAGTGCCAGGTTGACGAACATGAGCAACTGTCTCAACCATCTCAACACCCAGTCGCGGCGATAGTCTCGGACTAGCGCCAAAAGCGTAGCATTGTGCGTTGCCATGGATAGGAGGGAAAGCATCCAGATTAGGAAGAAGTGATACGGTACAAGGGAGTTCATCTTGGCCAAACCAACGCCTGCGAAGCCTTTCATTTAGCGTCGTGCTACCAGGAGATATCCGGGGTTCGTGCGTGCAGCTTACTTTGGATGCCGATCCCTTGCATGATCTGTGAGTCGCTGTATCCATTGAGTAATTTTCGCCGGGTTGTTGACTCTCTGCCTCGGAAGTCTGCGAGAATCACGCCCGCAGATAGGATGATGGCCAGCCCGGCCGTGATCATGAAAGAAAGGAGAATCTGTTGTCAACGGTCAACACGGCTCAGGCAATAGGGGAGCCCCAAGCCTGCTCTCCCCCACGGGATATTTCTTTGTCGCGAGTGCCTGTCAACGTACTCCTTGCCCTGCGACACCCGAATCACTGGGGGTGGACTCGGGTGCGGACGTGCAGTTCAGTGTCCCCATGATGAAAAGATGGTATTATGGACTGGGGCGGTTTTACGAACAGCATCAAATTTCAGAAATGAACCCGCCTGCGCCCGTCTACTTTAAAAAGCAAATTTACCTATGACGCCTTGGCAACGGTGGAGAGCTATTTTTACCGTATGACATCTACGGACAACACCGATGATGATATTGGGCGGCTCGCTTTGAAACGCCCAAAGACCTGTTTGGGCTGCGGGAGCCGCTCATCTTTGACTGGCCCAGGCTGTTTGCCTCTGCCACAGTGGCTCGTGGCTCGGGTTTCTGGGCGACAACGCTGTTACACGGCACGCCAAACAATGCGGAGGGCAGGATTCAGGAATACCAGGGTCTGCTTTCGCTCTACCAATCCCAAAGGGAGAAAGCCTTGGATGATGATCATCACTAGCCACCTTGACCTGGGCCAGAGGTGCGCCGTCCCACTCGCCTTGCTGCCATAGAACCCCGGCAGTTGGCCAGGATGACTCCACCAAGCGCTGGAAAAGAGGCGCGTCTTGCAACCCTGCAGCTCGGGAACCCTGTCTGTCCACCTAGCTTCGCATCCCGTCATATTTGAGTTTGCATGTTTCCTATTTTGAGGCCCGTTTCGGGAGGAGTACTGCTGCAGGGTATCACGAATCCTCGCCAGCGCCGATGCTGAGAAGAGACACCACAGCGAGAATCACATGAGGGGAACCCTCATCCTCTGCCGTGTCAGCCTACCGCCACGAGACCGGCTTGCCTAGTTCCTCTATTCTTTAAATGAATTGTGACCGTCGGGCCCCGGAAATGGAGAGAGAAGGCTACATGCTCTGCTGCTAGCACAAGAGTGGTACTACCTTCATATGCATGTCTATCATTGATGTCGCACCACATTGACCCTTGGTGAAATTGCATGTTGAGATTGCCTCGCTGATACAAGTGCCGTGCTTCGGCAGGCAAGCAAGCTAGGTGTATGTTTTGGTCCTCAAAGGGGAAAACAATTGCAGAAAGAAGTTCATGACCTGTGGCTGTGTCCTCCCTTGCCTTGTTCGGTCACCCCCGTTGTCTTTCTTAACTTCAAACCCCCAGTTATCGGGACAGACGTGCGGCCGACGTCTTGATTGACAAACTCCACTTACTCGCCTCTACGGAGACAATTAACCAATCAGACGAGCCTGCTGAGCAGCTGTAATCACAGGGATAATGACTTGGGTTCCAAAAACAATCATCAAAAATCTCAGGAAAACGATTGAACCTTTTGTGATAGAAGCATGGGGTGCTACAGTACTCGTACTTTCGTGCCGCGTCCTCGTACCGTCTGGCCACCATCTCATCTCACGAAACGGACGACACAATGCCAGCGGGCACATAACTGTCTGAGACACCTGAGACGTTACAGCACAACGCCCCGTTACCGGTCGACTGGATCAATCATATCGACTTCTCTGTGCTCTGGGCAGCGCAGCCGTGCAATATGAAGCAATGCCGTGTAACGCTGCCTATCCCCGATTAGACTCTCGCCTCTCAGCCGAGACCATTGGGGAGATCTTTAGCGCTAGTCGCCCGTAATAACGATCGCCGCGCCAGATGCCCTGTCTGTCAAGTTGCGCCTTGTTCAAGGGATAAAATCTTGTCCCCTATCTTCATCAAACCAAGCCTAGCGCCAAAGCACACACGCGTGATCCACGTGCAGCACAAACGTGAGCCGTCCAGGCTCGAGGGCCCAGCTGTTTGGATCGGTCAGAAATGCTTGCCGCCAGCGGACATGTCGGGCGATAGCCATTGTCGAGAGGCGGACGGCCGACGCCGTCAGTTGGGGCGACTGTGCTCCCTGGTCACCGCGTTGGCCGCGATGGTAATACCAGCATCATCCGTGCAAGTTACGAGAAGAGGATGGAGCATCGCCCCTTTGAGACCTGGAGAACTACCGGTGGATCGAGGATGCACTTATGCGTGCGAAATCGCTAACACCGGCAGACGGTGGCGGACGCCAACAACACCGAACGCAAGTGAGAGTGGCGAGTGGGCCTGGACGTCGACAAGTGCTCCTGTGCGTGCTTCAGGTACAAGCACGCGCAAACGCAGCTTCGAGGGTCGGTGCGTCGTCTCCTTTGCGAGGCCAACACCATACAGGGCATAGGGCACTGTACTGTATGAGCGTAGTAGTATCATCAATGTTGCCTTTGAACTTCCAGCTGAACCGCCCGCTGGTTAGGCACGAGAGCCGTATACAAGGGGCATATCAGCCCTTGCTCACAACAACATGTTCCCCATGCGGTTCACCCGGCAGGACGGTTCGCTGTTAGGCCCTCTCAGACTGCAATCTTGCACACATGACCCAAGACCCAAGAGCTTGACAGGTTTGTTGATGCCGGGGAAGTGACCCGGCCAGCGGTGCACCGCAATTGAGTAGCATTTCGTGGCCCACGCCCACCCCAAACAGTAACGACTCGATTTTACGGGAGCGTTGGTTGGTGGATGGCCAAGAGATGAAATGGAGATGTCTGGGAGTTGGAGCATGCCAATGCGGAAGCGGCAGTATCATCTCCATACCTAACCTCCCCCACGCATGAGGTGATGCTATATTTCGCCCCCTTGCCTTCATCTGCTAACTTTGTCAGTGCCGCGAGCTACCGTAAGGTATCCATGCAGATTTGGCCAAGCTACGGGATCTATCAGTCGGCGATTGTGCGTTTATCCTGTCCCCAACGGGGCTAGCTAACCATGCTGTCGGTCCCATGTCCAAGATGGTCGGGGAGGGGTTCTGAGTCCTCCTGGCTGAGAATCTCGCTCGGCCGTAGACGGTGACAAGGAGAAGGGAGAGGCAAATACGGGGATTGGGGCGTTGTGTTCCCTTGGTGGAGCGCTTTCCATGTGCGCTTCCTTTGTTTCCATTGCCATGCTTCCTCGAAAAATGGCCCACCGACCATGTTCCAGGCGAATTTGTCTCAGCTGTACGGAGCAGATGAAACCCAGCCAACGGCGGGTTGATGAGGAAATGCCACTGAGATCCCAACGTGTGCGGGTATGCTCGAGATGCCGCGTGGGTGCATCTAAGCCGTCGGCCCATGCCCTTACATCCACTCCCCCCTCTTCCTGTTATGCCACCTTTGCGGCGGCGCTTCCCGTAGTCAAGTGGTTTTTGTTATTAGATTGATCCAGGATAATCTGCCAGAAGTAGCACTTGGGCGACCCGGGGTTGCAGGCTTATATTCCCTCTGCATGTCCTTGTCTTGCATGATATTATCGAGATCAATCTTGTCGACAAATCTCTCTAGCCCGCCATGATCGTCCTTCCCAGACCTACTATGACTCCGAATCTGGGAGGCCCTAGTGCTCACAACACAGCTTTTGAATCTTCCACCTCACGATTCATCCATCACTATCATCCTTACATCAACCATCGACACCAACACCAGCCTCTACATCAACTTCAACCTCTACATCAACACCAACCTTTACCTCTACCTCAACATCAACCTCACAGCCCCCATCATCACACTCCGTCGCCAGAGATGAACCATCAACCTCTGCACAGTTACCCGCCTCAAAGGCAAACCCAGCCGCTCCAGCAGCAGCGGCAACAACAACAACAGCAGCAACTCCAGTTCCAGTTCCATCACCAACACCAACAGCATCATTCCCCGCAACTTCATCAATCCTCTCACCATCGGCAGCATTCACGAACCATGCCGTCCCTCATCGAACGTTTACCGCAAGAGCTTCAGAGACTTGTCTTCTCTCACCTGGACTACCAAACCCTCATCTACCTGTCCACCATGAACCGATACTTTCATCAAACCATAAACCCTCAGAGGATGGCTGATCCTGCAGACAAGGCGCAGTTCGTCATGAGAGCAGCGAAAGACTTTGCACAGCACCGCCCTAGCGAAAAGGGGCATGACTACAAGCCTGGCAACTTCGAGTGTTACATCTGCTTTCGCGTGCGGTCGCCGGAGCATTTTGACATGCTGCAGCCCCAGTCCATCTACGTCGATGTCCATGGACACGCTGTCCGTGATCGAGAGCCAGACTCGCGGTCGGATAGACTCGTCATGCTTCGACGGTTCTGCATCTCATGCGGTGTGGAGACGGGGATACACGCTCCCTTTGACTGTCTTACGACAAGGACGGGACGGGATCTCTGGGTCTGCAGGTGCAGGAAAGTCTGGTCCAAGCCGGGTTGCCTGCGCTGTCCCGACTGCCACGGAGACTGCCCTCTTCGACCGAGGAGGAAGCTGGGCGTGGACCGCGTGTGATTTTGCATTTTATCGGCCGCGGCTCGCGTGGTACTCGATCAGGTCATCGAAGTAAATTGATTGGTGTTGGAGTCAGGTACATCAACAGCCCTCGGCACTTGGGCACAATAACAAGGAGCGTGGATGGGATCTTGGACAAGATTATAATTACGGCCTGGCGGACTGGGACTCTGAAGGGTAGCATCGTCACACAAGACGGGAATGGGCACAAGGAGAAACCATGCATTGCTGGCGTCAACGGAGGGGGCAAAGGGTTCTTGGGGCTTTCAGCTTTGGCGGTTAATATTAGAAGGCGCTTTTGGGTATAACAGGAAATACATCATTCATTGAAGTTTAGTTAATACAACATACCATACTATACCGTATCTCTTCTTGTGTCACAGCCTCCTCTTTGACCACAGTGAATGTTTGTCATGGCGAGGTTTTTCTTGAAGGGTAAACGGCGGTGTGGACACGGCGTCTTGCCGTGGAAGGGGAGCGTCTTCTTCCCGCTGGGTGAGTGACTGATTGTCACGATGGTTCATGATACTGATTTGGTGTTTGACTTGTCTTCATCTTTTTCTTTGGATCGATCTAATCGCCTTTGGAGTATTTTGCCAAGACCGCTCTGTTGCTGCCCTGTGGCCTGAAAAACGTGACTTTATCGAAGCAAACGGGCTTTCTTCCTTTTAAACAGGAACAACCTTCTTACATTCTTACCTTCTTCACTTGATAATCTCGTTCACCTTGATCTTATTCTTAATTATGACTAGCACTATGCGCTTTTAGTTCCTTTAGTCAACTACCCTGATATTAACTAACTCATCTACTTTCTCTATTGCTTCTTGGCTCGGATCCCCCCATATACTCGGAACTTACCCTTCTTGTTAAGTTTTCTCACTTATCACGATTTAATATACTCACCTACTGTCACCATGGCCTATTCATTAACAGTCGCAGCTCTTCTGCATCCATGGTCGGGGCGTATCGACATGGTCTCCCGTTTGCCTCTGCGCCGAAATGAATCGGCCATCTCCAACAGTATACCGTTCACCGTCGACAGCTATCCAGCAACAATGGAGAATTACAGGGCAAGGCGCAAGAGTTTATCAGTTGATCTTTCATGGATACTCCGTGGCCAGAGAGATGCCACCGAACGTGAAGTCGCTGAGGAAGAGGAGAGCACCAGGTTGCTTTTCCCCTCTTCGCGAGCTTTACTTTGGACACGAAAAAAAAGCTAATGAGCCCTGTTTAGTTCGATATCAGATACACAGAGTAATGAATTAAGCTCAGATGATGCGACTTGCGAATGCTCAGATAACATGAGCGAAACGCTCGAACTGGAAGCGAATGACACCTGCGATACACAAGAAGACACTGGTAACACAGATGTTGATTTGATGATACCCAAGACCATCAAACCGCCTATGATCCCCCCGGCCATACTCAAGATGTCACCAGAGCCCATGTATGGCAACGAATACTTTGAAATCGCAAAATCTAGTGTTGCTGGGTGGGGAGCGTTTGCTACACGAGATCTGACAAAGGGAGATGTCATCCTGAGAGAGATCCCGTTGTTTGTGGCCGATACTGATAAAGTCTTTCACGAATTCTACAAGCTCGATGGCAGTGCTAAGAAAGTCGCGCTCAGCCTCCATTCACATCGTCTCATAAAAGGGGGCACGCCTCAAATCCTCGCAGTTTGGCAGACCAATTGGCAAGTTTTGGCTGCATCTAGCAATGTACTTTTGAAGTTTACTAATAGACGCATAGTTTTGCTGTTGCTCACTATGTGTCTGGCTTGTTCCCCATAGCTGCTCGCTTCAACCACGCGTGCGATCCCATCAACAATGTGGAATACGAGTTTGATCAGGATAACGGCGTTCTCACATTGATGGTGCGAGAGGATGTTACTGCTGGAACAGAGCTCAAGATTTCATATGGGAATAATCTGAGCCCGCAGGACTTGTACTTGTGCTATGGCTTCAGATGCAGCTGTGGGGGGTGTAGGGGGTTGAGTGATGGGGAGGTGGCGGCTATTACTATGCTTTGGTAACTGATGCCAAGATGCATGGAGAATCATTGAGAGATATGAATAAGATATCCATACGCGATTGCGTAAACGAACGGCTTGTGGTGGAAGTCGTACCCTCTTGGGGAGTCTACAACGAGCACTACTCATAACAGATGTGCTTCTAGATAGCGCGGGAGCGTATTCTATAACACTCCTCATTTTTTTTCATCATCTTTTATTATTTAGAAAGCATTGGTGTATTCATCTTCTGCCGTACGGAGTAATTACAGTTGACATTTTCTCCCTTTTATATCTTGTTTGACCACTTCACAAGTCCGTTTGCTAGGTAAGAGTTGTATTTTTGTGATATTATGATGTAGTTAATGGCGTGTTGTATCTCCATTTCTGATAACGTTCATGACTTATTTTGGTTCAAATAAGGCATGTTACGGCTGCCTGCGTGAGTGTGGTTTAATTCACTCATGGTGGTACGTGAGGGTGACAGGAATGCGTGGATGCAATCGAACTTCATGGAAGCATAATATCAACTGTTGAGTTGTCACGTGGATCTGTGTGATCACTCTCCTTGTTAAAACCCGCTTTCCGTTTGCTTCTGTCTGCAGTGAGCTTCTCCCTCTTTCATAGCATAGCACAGAGTTCACCTTCTCAGCTTTGTCGACTACGAAGTGAAGTCGTTTTTTAACTCGTCACAAACCATGATTTTGTTTCTAAATCCGACACCATATATCTAGCGATGCCTTCGTGCGAGCGTTGCGAGAAAATATTTACCACGTAGGTGAAGGGCTATCACAACAGCACTGGGTACTGGCCTAACCTCACAATGTGATATTTGTGTAGTGCTAGAAGACGCAGATCGTAGTGCGACCTGGAGCTTCTATGCAGCAGCGGCCAGACAATACCCGTCCACAAGATCATTGTGTTTTCGCAATCCAGTGTCATTGAGCAAACGTATTATGAAGAATGGGTAAGCCTATATATGTTGAGGAACATGGCTCGTCTCTGTACTGATTTCCGCCTGCGCCTATCTAGGGGCATGGAAAATATGCAATATGTGGTTATGATTTCGACGCCGTTGAACGACTGGTTGATTATCTATATACTGGCAACTATAAAACAATACCATCGGACTCGTCCGAGGAGCAGGACAAGGCTTCTGAACTGATCACTCATGATAATTTGATGGGGCTGGCAGACGAATACAGCATCCCAGGGCTTCTACAACTGTCAATGGAAAAAGGCAAAGCGGCCGTTCGGGATGAGCCAGAGATACGCGCCCTGATCGAATGCATACCCAAGGTTTATAAGTCGGTAATCAACCCGGACAGCAAGATTTTCAACATGATGATTGAATCCATCAGAGAAAGAATTGGGAGCATTCCGATTGATCATAACATACGTTACATCTTGAACTTTGCAATGCAGGAGGTTCCGGACTTTGCGAGAGGCGTCGCCATGTCATTTGTGACGCAGCAGCCTCAAAATGAAGATGTTGACCTGGATCTCTAATACAGATCTGGTAGCTCCAATATAGCAAATTGTTGTTTTTCTTTATGCAGAGGTCACTTATACATGTCAATTCTGCAACGTAGAGTGTCTAATTCAATGAATTCACTGCAAACCGTTTGTTGGTTGGAGTTATGTAAGTTGCCTTCTTATAGCGTGTGGATACTTTACCTCGTAGTGGCACTTTGAACCTTCATCTTTCTCCATAATCCAGCACTAAATAACTGGAGTGTTATCTATCTCGGTAAGCATGGAAAGCTCGGTGGCTTATTCCCATCCAATGCTATTTTAGCACGAGTCAAGCAAGAGAGTGACGGCAATATGACGACGGATGGGATTGAAAGCTCGCAACACTATAAGCCACAAGTTTAGCGCCTCTGAGAACAATACAAACAGCCGGCTTGTCTTCTCTTTTGATATCGCATACAGCCGCATTTTGTCCTGTCAATCATTAACTTGTGCCTTTTTTCTGGCATCGACGAAATGATGCGGTCGCAGCTGACGACACATTATAATGACCTGTGCAAGCAAATGTTGAGGTGAGTAAACACTGCACGAAATAGTACACTACTAACTTTGTATCGTTTACAGCGCCCAGCATCGTGGAGAGTTTTGTGATCTTGACATTGTATGCAACGGCCATACAATACCGGTCCACAAGGTCATCATTTGCTTGCAATCTCCAGTCATCAAAGCAGCATGTACTGGTTCGTTTGCGGTGAGTGAATCCACAAGTGTGTGTCTATCGATTAAAGGAGCTATTTCTGAGGCTATTTGTTCCGCTCGCAACTGTTTAGGAGTCCGCTGGGAGATACGAAATCAAAGACTGTTCTTATGAGACCGTCCAAGGAATGGTAGACTACCTATACACGGGCAACTACGACACTTGCACCAAACAATTGCCCAAAGAGCAATCCGAGAAGCCGGGGGAGATTGTGCCGGGGCAGCGCGATGTGTTGAGTGAATTGATCCAGCATGTGAGAATGTTCAGCCTCGCAGACAAGTATCTCATCGACGGGCTTCTTGAGTTATCAAGGACGAAATTCAAGAAGACAATCAGGGAGGAGCGGGATACGTGCGCATTTTCCCAGTTCGTGGCAGAAGTGTACGACTTACAATTCGAGTCGAGCAAAGAACTGCGTGATATCGTGGTTGAGTCTGTCAGAGAGAGGGTCGCGGTAGTACCGCTGAAACCCAGCGTCCAGGAGGCCGTGGATGGTCTAATAGACGAGATTCCGGAGTTCGCAGGTGATCTGGCCAGGTCATATCTGCGACGGCCGATACTGGGACACTGCACAACCTGCGGGACGCACAAGTTGGTTTCGATATCGACGCTGCAGTGCAGGTGTGCGGAATGTGGAAAAGGCGGCGCAACGCCTTTGGGATCCTGGTACGAAGGAAAATCATACTGAGGGGGAAGTGAGTACTGTATCTAATATCTCAAGCACATAGGGAGCCGTCGAGCATACTCTGGGGCACCGTGATATACTTTTGAATACCAACTGCAAGAAAGTGGCGATGCTATTTGGAATGATGAAATGTCTTTATCACTTACACCGCCAGACAATGAACACATCATGGATCCTTACATATCTTGACATTGACTTCCTTTTCCCACGTGTAAAATAGCCGCACCAGGCCAACGTAGGTACACAAACAATGCAACCATCATCTGTTCCCCCATTAAGAAAAAAAGAATTGCCCAGGTAGGGAGCTGTTGGTCTAGCATGGATAATTGACGCCGATCCAGAAAATGCGGCTAGTGGCACCGTCGTATTTACTATTCGGCATCCGTACCCTTGAAATCGGCGAAGCTTAATGGGAAATCCAGCGGGGTAGATAGATAGACTTAGGTAACTAACAATAGAGAGACTGGGTAACTGTTTGTAGACAATATTGGATGAATCCATCTCGCAACTCTCTTCCTCTCTGTGTCTGTTCCCTTAGTCACTCCATCATCGGCCAATTCGTACCGTTGCCTCTGTGCTTCTAAACCAAAAGTTGATTAATCCTCGGATCTCTCAAAAAACGACTCAATTGGCCATGCATCGCTGGCTTTCACCCATAGTGCAGCTCTCATCCCTGCTGCACACGACCGTCCACGCACAGCAACAGCAATTCGTCGCTCATGGTGGCAGCAAGATCCCCTTCTGGGCTCACACCGAGAGCGTCGGCGAGATTAATCTGGCGACGTACGATTTCGGCGGCATTGGCACCTACGCAAATCTGCCGCATGAGAATTGCTTTGTCGAAAACGAGTCTTCAGAAGGCTTCGATATTGCCATTCTTGGGGCTCCTTTTGACACGGTCTGTAACGCTCTTAAACTACTGGCTTACACGAGGTCTGCATTCAACTGACGGCCATCAACCAAAAGGCAGTGACGGGACGTCCCGGAGCACGCTTTGGGCCAAATTATATCCGGGCCGCCAGCAAGCGTAGGGCATATGGCTACAGCATATATACTGGTAAGAAGTTCTCCGATTGCATGGCTCCAGCAGGTTTACGCAGTAATCACGACAAGATTCTAACCATCTTCCGTATCCAGGCGTCGACCCTGTCCACGACTGGGCCAGAATTGTCGACTGCTTTGACGCCCCGCTGACGTGGCTCGATAATCGTGTTGCGCTCAAGACGCTTGATCAGGCTCACAGGGCCATTTCTGGGAGGTCGACGGCTCACCCTGAGAAGTCGACGGTCCCGAGAATTGTGACATTGGGAGGCGATCACACGACAACTCTGTCAGCGTTGCGGTCTACGTACAAGCGATGGGGGCAGGTTTCCGTCATTCACTTTGACAGCCACATTGGTGAGATCCGGGCCTGGTTTGACCTAGCCGTGATGAAATGTAGAAGTTACTAACTTTTGCTATAGATACTTGGGATCCCGAAGTCCTAGGTAAGGAATAACAATCGGACTAAAGGAACATCTATTTTACGATGCTAACTGATAGCAAGGCGGTGGTATTTCAGATTATGCGTAAGTCAAAAAGCAACATGGTAAGACTAAAAACTTGGACTGACATCTGTCCAGGAGGATCAACCATGGAACGTTTCTACATATTGCGCATGAAGAGGTACAACTCACACAGATCGCCTCTACAGAAGATGATAGCCAGCTCACTCTCATAGAATCTCATTCTCAACTCATCCATTCATGCCGGTATTCGCGCGCCGTTGACGCGACCCAAGGCGGATATGCGAAACGACAGACGTTGCGGTTTCGACACAATCACTGCCCGTGACTTTGACACCAGGGGAGTCAAGTCCATCATTGACCAGATTCGACAGCGCGTCGGTGAGACCAACGTCTACATTAGCGTTGACATTGACGTTCTTGACCCTGCATTTGCTCCTGGTATGATACTCTGATATAGAATGCGTGTCTACCCTGGTCGCTGACGAAGAATAGCAACTGGTACTCCAGAGCCAGGCGGCTGGAGCACCCGCGAGCTGGCGACCATCTTGGCTGGGCTAGAGGGACTCAACATCATTGGAGGAGACGTAGTTGAAGTGGCACCGGCATACGACAATAATGGCGAGACGACTGCACTTGCGGCTGTAGATGTTGTTCAGGCAATTCTTGAACTCATGGTTGCACAGCCAGTCAAGGCGCCAGCGAAAGAATGAAGGCGCCTGTAACCCAGTATTGCTTGTGTAGCAAGTATACATTAGGTACTCTATACCAGTGATCTATATCATGTATCACATGAACTCTTAGAGGACTAGAACTCAATCCACAATGTAGAGGCGAAATTATTCTTCATTCGTAGATTAAAACCTGTCTTGCTGTAAAAGCACCCAAGAACTTGATCTAGTTGACGTGTTTTCATGACTATTGAAGAGATTTCCGAATATCGACTGCCAATCCTAAATGCCCCCCCCTTAGCAGAGACATTTAAACAATGGTCCTGCAGTATACTGCCATCAGACATCAATTCATACGAGATTGTATCCAACTGTATACTCCGGACGCGATGCTACCAGGATCAGGTGTTTGACTCTCTGGAGGCCTTAGTCTCTGTAGTTCTGCGTAAAAATCATCAGACCCAAACTCCGCGATAGCATCCAAGAAGCGGCTAATGTTCCTCGAGAGTCGATTCACAGTTTCGTCATAACTCCCGAAATGATAATCCAAAAAATCGTTTATTTGTCTATCCTGGAAGAAGCCTTCAGAGTCGGAATCAGAATCAGAATCAGACACGACTGATAAGCCGTCGTCAGTACCATCAAGTCTATGAGCTGCGAGTTGGGAGCATAACAACAGAAGTTGGGTCTTACGTGTGTCGGACGAGAGACTTGACATGGATAGGCTGGCCGATGTGACGAGCGTCGACTCGTCGTCGTTCCATGCGGTAACTTGAGGAGTCTGATGGACTGGAATCGTGGGAAGTCCTAGACGGGACAGCGCATCGTTGCGCATCTCTTGACGGTCGGTAGACATGGTGGTTGATTTGGTGGAGTGAAGGATGGGAGATGAAGAATCACAGGTTGTGGGAAAGCGGACAGGGAATTTGAAAGCATAGATGTGTTTCGTCATTTGTGGATGTAGAATATCCATTTTTTATATAAAGTTCTAGTTATCTATCGAGAAACTTCTGGTTGTCCATGTACACGACGTGGAAACCTTCCACCAACAAGGTTATATGGGCCATGGGAAATCCGTTGTACTTGGTCATAGATAGTGGACTGTAGAAAGTGTGTTCATTGTGGCGTTTGGATCGAGATCCTGATAGCCTCCTATCTGTGTATTATACAAAATTCTACAGTATAATAACGTATGATGCTTTGTCTATTATACCAAGGCACTATCTAGAGCATATAGGGGCGCCCTGTCTAAGGTTTCTCCACCAAGCTATAAATACTGCCAAATGGCGAGCTGCAAAGAGCTTCACATGATTAAAAGAATTGTCTTGAATGAATGATGGTGGCGGAATTATTTCATTATACCTGGTGCTAATCGCGTTACCTATCCATGTAGCAAGCAGAAGGTGGTCAAGATGACCCCGTGTAAGACAGCAATCTCACAGATGCCTCACCCAACTTACATCCATCTCAAATGCTCTGCAACTTACCCATCACTAAGATCCAATAGTTTATTCATCGTTAAATCCATTCATCAATCCGCATTCCAATATCATGATCAGAAATCGCTTCATCTCGATCCATCACAAAATCAGCCCTGCGACCCCTCCTATGACTCCTCGCCGCCATCTCCAAAAAAACGCCCTCAGCCCGGAGAACCAATCGGATTCACTCAATACCTGTAAATGTTGCCTGGTCGAGCAATGTATAAGATGCATTTTCCCCACGTATCAAAAAGATGATACCCTTTCTGTCACGGATTTCGGCGTCTAATTCAAGATATAAGCCGTCGATGATGCTTCGTCATTTAATATAATATGCAGCATCACCTGCTTCATTTAGCATAATTATACACAACATCAATTATCACCAGCAAGTAAGCGATCGTTTTTTATATCTAATTTCTGCTTGTCAACCATTATTCCAATTAATTGCTTATAGATTCCACCCACGTCATAACATCACCCAACATGGCCCTCTCAATCAACCTCATCGACAATCATCTCCCTCCATCAGTATTCACCTACTCCCAAAACACATCAGAAGACTTAAACGAACACACTCTCCAATTCCAATTCCCCGACTTCACATTTCATCTCTGCCTCTCTATAGACCATAAAACTCTCCTCTCAAGCCGAATCCTCGATACCAACAGCTCAATACCACGCCGCATCCTCGATCCCCTCCGGCAAAACGTCCGCTCCATCTTCCTCACCCTCTACAACGAAGATGACGATTCATCACATATTAGAGAAGAGCATCTCCAAATCGCCATCCTCCAAGCTCTAGAACATCTCTCAGAATATCCTCAAGACTCAGGCCACCAAGCCGCAAATCCCAACTCCAAAACAACCACCGCTCACACCAAAGGCTGGTCTGCCTCTGAAATCTCTAGCTGGGACGACATCATCTCCAACCCCTTCGGCCTCGACGTCTCTACCGTTCACGACACCGCCTCATTCCTCCTAGGCATGACCCCCGAGCAAATCGCGCAGCAAATCCCCTCGGCATGGAGAATCATTCACTTCGAGAACATCATGCGCGAGGACCTCCTTAAGCGCTTCCGACGATACCGAGACTACCTCCGCGCAGTCCTCCCAGGACAGCCCAACCTGCGCAAGAAACTCCCACCGCATTCTTCCCTCGCCGGCCGCTACCACACCACCCTCTCCCTCGACGCCGTCGTCGAAGACGTGGTCAAGCCAAGGCTCACATTCCACGGCACAAGCCTCCGCTCCGTCCGCTCCATCATCCGCAACGGCTTCCTCCTCCCCGGCAAACTCGCCGACGGCAAACGCATAGAATCACCTCGCTCCGGAATCGCCTTCAACCGCGGCATCTATTCCTCCCAGTCCGCCGCGTACGCAATGTCCTACGCCAGCGGCCAGCAACAACAGACGCCGCTAGGAATGCTCCCCAGCATGCGATTGTTCGTCTGCGCGACCGTCATGGGCCGAACGTATGGCCCTAAATCGGACAAGACGCTGGGTTCCGTTCACGGCCCCCTTGTCGGCGGCTATGATTCACACTTTGACGGCGGCTATGAATACATCATCCATGAAGAGAGAGCAATGCTGCCTTGCTTTGTGATTCACCTTGACCTGGGCTCGGAAGAAGCTCTAAAGTCGATCAGAGCCGCACAGCTCAACCCAGCATCGATCCAAGAGACGCCCACGACATCGAGGGCATCACGCCTTCACCAAGAGTACGACGATTCGCCCGGAGATCGCAAACGGAAGCAACTCGCCCTCAAAGCTGCCGCCATGAAGTGGTTCCCTTATGGCTTTGGCACCGCCACGGGGACAAGCTTTGTCATTGAGGATATCGGGGCAACTTCAGATGATAGCGAGACGTATGGCGATTGGCAAGAAGATAAACATGCGTATGAGCCAAGTGATGAGCAGTCCGTCGGCTGGGGCCACCGGTCCTCTGGATGGGATGAGGAGGAAGGAGATTTGCAAAAGAGATTGTTCCTCGATGAATACCAGAAAGACCGCGAGATACGAGTCGAGAGAGGTAACAAAGCCGAACGAAAAGTAGACCAATAAGACGAGATAAAGACTCAACAGGCAAAAAAAGAAAACAACAAGAAAGGAAATATGTCCTTCATTGAGAGGCAAAAATTAAAACATCATAACTCATCGCCGCTTCGTAACAATGCTAGTTTATTTTCCCAACCCAAGCAAGTTCTAGGATATCCAACCACCAACGCCGTAAAATCATGTTCGCTTCCACCATGACCCTTTTAATCCCAATATCGAATATCTCCATCCAAACCGGCTGTAACAACCTTACTCGTTTCCTGCGGGTGCCACTGCACACACGTAATGGCTTGGTTACCCGCCTTTAGCTTGTGGTACATCTTGCACGTCTTCCAGTCCCAGAAGCAAACGAAGCCGGCCTGGTCACCGGAAGCAAGGAACTGGCCATCAGGGCTGCAATCCAAATCAATCGCCAGACCAGCATTGTTGTGACCTCTGTAGCTCTTCTTCCTGTTCTGGCGGAACTTGTCGTTGGCACCGTAGACGAGGACCTGGTTGTCCGAGCTTTGGTATGCGACATACTTGCCAGAGGGGTGAAGTGCCGCTCTCGTCATAGGATACATGTCGGGCTCGGCAATGTATTTGATGGGCACAGGGATGTTGTAATCCCATGCGCGGAGTGACTTGTCATCAGACGTCGTCATGAAACGGCGATTATTGTCGACAAAAGTAATGGTGTTGATGGCAGCCAAGTGATGGTCGTACTCCTGAACCACCTGGTTTGGCGTGCGTATATCAAACTGAACAATCTTCTTGTCTGACATACCGGCTAGGAACTCGTTGGAGTGCTCAGGATCGGGGTTGAATTTAATAACGTGAGGAGTTTTGCCAGTCGTGAACTTGTTGATGCAGATGCCCTTCTCCGTATCCCAAAGTTTAATCATGCGGTCGTACGATGCAGACAAGAATTGGGTTCCCGACCCGTTGAAGCAAATGTCGGACAATGACTTGGTGTGGCCAGAATACGTCCGCAGCAGTTCCTTGTCATGATAGACATCGCGAATCTTGACTGTCGTGTCTGCGCCAGCTGATAGAAGCAAGTGTCCGGATCTCGGGATGAAGCGTAGCGCTGTAACAGCTCCAGAATGGTCCTTCCAGCTGTGGATTTGCTTCTTTGGTATGAAATTTGTGACGCTTCCAACCTCCTTGCGCAGATCCACATCCAGATCCTGGGGAACGTGCATGTATGTTCGGCCTTGGTAGTCGAATTCTTCGGAGCCATGGAAGGTGGTCGTTTCCTCTCCCAAATCTTCCACTTCTTTGCGTCGCGCGAGAGCACCCGAAGGTGCTTGCACGACCGTCCCGCTCTCGACAACCTCTTCTTCTTCTTCCACCTCTTCGTATTCGTACTCGTCGTCGTCATCGGCCACTTCGACCTCTTCATATTGTTGTGTTTTGAATTTAGCCCAGGGACCAACATACTCGCCAACACCTTGAGCCACACTTGCGTCTCCCTTCTTTTCTCGGCTGGGTCGCATCTTGGACGGGCCGTTGTTGGCCTCAAAAGCCCTGTGCTTGGCTCTGAAAGAATGTTCGCTCACAAACATCTCTTCAGCATGGCCGGTCAAAACGTTCTTGCGCTTGAGAGTGTTTGTTCCTTGCTTGTAGGGATAGGCAGGGCCAGCCTTTGTCCGTGCAAGATCATCAGCTGTATAGGGAACAACCTCGTGGTCTGGCTGCGCCTGCTGTCGCACCACGAGCGCATCCTGCGGCGCCATATTGGGCGGGTATTCCCCAAAGTCGGCCATGATTGTTGCTTGTCGATTAGGATTGATGCCAGATGAAGATGGAAAGCAAGAAGAGAGAAGAGAAGCGTGGCGCGTCTTGACCAGCAATTGGGGTCACGTGACATGCCACCAGCGAAGAGACGGCCACTTCTGCCTCTTTACGAAGAGCAGAAGCTGGTAGAATATATGTCAAAAAAATCTTAGTAATATAATTTCTGATATAGGAAAATAGTAGCGGTACTAAGATTGACCGGCGTGGAGTAGAAGCGTAGACACGATATGTAAATGTTGGGCAGGAAAAGCCGGCTATCATACCCCAAGCAGAGCTATGACGTGGGGAGGAGAGTACCAGATATCCTGTAGTACACACTTTCACTTTTTCTATAACATAGGCGTAAACAACGATATGATACAATTGACTGTATTAGCCCCCCCTTGCTTCAACCTCATCCTCCTGACATTCAAGTTTTATCATTACTCCATCAGACTACCTCGAACAAACAGCCTGTCCTCCCGCAGAAATAAAGAGAGGGCCAGGTTGTACTACCCGAGTTGCGAAATTCATCTCTCCGAAGAAGAGGGAAAACAGATCGCTCTCGACATGAATCTCCAAACACCAGTGTATCACTGGACGCAGTGCGCAGGACTGCGAGTGAAGCCAGCCCGCCCGTTCCCAAAACATCCGCGCCATGCCGCTTCACCTGCTCCGTTGTAGCGTAGTTCTAAACATTAACGGCCCTTGTCCCATGCTGTGTCTTGCCCTACCGGCCCCTCGTCAGAGTTCCCGTCATGTTTAGTTTTATCGGTCCTGCCAGAGAAATTGGTATCGTATAATGGGTTAGGGTAGTTTCGCCAAACCAGCCGGCATGGTTTACGAAGACTCATCACGGATGAGGGCGACAATCATGCTGTACAGGTAGAAGAAGAACATGATTAAGTGGAAGGCTAGCTTGATGAAGGACTCCTATCGAGATTATTAGCGACGAGTTCTGACGAGCCAAGACACCAGCGCAGAGCGGCGCACCTTCTTATGGACGTTGAGCTTTCGGAAGATCTCGGTGGCATCAAGCAGATGTGTGTTGTCAACGATCCTAGAGGTTGTCGGTTAGAGAAACGCCCCATATGCGGCAATAATGCGGGTTCGAGGGCAGCTCACTTCTTGATGTTGTAGCCGAGGAGGGGAAGGTTGAGAATGAGGGCAACCCAGTACCCGTTGATGAGGAACAAAAAGGTCAGGAAGCCATGGACGGCAGCTTCGGGGATGATGTAGGCGTTGAGACGGTTGCAGAGGTCGATGGGGTTAATGTAATCGCTGTTGGGCATGCGCGTCAGCCAGGTACGAGGATGCTTTGCAGAAGACGCATTGGCAAGGCTGCTCTCTTGCGCGCATGTGCCTGCAGCCCAGGGATACCATATCGGAGGAGGACGTCATACCATTCCAGATCGCTGTACATGATGGTGAAAAAAACCTGAAGGAACAGGTTGACGGCGTTGATCAACACCGCCAACAGGAACAGCCACGCTTCTCCAGACATCATGGCGGTATTCCAAGCGGACGAGCTGGAGATTGTCTAGCGGATGAGGAGGCGAGGAGAGGAGGGAAAAGACAAGGAGAAGAAGAAGCAAAAGATTGCTTCCTGTCGGCTAGCGGATTGGTGTTGCTCAAGCTCCGTCACGAGCTTCGATTCCGGCGCGGCGTGCAGGAGGGAGGGGAACTGGGCAACCTAGCATTAGCATTAGTGGGGGGTTCGTGGACTGGACAAAGCTCGTGCTCGTGGCGTGTGGCTGCGGCCTACCAGGGAATGACGAAAGACGAAGAGCAGGGCGCAAAAGATGCGAGGTGGCCTCAAGCGGGACGGGCGAATGGATGCGATGGGCGGAGATTTAGAGGAGGGACAAGCACAAGCAGGTTTGTGGGCGAGAGACAATTGGGAGAGGAAAAGCTGGTGACCTCGCCTGGTATTAGTGGCGATACCTGGGCAAGATTTTGGCAGCGCCAGCCCAGCCAACCAGCCCGAATCTGCGGTCCCGTGCTCGGCTGTGGGGACTGAAGCACTAACGTGTCTGCTGCCAGATTGATAGCTGGAGCTGATAGCAAGATGCTGCAGGTACCTGTACCTGTACCTTGGTAGCATTGCCCTTAGTTCGGAGGCTGGTTGGTGTCTTTCCAGTTAATTGCAGAAGGGCTACCTAATGGAAACATGGAAGCCACAGGGCCGGGTTCCGGCTTGAAGGCTTTGATTCCTCGATATATTGACTGAGGTAGTAAATTAGGTAGGTACTAGGTATGAAGAGGTTGCATTAGTAGGTACTTCTATCAATATCAAATCAACAGACGCGCATCACCAAAAGCCTTGCTTTTTGTTAGCGGCTTGTTGCAGTTGATGGATCGATTCGATGCAACAGGCGCACAGAGCACACAAACTTGCAGCAGCAATTTTCATGTGAATTCACTGATGCAAGGGCAAACAACACCCCGCAGGTACAGGTACATGTTCTCTTATCACAAGGTAGCGCCTGGTGTGCTGCAACCCTTCCACTTGAGCTTGTGCTACAGATCCCATCTCGAGCTTTTAAAACTCATGCTACCCCAAGTTCCAAACCAAAAGGAGCAAATAGCCTCTTTTTTTTCATCTTCATACGCATATTGTGTAGGAGCTATACGAATAGATGCTAAGCTCGTCACGGTAACAACCCAACCTTTTGCAGCAGAGAACAACGGCTCTATTCACTCGCAGCACACCCAACGACGCCGGTACCCTATCGCTCAACATCAACCTCAACCTCAACTCTAGGATGCCGCATCATACAATACGCTACATAATGGTGGTATCAAATCACTAGCTCAGAGCCATATATTCATCGTACATACTGTCAGGCAGACCCTCAAGCTGCCACTCCGTCCACCTTCTTCTCTGGCATGGGAATCGGTCCTCCAGGCGAGTCGGCTGTTCGTGCCGTAAGAATCTCGCAGCCGTCTTCTGTCACAAGAAGAGTGTGCTCTGCAACTACAAGTTAGTGACGACATCTCTCAGATGACGAATGACAGATTGGGGACCAAAACATACCAAACTGGGCCGTCCGCTTTCCGTCAATGGTTGTGCTAGTCCAGTTATCAGGCCATGTAATGTCCCTGTACTTGCCCAAGGCAATCATGGGCTCAATGGTAAAGGTCATGCCGGGCTTGCACTCTCCAACGGCCTTGTTCTTGGCATAATGAGGGACGTTTGGCGGGCAATGGAAGAGCTTTCCAACTCCGTGGCCGCAGTACGTCCTGATGACGCTGCAGTCCTTCTGTTTTGCCACCTTTTCGATAATGTTGCCAAACTCTCGTATCAGGACACCGGGCTTGATGGCCTTGATAGCCTCGTCGAGAGACTCACGTGCCGCCTCCACGACCCTTACGTTATCGGGGTCGGCCTTGGCCCTGTCACCTATGTAATACGTCTCGTTGAGATCGGCATGATAGCCGCCGTGGTATAAGCTGATGTCGATGTTGAGAATATCGCCGTCGAGCAGGACACGCTGATCGGGAATGCCGTGGCAGATGACCTCGTTGACGGATGTGCAGCAAGACTTGGGGAAGTGGTTGTAGTTCAACGGTGAGGGGTACGACTAAATGTCAAACCGTGGATCAGTACCTTGGCTTTTAACCACACACACAAGCGCTCCCAATAAACACGACTCACCTCGCGCTCTATACAAGCCTTGTGGACAAGCTCGTCGATGAAGTCGGTCGTGACGCCGGGCTTGGCCGCGGCCGCAGCAAGATCGAGGACCTCGCGTGCCAGCTTGCAGACCTTGCGCATTGCAGCAATGCCCTTTGCATCGTGGATGTCGATCTTGTTGCGGTTTACCAGAGACCGGCTGTACTTGGGGTCGCCGTCCTGCCACCAGGTGGGGTGAGGAATTGACTTGGGGATGGTGCGATGCTCGGACAGAGGATAGACGGGACGCAGCGGGCCGGCGAAGGGGAAGCTCGGGAAGGGATTGTAGTAGCCGGTGACTGGATCTGGTAAGATTGCTTTCGGGGGAATCAAGTGGTGGAGGATATTACTTTGCGTCTTGTGCATGCTCTTGTGGTCGCTCTACTCACGCGGGGGTCAGCCAGTGTGTCTTGTTTCCCACCGTTTGGTCTCCTTTATCTTCTCCCCTCTCTCCATTTCTCCGTGTTGAAGCATTGTGCCCGCGATGGGACTTCTCTATACATACCCAGTTTCTCTTAAAGCAGTCCTGGGCGCAGAAGAAGCTGTCCTTGATGCCTAGCTTCAAGCATGTCGGGCACTGCAGAGCTCCAGCGTCATTGTCGCAGTCTGCGCCTAGGCACTTCTTCTTCGCGGGGGGTTCGGAGGTCATGGCGAAAGATTAATGACGGGCAGAGAGTATATGGACAAGGAATTACAAGGCGCTCGAGAGATGATGCCGTGGAGGGATTACAGATATCGAGAGGTGGATCACGGCATAAAAATACTTGCGATAGGACTAATACGGGAAGGGCTCGAAATTCTAATGGCTGCTGTGCTTGGAGGCTTTCAGTTCCATTGCAGCACTGATACGCTACGGTACGGTACGCTACAGAAAGCACATGTACCTGGTACCCGTGCTCTTCAGCTTTTTTCATGTGCGAGCCACAGCTACATGTGAAATCGCAGCCGGCCGGGCGTGGCGGAGTGTGGCGGATTACCTAGAAGCACGCTTTGGCTGCACAACATTTTTTTTTCTTTCTCTGCGCTTCTTTTTCCCAGGCTCTTATATGCCTCTCTAGTACTACCACCACCATGGAATACTAATGCAACAGGCCATATTCTGTCGAAACTCGCTCGTACTGTAAAAGCCACTAAGACTAAACAGTGTGCTAAGGATATTAAGCGTTACACCAATAATACATGACCGCCCGTGTGGCTTAGGTTGCTGCTTAGCATGATGTGATCAGAACGGCTATTGCTCGTATGTGCCTTTATTAATTCCCAGACGCGGGTTGAGTCAAAATGTTTCGCCCCTTGGCCCGAGGCCAGGGCTTCTTATAGCTCCAGAGCTCCCGATCCTTCTTCTTCCTCTCTCATAATAAGATCTCTTAGTAGACTCTGGAGCTGGAAACCCGGAGATTCTGACTCGTCTCGGGAAGCCATGGCGGACACTAAGATTGTCGTTGTTGGCGCTGGTCCTGTCGGGTCTTTGGCGGCGCTATATGCCGCCAAGAGAGGATACCAAGTCGAAGTCTATGAGTTACGGCCGGGTAAGTGAAGCTATATTTTTTTTTTCGTTTGTATGGTGAGCCCGACGCCTCCGAACTCGGTCTCATGGTGTTGTTATGCTCATACTGTAATAATGCTTCTTTTTTCTTCTTCTATGGCGTTGGATAATATTTTTGTAACGGTTTCTCGGTTTTCAATGATACTGTTTTGTTATCTCTGCTTTGCTTGAAAACATGGCTCTCCTTGTCTCGGTGGCATGGTTGTGAAACCGCTCCGCTAACCGGCCTCAGATCTTCGCGATCCCAGCATCGTGCCGCTCAACTTCACAAAGTCCATCAACTTGGCTTTGTCCGAGCGAGGGCTTCATGCTATGCAGCTGTCTGGTGAACCGAAGCTTGTAGAGCATGTCATGTCTGCGACTATTCCGATGCGCGGTCGGATGATTCACGGACAGTCGCCGGATGGAAGTCTTTATGAGCACTCTCAAAGCTACGGCGTAGACGGACAGGTAAGGAGTCGTCGCACTTAAACTCGCTTGTTTTTCTTGAATAATTTTCATCTCTACTTTAAATATAGAACAAGTTTGTTAACCAGCAAACAGGCTATCAACGCGATTGACCGAGGAGCCCTCAACTCGCGGCTGCTAGACATCCTGGAAGCCATGCCCAACGTCAAGCTGTTCTTCAACCACAAGCTCACTGGAGCAGACTTTAAGAAGAACAAGGCTTGGTTTGAGGCCCGCGACAGAGACTACGTTCCCAACGGCCGCCCTAGAGAAATCGAAATCACCTTCGATCTCATGATTGGAGCAGACGGCGCACACTCTGCCGTTCGCTATCACTTGATGAAGTTTACCAGAATGGATTACCAACAAGAGTACATTGACACCCTCTGGTGCGAGTTCCATCTGCCCCCTCGTCCCGTGGGTGGGAATGAGAAAGACCCCAACGCCAAGTTCCGAATCTCGCCGAACCACTTGCACATCTGGCCAGGCAAGGACTTTATGTTCATTGCCATTCCCAGCGAGGTAGGACTCGACCGCTTACAAATTCGACTTTTCTCAACATGACAATTACTAATATGTCTGCAGGACGGATCATTCACCTGCACCCTCTTCATCCCCAGCGGTGAGATTTCGGAGCTGGAGAGGGATTCTTCCACAGTCCCGGCCTTCTTTGACAAGCACTTCCCCGGAGTTACCGCCTTGATACCAGGGCCGGACCTCATCAAGTCGTTTGAGACAAACCCTCATCTGCCGTTGATCAGCCTCAAGTGCAAGCCCTATCACCACGGCTCCTCCGGCGTCATCATCGGCGACGCTGCCCACGCCATGGTGCCCTTCTACGGCCAGGGCATGAACGCCGGCATGGAAGACGTCCGCATTCTCTTTTCCATCCTCGACAAGCACGTCGACCTCGAAGAGACCAACAACCCCGACGGCGAACTCATCAACTCCGCCGAGACGTCCGCCTTCCAGCGCTCTCTCGCCCTGGCAGAGTACTCTGCCGTCCGCGCAAAGGACGCTTACGCCATCAACAACCTAGCCCTGCAAAACTACGTCGAAATGAGATCCTCGGTCCTCTCCAGGCGGTACAGGTTGCGCAAGTACCTCGAGGAGTTTATGAGCGTGCACTTCCCGTCCTTTGGCTGGCAGACCAAGTACTCCCGCGTCAGCTTCGGCAACGAAGGGTACGCAGACGTGGTGCGCAAGAGTGATCGCCAGGGCCAGATACTGGTGCAGAGCTTCATTGCGCTGGTCTCAAGCCCTGTTGTGTTGACGGCTCTTGTATTGGCGTATAAGCGTCGTGGAACTCTTGCGTCCTTGGCGAGAGGGCTTTTCGGTTGGAAATGATACCGATATTAGAGCTTAGGTGAAGGGGGTCACTGCCGCTCATTTTTCGTTACTCTTCCCATGGTAATGAGCCTGAAGTATGGCATTTCATGTCTTGATGGGTTGGCAGATTAAATGGAAAGCTCAAAAGAAGGCGAAAACGAAGGCAACGTCAAATATGTACATGAATATTCGCAGGGATTGGCACTTGTTAGCAGCGGTTGGAATTTTAACACGGACTCGTAGAAATGCGAACAATATGGGCGGTATAGTCTAATACAAGCGGATATCTGGAAAAACAAACTCCAATCAAATACAAAATCACATCAATTTTTTTTTTAAAAAAAATCCAATTCACAAATAATATTATAGGTATTTTGGCTTCTGTGCTTCCTTCATCGTCCTCATATCATGTATGATGCCTCCAAAGAGCAAAGAAAGCTGTGCCACATTTCCGCTTAGTCATCCCACCTCCAAATTTTTGACAAGCCGCTCCTCCTCCAGTAGCACGACCACCACCAACGAAACCAACTCGCGATAATCAAACCAAATACCAAAAACTTCCGCCCTCGTTCCACGAAACCCGTGCAGAGCGCATTTTGCCCAGGACGAATTGCGGTTGGTAGCATCAGCTGTAGTCGGGCGAATTGGCCAGTTACGATGCGCTGTGAGTATCAGTCCCCCCAACGGCCCTCAAACGAACAATTCCAGCATCATCCATTCTAACTTGCACAACCTCAAAAGAAAAGAGAAAACCCCACCGCATACAAAATCTCGACGACAGACACACAGGACATACCAAAGAAGAAGAGAAATAAAACAAACCGCCCACCATGCCCTCCATCCTCAACATAGCACACATGTGCTCCCACCTCCAAAACGCATCCAAAGCCCGCCTCGGCCTCACCTCCATCCCCAGCACGAAATACAACCTGCACCTCGCCCTCGCCCTCCACCGCTCCGGCTTCTTCTCCTCCGTATACCGCGCCGGCCCGCACCCGCCCACCCCGGAGCAAATGGTCGCCCAGGTCCCCGAGCCCGTCACAAGCGCCACCGTCGCAAAGATGCGCATCTGGCTCGGCCTCAAGTACTGGGACGGCCGCCCCGTCCTGTCACGGGCCTCCGTCATCAGCAAGCCCTCGAGGCAGCTCACCGTCGACGTCCAGGAGCTGGCCCGCCTCACTAGGGGGTTCCCGACGAAGCTCAAGGGCGGCGTCATCAGCGGCCTGGGTGTTGGCGAGTGCATGTTTGTGTCTACGTCGAGAGGGGTGCTCGAGGTGAGGGAGGCGTTGGCGAAAAAGGTCGGTGGTGTGCTCATGTGCCGAGTATCATAGTCTCAACTTGAATGGGACAACGAGGAAAACGAATGAAAAAAAAAACGAAAAACGATAAAGAGAAAATAGAAGTGAAAAGGAAGAAAGGGCGTGGAGATGGCTTCAATGATTATGGTTGTGTATATATATTATATGTATTATCTCACAAAAGAGAGGGAGGGAGAGAGAGAAAGTACATCTCACTGTATGAATAGAATCAATTACAAACAAGTATGCATGATCAAAATGGACGAGGAATCCTGTTGCTCGTTGATGATGGCTTTGGCAAAATAAAAATGCAATTTATGCATATACTCCCAAGGTCCCCAAAGAAAAAGAAAGTATCACCAGTGGTCGCTATAAACAGGTATCTAAGGTATCTTAATAACTACATCTCTCCTTTTCGACGGAGGGCCGCGGAGGCCTGTCCAATATTACATAGACAAGGGGGGTTCGATATCAAACAAAAAAGGACCAGAAAAACACATCTCCACCAATGTCAAAACTGACAAACGCCGTCCCTGACCAACAAAACACCAAACTGCTATTATTATTTTTGCCATTGATTTATTGGTTTTGGTTGTTGATTTATGAGGAGGCCTGAACAGCGGTCTCGTCAGCCTTCTCAGAAGTCTCCGGGACAACTGGCTCGGCGACGGGCTCGGCAACCTCCTCCACCTTGGGCTCCTTGGTGGCTTCAATAGCCGGCTCAACAGGAGCTTCCTCGACGGCGACGGCGGCCTCGGGCTCGGCGACGGTCTCGGGTTCGACAACGGGCTCGGATTCGACAACAGGCTCGGCAGCGGGAGTCTCCTCAACCTTGGACTCGGCGACCTCAGCGACCTCAGCGACGGGCTCAGGGGCGGCCTGGGTGAGCTCGGCATCCTCAGCAATAGCAACAACCTCCTCAGCAGTCTCGACATTGGCAGTTTCGGCAGCCGCCTCCTCCACTGGGAGAGGCTCCTCAGCCTTGACAGGAGCAGCCTCCTCCTGAGCCGTCTCCTTGACGGGCTCCTCAACAGCCTCCTTGGCGACGGATTTCTCGCTCAATGAAGGAGAAGGGGATTTCTTGCCAATCGACTTCCTAGGAGAAGACTTTCGGGTTGGACTACCCTCATAGTGGCTGTGATCTGATCCGCCGGATGCTGTCCCAGCAGTAGAGGGTCGGGATCCACATTTCTTGGGAGGTGTCGTTGGCTCTCCCGCCGTCTTGCTGGACGACGCCTGCGTAGGTCGCATCATGCGGGCCAAGAAGCCCTCGTCAACGTCCTTCGTCTTCTTAGGCGCTTCGCGGGCAGGCTTGGCGGGCGGCGGTCCAATGCTGGGTCGAGATCGCGCAGCAGACCTTTCTTTGGCGGCCCGCAGAGCCGACTCTTGCTTGGCTGTCCGAGCACCATGTACAACATGGCCGGCGGCCTGTCCGCCCACGCCGAGAGATTGCCTTGAATTGGTCTGTCTAGACTGAGTTGCTCCAGATGCCGCACCCGCACCAGTCTTGGAGACGGAAGAGGCGGTGGGAGCGGTGAGAGAAGCGGGGAGGCCAACCGGCTTGGTGGGCGATCTTGTCTTTGGCTTCGGGGCAGCAGAACCGCTGTCAATCTTGATGGGGTGTGGCCTCTTGGCGGCACCAGTTGCAGCTCCAGCTCCAGCTCCAGTCTTTGCGGCAGAAGCTGGCCTGGCTGCAGAGCCTGGTCTGGCTGCGGAACCGGGTCTAACGGCAGAAGAGGATCTGACAGCCGAAGTTGACCGGGCAGCAGAGCTCGACCGCACAGCCGAAGTGGATCTTCTGGCAGAGGCTTCTGCAGTCTTCTGCAATGGCCTGACGCTCGCTCGCCTGGAGGAGTCGGTAGCGGCCTTGGTAGCAGTTGCTGCAGCAGGTTTGGGAGCGGCTTTGGCGGCGCCGGCCGCCTTGGGAGCGGGAGCTGCAGCAGTCTTTGTAGCAGCCGTCTTAGTGGCCGTAGTCTTCGTGGCCGCAGTCTTGGTTGCGGCAGGCTTCGCTACAGCCTTGGTGGCGGCAGCTGGCTTGATCGACTTGTCTGACTTCTGCGAGACACTGTCGGTGCTGCTCGTGGGGGCAGCAGTTTCCTTTGCCGGCTGCTCGGGCTCGGATTTCTTCGCGGGAGCAGATTCGGTAGCTGACTCTGTTGCGGATTCCGGTGCAGATTCAGCGACAGATTCGGGGGCAGACTTGACCGCGGGCTCAGCTGTTGCGGTGGTCGGGTCTGCTGGCGACAGCGCGCCGGTGGGAGTCTCTTCGTCGACAACCTTGTCCGGGTTGTGACTGGGCTTGTCGGTGACAGCTCCCTGCTGTCCGTCCTGTTCCTGCTGGAACTCGAGGGACGCTTGGGCGGATCGTACAGATATCTGGCTCATGGCGGAGTTGAGGCTGGCCAGGAACGCAGGGGACATGGGCGACTTGGGCGACTTGGGCGGTTTGTCGATCTTGGCCTTTGAGATGGCTTCGCGGTCGATGTCGAGGCTGCCTCGCGGGGACGAGGTTCGAGAAAGGCTGTCCTCCCTGACGAGGCCGATGACGCCGTTTCGTTCGACGGCAACAAAGCTGCTTCGCACCTTATTGACGAGCGGCTTGGGGGAACCGCTTCGAGCTAGTGGCGGAAAGAAGAAGCGGGTTAGCTTTCTGGACGGGAAGTTTAAAAGCTCTTTTTGTGGTGGTTGGCAGCAGTCAAAGGTATGCATCTAGCACAGAGCAGCCCTCCCAGCCTTTAGCGGAACTAACAGCTACAGGAGCAGCCCAGCAGCGTCTGGGATGGACAGTAACAAACAGGCTTCTTGAAGGGCACATAATGGAAGGCTGGAGAGCAGGAAGAGAGAGCAAGCAAACGGCAAATCATCAGCACACACCGAGGGCATTACCTCCTGGGGTTGGAGATGGAGTTGAGACACCAAGGGATCTACCTCTATCATCGTCCGCTGGGCTCGCGTCCCCTTTGTTCTCGAACATGGCTCGCAGGTTCTTGACCGCGCTCATGGTGAAAGACGGGCCGCGTCCGCGGAGGGCTCTGGGGAATGATTTGCGCGCAATCGATGTGCTGGAGGTTCTGGGAAAACCATCCGTGAGGGTTCAGGAGAAGAAGGGGGAAACAGTCAGTAGGTATACGAATAGCTTCGCAAAGTAGGGGAGATTGACGAACAAAATACTAGAGCTAGAGGAGAAAGGGAGGGAAAGGGACCAGAAGACCCTCCCCAGCGGTACTTGGGGGAGTACATGCGACACAAGTACCTCCGTGCTCCGTTCTTCCATGCTCCATCTCCATACATGGCGCGACACGGGTCAATTGGGATCAAGTTCAGGGGTTGCGGGTGCGGTGCAGCATGTGCTTGTACAGTACAGGACTGTACAGTAGTGGGAGCACTTTTTTTTTGTGCTAGGCTAGGGGATAAAGTGAAGTGGCCTCTTTTGTCCATTTGTTCTAGATGCACGGGTTATACTCGCGTGCTTTGGCTGTTTGTCACCGTTGAGAGAGAGAGAGAGCCATTACCTCATGTTATCATGCTGTATGGCCCTCGCAGCTTCAGTGACAGGAGTACATGTGGTACTTCCAGGACCAGGTACCCGTCCAGGTATCCGTGCACTTAAAACGGACAGCCACCCGCCCGTACTTGGAATCTACAGCACCTTAGAGTAGAGTAGAGTACAAGTAGAGTACACGCATCCACTCGTAATAGGTTCATGCAGCAGCAACTGTTTACCGCACCGCACCGCACCGCCTTCTCACTCTCACCCACTCCCCAATCCGATCCAATTGCTTGATTCGACACCTCAATCATCAGCCAGCCAGTCATCAGCCAACCCACCACCTCCAGAAACGCGACTTTGCGCGCCATCAACAGCGAATCCGCCACTAACACCGTCACAAGGCGCGTTTGTGAGAAATGAGGTTCGGATGGGCCGATCCGCCACTCCGCTGCTTGGGACTCTCTCTTGTGCTAATAAGCAGTGCTAAGCAGTGTTGAGCAGTTCCCCAGTACTCCGTAGTACTAGGTGCGGCAAGATACCAAGATACCTTCCCCAACGAGGCGCCTGTGCTGCCGTCTACAGGTACTGCCGTAGAGCTGGTACTTGCTTCCCGCACCCCGGCCACTTTTCCCATGGATTTCTTGGATGCCAGGCATCGCTGACCGACACCGATCATGCGCTGCTGACGGATTCTTTTCAATTCTTGCATCTGCAGCGCTCACCGCATCTATGAGTACATGTACGGTATGTAATGTAATGTGGTCAAACTGGATGCAGCAGTAGTGTACAATTTTAGTACGGAGCACAAAAGGTCTGTCTGCATTCAATTCAATTCAATTCGTAATGACAATGATGATCCAATTGATGCAAGTTCTAGTTACCGTGGCATCTCTTCCCAATGTGGCCACTTCACTCCATCCAGCTTACACGCACCCGTGATTGGTCCAGCCACGCAACCACAATAAACCTCTAGCCAGGCTGGTTAATCTCCCTCGCTGGGCGGTTTGATGTCAGGAGCAGCGAAACAAGAGCAGTTAATATCGACAGCTTCATTTCGGCTTTTAGGCGTTCCATGACGCCACACACACACACACACACACACACACACACACACTCAGTCTCTCACACACGCTCATGCCCAGATGAAATTCCAGTACCCTGTTTCGGGGTATTACACAAGTACTGCTCGGTCCCCGTGCTAGCCCATCTGGTGCTTTCCAGCTGAGCATCTCGTCACAATTGATTCCGCGAGATCCCCTTCCGAACCGAACACTAATACGAGTTTTGACGTCTGCCCCTTGCATTAGAATCAGAGCCTAATATTCAACGTGACAACAACCACATCAACACTTCACGAGAAGTGTCATCTCGAACGTTTACTATACTGTACTCGTACTCCGTAATACACCGCATCATCCACATCTTTAACCATCGTCCGAGTGGGTAACTCTCTTTCTTTCTCGCATGCACTTATACGGAACGCATCACCTGCATAGGTAAGTCAGCAAGAAGAGTTAAGGGGGCCCAGCCAGGAGCACGTCCCCCATACCGATCCCTTCTCTTCTTCCTTCAAAACTTTCCCAGACGGGCAGCTTCTCCATCCGGAGTCCTGTTTTCCATGCAGGCATAAGCGTCATCTCTTCAACGTGCCCCGAGATAAGATGGGCTACTGTAGGTACTGTCCTGCTTTGCCAAGTCACAGCTAGAAACACACACCAGAGTTGACACCGTGTCACGACGGAGCGCACGGATGCCCTTTTTTATCCATGATATGATAGTATCCATGGCAGGGTTTGAGCGGGAACGACAGCCTGCCTGGCTCGGAAGTGCCCGTTCCCTTTTTATTCTTTCATCGCTTTCTTCCATGCTTTAATGAGGGCTAGTACGAGTATACATAGTAGACCACCCCCCAGCCCAGCCTAGACGCGTTCTAGCATCTTCCCGTCTTTGTACGGGGGGTTGATCCTGTGCCTTGTCCAGACAAGCGAGAGAGAAAAACGTAGCCCCGGCAACACGCGAGATGGAGTTCGCTTTTTTGGGGCCAAATACGAAAACGCAGGTGTTCCCACATCTCTTTTCGTGGGGGGGGGGGGGGGGGGGGGGGGGGGGGGGGGGGGGGGGGGGGGGGGGGGGGGGGG